AAAAAAATGGATCCACTGCTTTGAAAAGGTCACGGCACTGTTGTTTTTGGTAGCTATCAGTGGCTACGATCAGTGCTTGGTGGAGGATAAGGATGCTGTATGCTTTACCGCTATGATTATCATCTATGAGGCAGATAAATGAATACTAACATTATCTGTTGATAGAACCAAATGCAAGAGGCGCTGATGCTTTTTGAAAGCATTTCCAACTCCCAATGGTTTATCCACACGTCAATAATCCTATTTCTTAACAAGATCGATCTTTTTAAAGAAAAACTACCTACAAGCCCAGTACGCAAGTACTTCCCGGACTACACTGGCGATCCAAGATCGTACAAACACGCGTCTCAATACTTCGAAGAGAACTTTAAAAGATTAAACCGAAGTCCCGCAAAGGTGGGTACACCAATCCCTTTATGGTAGTTTAAAAGCTCATCAACTCACAACAGAAACAGGAAATCTATGTTCACTTTACAAACGCTACCGATACCAATCTCCTCAAGATCACCATGTCAAGTGTACAGGACATGATCCTGCAAAAGAATCTACAAACTTTGGTATTATAGGTACCCCTGGACGTCTTATTGAAAAAAAGAAAAAAAAAATGGAAAGAAAAAGGAAAAAGCGCAACGGCGTCTCCTCAAGATCTTTGGAAAGACTGTGATGTGGCTTTATAACCGCATTCACATTTTCTTTTTCCTACACATTATATTAATTATCTGACATTTATCATCTTGCATCCTCGATAGCTTCCGATCAACGGCATTTGATAACATAAGAGTACTTATCCGTTCTTATTTTGCTTTGCTACTTTGCGTCCTCACGAAGGTTGGTGGTTTCAACTCTACTCGGTTCATGTCACTACATATGAATTTGGCTTTAGAGTTCAGGGTGTCTGAGGTTCCCTATTTGGTGAATTGAGAGACACTTGAGGTCATGCACGCACGCTTTTATGACATGAAGGAGGGGAAGGTGGGAAGGTGGGGAAGGTGGGAAGGAGGGGAAGGGTGGGAAGGAAGGGGGGAGTGTTAAGGGGCTTGGCTGGGTGGGAGGATTGTTAGAAAACAATCTCTCCCGTGGAATATTGACGCAGGGGGCGGTGGTACCCGTTCCCTTGGGTTAAAGGGAAGTGCTTGCCAACAACCCACGGTTTTTTTTCTTCTTTTTGCTTTTTGCTTTTTCTATTCATGTCCTATTCTACTTGTAACTATAATTTTTCTGTACTTAAATATCTTTCATATGGGGGGATGGACATGGCTTGGGGGGGGGGGGGGGGGGGGGGGGGGGGGATTGGGGTTGAATGGGCAAAGGGACCTAAGGGATTGAACGATTCATTAAAGTCTTAGCTTCTGATAGATAATCTACTTTTGGGTAGAAGTCTGGAAATAGGCAGTTAAATAGCTATTTGTACTTGACAGATATTAACCTAGATCTGTTGCCTGAATGCTGGGTAATGATGCCGGCGCAATATCACTTTAAATTGCTATGTTTTCAAATATTTTGAAGATATTTTAAATATGAGCTGTCAGTCTTTATGCCTCGCTAGCTCAATCGGTAGAGCGTGAGACTCTTAATCTCAAGGTTGCGGGTTCGACCCCCGCGTGGGGCTTTATCGAAGTTCACTTTTTTTTTATCCCCGCGAGCTCATCAGATCGCTCATCCCAACGGCAATCATGTAACAACCCCTTCAGAGTTTAGATGGTGGGGCTAGCCCCCCCATGTATCATGCAATGTCACTCGGATCCTACCCACCCAGTGTACGGCTCGGTAAGTGGGCCGAAGCAACATTTAGGCGTGATGCAGGTCCCGGTGGTGTGCATGTTTCATCTCTCCCTGCATGCCATACACAGAAAGATGTACCTACTTTGCGACTGTTGAGGGTGATGCGCTTAATATTGCGTGTTTCGTACTGTGCAGGTAGGGAGTTTCATGGGGGTTGAAAGCTGATCACACTAGCTTTTGGACGATAGACAAATCGGCAAGTTTGGGGGCTCGAGGCGGGGGCGGCGCCATCTATGTTATATGCCCTTTCCCCCTCCCCTGTTGCAAGTCTAAAGACCTGGCTTATATACGTTATGTATGTATGTATGTACTCTATTGGATACAGTATGATGGAGTGCCGAGTATACAGTACTGTAGTATATATATGTCGTGCTACGTACATGTATGTATACTTGGTACAGGTAAAGGGTAGGATAAATGTTGTGGGTGCGGTGCAATGGGCATGATCTACCGGCTGGTTATGATGCTGTCCGTCACATATGTAGGGTAGCTCAATTGCAAGTTGAGTTGAGCTGAGTTACCCCCACGAACAGTGCGGTGACGAACTAGTAGAGATGGAGATGGGGAGCACAGTGAGGCTCTGACCGACTGGCTGGATCTGGCTGGCTGGCTGGCCGGCCGGCCGGCTGTGGTGTAACTTTCGGATGTGGGGCGTTTGCGGCGCAGGATCTAGCTAGGGAGGGATCGAGATGCGAGGTAGGCGCGGGGTTCCGGCTTGTGTTTCCAGAAGCGAGTCGGGAATTTTCTGTAGAGTGATGGTGGGCTGGCCGTCTCGTGGCAGGTGTGACGGTGTTTCTTAAGAAACCAGAGGTATATAGAAAGAGTGGTGGTGGTGGTGGTGTTGTATAGTTGAGATGTGAAGAATTTTCGGATAGACGGTCGGAAGTTACCTGCCAGATCCATATGCGTATGTCGATATGTCGATGTCTATATGTGATTGAGATATATCGTGGCGGGATTGGGTTTTCTAATAATCCCATGGTGGCTAAAGTCGTCGTCAAGGATTCAAAGTGGAAGGCATGTGGGTGCATAAAGTATCACTCGGCCCATCACGGAGATCACCGTTATCAGCTGATATAGTACGAGGACAGAACTCTCTATATATCGAAACCACTCACCAAAGGCTCTAGCTGGGATTAACAAGTAATATAGAATCCTTGATAAAAAAAAATTGAGAGATATGACTGTGTCTATTCGAAAGAAAGGAGGAATGGAAAAAAGGAGGGATGAAGGAAATGAGGAAGTTGGAACGAAATCCCCTATTGTGCTTGTAGGTGCTAACTGAGCCTAGGGCTTTGAGAACAGATTTTCTCAAAATAAAGTGCAATACGTATGCATAGCCTGCTGGGAACAACGTCCGAACTACAACATGCTCAATTGGCATTAACTGGAAACCAGCAATTCAATGAATAATCATCACAAATAACAACAACAAACCACGACCCTTAATGTTAACGACGGATCGATCGTGAAGGATATTCACCCCATCCTCAGGTTGAGCGCAGCGTGTATTCCAGGGCTGATGAGAAGAAATTGAATTCACTGATAATACCTTAGTAGCTAGGCCCCGAGGCAAATTGGTTTTACCAATGCTCGTCAACACTTTCCTGCTGCACTTCTAATTATACCAACGTCGTCTAGGCGGCAATTGCGGCAGAGAATTGATGTTTTCTGCCCTTCAGACGCACTGAAGGAAGCTCCAAAACTATCGTGGATAGAGATTTGTATACTCTGGCGCGCACCACATATGAGGTTAATGGCACTTGCCCGTGGTATACCTTCCTCTTGTGCTTTCTAGGTGATATATATATTTATATTCATGTAGGTTGTTATAACCTTGGCTCCAATATTTTCTGTCGTTCTTCATCAAATCATACACTGCTAAAAAAAAACTATGATGGCTCCATTAGATTTAACTCCCAAAATGCACACCTAATCTAAAAGGTCATGGTCCAAAAACAAATTGAGAAACAGGACACCAGCTTTAGACCATGCACCTGCCTATTGACTAGAAGCCCCACGCGGGGGTCGAACCCGCAACCTTGAGATTACATTAAGAGTCTCACGCTCTACCGATTGAGCTAGCGAGGCGTGGGAATTTGATTAACAGAACCCTTGGTACCCCATTATCGGCCATCCGCGATGTGGGGCACAAGTTCCAAAGATTTCAGTTATGCCAATAGCGGAAAAACACTTAGCCAGGGAAAGTTGCGGTGCGTAAACAGAAGGGAGCTGATGCCAAGAGTGCAATGATATTTGGATCTGAAACTTTTTTTCGCCTCGCAACCTATCTGCCAATCATTGACGCAGCCCTGTCCACCACAGAAATGCCGAAAAAGCAACCCGAACACCACCACCACCACCACACATCCGATGGTACCCGGCCCGAGTGATTTCGAATGATCGGATTGTTGCTCTCCATGCACCGAAGCACGGCACCGGGCCGAAAAAGTATGTGCATAAAAAGAAAAACAGAGACAGGCGAGATCCGGATGCCAGACCCGTTTTAAGGGCAGTTATGCAACCACACTCAGTCATTATCTGAATCGAGTACATCTATCGAATTCCCTTTCGGGCTGAGAGAAGGTGAGGCTGACGAATGGCTACCATTGTATTATGACGTTAGATTACACAACAGCACCGGTTTGTGGGAAAGAAAAAGGATAGTGAACACGGCCACATCATTCAGGGCCCCGCGGGGAGCATTGAATTTGAAGCAGGACTGGGCAGGAAGGCAGCAGACGTAACAATAGGTACACCGTATAACTCTAAACGGTGGGCCCATTGAGGGGATTTTGAGTTATTTGTCTGGCATAAATAATTGAATCCTGTCACGGGTTGTAAACTGGGTGGATGGGACAGATAGATCGACAAAGATGTATGTAGGGAGACTTGAGTATTTATATAGCAGATAATCTACCCCAGGATTAATTGGGGTACATACATAGAAGTAAGGGAAAAGAGGATCACGCATTTTATTGATGTGCCTATTCCCGTTCTCTACACGCTGCATCTTTGGGTAAGAATCAGCTGTCTTGGCAGTGCCAACCAAACCTGAACGTCCGACCTCAACCCATCGTCAGCCCGCCACCACGACACTCCTCCCCAGTTTCTAGATACCCCTAGATACCCCCCTTCTTCCTCCCCTCTGCAAGCAGCACCCCAAAAATCTTACACTCACTCACTCACTCACTCACTCACTCACTCACTCACTCAAAATGTTCTCTCTCCGACGGATCGCGCTCGCCCCGCGTGTCTGCGGTACCACCACGGCGTCCATCACCCCGTCCGGTGTCTCGATGCCAATAATGGCCAGCCAATGCAACAGACGATACTCCAGCAGCAGCAGCAAGCCAAGCAATCCCTCCGCCCCGAGCAACAACAGCAACAACAGCAACGGCACCGCAGCCACCACCGGGATTGCGGCCGCGGCTGCGGCGTTGAAGAGGAGTGGACGGGCGGGGTTGAAGACTGTGCGGTCCTCCGCTGGGGCTATGGGAGTCAAGGAGGGAACCAACATCCCCGTCGTGCCAAGTACGGATCATTTGCACCCTGCTGGTATGTTGGCGATTTATCCCCCATATCTCTATTTGGATATCTAGAAAGAGGGTAAAATGATTCTAACACCTCACAGACGTAGCAATTTCTACCTTCTTTGCCCAGCACCGTCCGGTGAGCATCTCCCATGTCGTACCGCTCTCCTACTCCGAGACCTCCTTCGACTCCATTTTCACCCGCCGCAAGCTCTCGCCCATCCACGACTCGCATGCCTCTTCGATGGCCGCCGACTTCGGCGCCCCCGAAAACAACGCCAGTGAAGTCATCACCCCAGAGAACCTTGTCGGCGGCAAGCGGTATATGCCGTTCTGCCCGCCCCCTGTGCCACAGGCCCAGACTGCATTCGTGAGGCCGGCAAAGGTACAATTCAACACCCGCATCGTTGATATGCCGTTGGAGAGGATCATGATCAGACAGCAGATCCAGGAGGAGAATGCTATGGACGAGATGAAGGACATGGTTGAGCCCGAAAGCGAGGACAGGGGCGTGATGCAGGCGCTGTCTGTAAAGAGACGGAGAGGCCTGAGGATGAAGAAGCACAAGTTGAAGAAGCTCAGGAAGAGAACCAGGAACTTGAGGAGGAGAATTGAGTCTCACTCGAAATAAATGTTCGTGTTCCACTACTACTGCTGATTCTTCTTTTTGTGTGTGTGCGTGGTATATATACTATAGACCGGGCTATGCTGGATTTCTTTCTTAGTTGGTAGATCTACTGCATTTTGCTTTGGTGTTGGCTCTCTACGGCTCGTCCTCTTTCTCCCTTTTGTTTTCAGTTTTACTTTTCATTTTCTATCGTCGCTGTTTAACTAGAGCGATTGATTTTGTGTATAGTGGGTCGGTTGTTGGGGTGTTGTTGATGAATCTGGATTACCTTACTGATCCTCTCTTGTGTTTTGTTTTTTGTCCCCTGTTTCTTTACGTCTTTGTCTTTGTCTTTGTCTTTGAGGGGGGGGGGGGGGGGGCGTGTTTCAACTACGGGGAGGGGGTGGGCTGCTGATGATTTGGGGAATTAGAAGATTAACTTTTATATTTATTTTCGGCCAATATAACGACTTTTAAGTGATTTGATTCTCCGCCCTCAAGTGAATTATTGCGAATATCATACCCGGCGCACCTACAATTCGCGGTAGATATCACACTCGCGATGTCAAAATACCCTTGCGATTCCAGCCTGTCTCCATCGGTCTATCGTACTACGCATCACGACTCTCAATGCAAAAGTGCACTCCCAGCACTCCACCACCTGCCGTTCCCTTCCACCGCACCCAATAAAACGCCACTACACTCTACCGGCCCACACGCGATCGATTTTTTTTTTCTGGTCTCATTTCCAACATCACACCACCGCCACAGCCCGGGATTGGCTCTTGTGGGTGAGTAGTGAGACTTGCACCCATGACCGATAATTTCATCCCATCCTGTTAAAATAGAACATATGTTGTCCGGTTCTAGACGGATCGTAGAAAACGGTGAACCCTAAAATATTTTTTCCCAGCACACCCCCCCCCCCCGATTATGCCAAGCCGGTAAAGCTCTGCTGAACCTGCCAAGACTGATGGGGGTAATGATATCTTTTTCGTAATTCGTAAGTTTCCGCTTCTTGTAAGGGATTTGTTTGACCACAATCGGCGCGCGGAATTCAATCCAAAAAGGCTGTAGGAAGGGTGTAATTCAACTTAATAACTTTTTAACAACTTTTTAATTGAAATATTTGCTTTGACGTCATCAACTGGCCGGTTGGCGCAATGGTAGCGCGTGGTCCTCCTAAGACCGAGGTTGAGGGTTCGAGTCCCTTGCTGGTCGTTCCAGTCTTTTAGTTTTGCTTGTTCCTAATAAGGGTGACGTGGGAGTCCTTTTCCCTTCATCTGTTCCCGGTTTTTACAACTTGCTGGGCTGTGGGCTGCGTGGTGGTGGACAGAAATATAAGTGTTGAGCCATGAATTGCCACAAGTCCTAAAAACAGACGAAGGGATAGGAAATTCGGGGATTTGGTCATTTTCCGTGGGGTCTTTTGGTCCATTATGTAGGTTATGTATTTGTCCCGGCTTGTAAAAAAGTTTTCGGAGGGCCACTGCAGGGCAAATACAAGTATCGTAGGGCATCCGTCCTATCACAGCCATCGGTTTAATTCCACTACAAGTAGAGTACAGCATGGCCAAACCATATTCATGAATGCTGGACCTGCTCCTCAGTGTGACCCGGTTACTTGGTCCACTCTAGAGAACCAGATTGTGAGAAGCGTAGCAAAAAGAGAGCACGTAGCTTCATTGAAGCCCCACGCGGGTCGGGCCCGCAACCTTGAGATTACCTTAAGAGTCTCACGCTCTACCAATTGAGCTAGCGAGGCATAAAATTTCCATTATTAGCGTGCCCAAATTAATGATGACATAATTCTTAAATTGCACGCAATCAATGAATTAAAAAAAAAAAAAAACATAATTCTTAAAAGAGATTTAGTATCGAGTGATGAAACATGACCGACGTTGACCTCTCAGATTTCGCTGGGCAAGTTACGCTCACTGTCGAGCAATTTCATGGCTCTTGTCTGTACAGGATCTATATAGTAAATGGAAGTTTAGAGAACAATTATCTGGAAGGGGATGTTATGAATGTTTTCTAGGTATAATACTCTAATAAGCATGTTTTAATGCTTATTCAAGACCTTAATAAGCATTAAGGCCCTTGTAAAACTCTCTTGCGGATAAGGCTTTAGTGGGACTTTATATTACTTTTACCGATGCAACCTTGAAACTGTGAAGGCAGCAGTTCGCGATAAAACACACGCAGAATATAGCTGCAGCATCGTGTTCTCAAGGAATCAATAATACTGAGACTGCCGTATATCTCGAGTCCATATATATTGGAACTGAGCTGGTCTTCTTCGATTACCCCCAGTACTTAACTGATCATGAGTTTATTTCAGTGCAGATGTACTACCCATTTCCCGCTCACCTCGTAACATCTATAATAGACACTCTTAGCTTATATCGTTCTACTAGGCCCCTACCTCAAAATACAGCAAAATAACCCATTGTAGATACTTTTATATGGTCATCATGAAAAATTCTGCCGGTGAGATCCAGGGTCCTTTCTTAGCAACCCTAGTATCAACAACCACAACCCTGATATCAGGAAGGATTTTCACAACACATCTAAGCAAAAACAAAGCTCTTATGAGCCCCACGCGGGGGTCGAACCCGCAACCTTGAGATTAAGAGTCTCACGCTCTACCGATTGAGCTAGCGAGGCGTGCTTTGTAGAGCTCCCTCTGTACTGATGTTGCTAAATTAAAAAGAGACACTACTTGTATGTCGCGGTCCTGACCCTTGAAAGAGTTGGATTTAAGTAGACAGCGTGTGGAATCAGAAATGTGGGAAAGTATATGGACTTTCAGATATTGCTAACCAGGTTAATTTGAGGGCTCGAGGAGCTGGTCAGTTCAGTTATTTCCACATGCCATACAAAGTATGTAGACGTATAGATACTTACTATAATATCAGGTAGTAGAAAATTTTCTGGGGTTGGCGAAACTTGGGGTTACCTACAAGTACATCCTAGAATATCAGCATCAAACAGCATTAATTATGATATATCAGTATTGTTGGTTGGGCGAAACCACGGCCAATGATCATAAAACCTTTGTCGAGTGGTGAGTGGCAAGTTTTGAGAGAAACACAAGGTGGATCATAAATTTGATTTTATCCTACCAGAGAAAATATTCTACACCTTTTCTCACGATCCTGGCGCTCTAGAGACTGTTGTTCCACAAATCATTGCCACCACTGAAAATTTTGCCATTAGTGCCTCATCAACACCCCTGGCCAAATTGATACTAATAACAATAACGAGAGGCGCTTCTTTATGCCTCGCTAGCTCAATCGGTAGAGCGTGAGACTCTTACAAGCAATTGTGATATCTCAAGGTTGCGGGTTCGACCCCCGCGTGGGGCTTCATTGAAGCTCATGGTTACTCTTTTGGTGTATTTTTGTCCATTCTGGTGGGTGTGTATTTATTTTACAGGAACCAGTAGCAAAGAGCGCCAGAACGAGAGGGAAGGGATCGCATACACACACAAGTTGGCGCTGATCTTAGTCGGTATGACTGGCGTCAAGTGATATGAGGAGATTGAAAAATGAGTCCTAGAAACGTAGGATCGAAGTGCTGCAATCATAAGAAAAGTAATTGATATATCTCTATATCTAGAAAAACGAAAAATAGCAAAGCTCCTGACCAGATTTTCAAGGGCAGGAAAATACAAAGTGAATGGCGGTACCATTTGCGACAAAAAAACATATGAACAGGTGAGTCTAACAGTCATTCCCAAATTTAAATGTACGTAATAATGTAGCGGGCTACAATAATACATGTAGTAAAAAAGAATGTTCTAAAACGTACGACTTTTAATAGAAAATCAAGCCAACAGGGCCTCAGTAAACCGAGGTTGTTCGTTCGAAAAAGAAGGAAAAACCCACCGTTGTAAGGATCCACATGTAGCTACTATATATGCCACGGCCCACAGGTTTACTTCCTAGATTCACCGTAGATACAGTGAACGCCAGTGTCTTGAATTGGCCGCTGTGTTATTTAGGTAATAAATGCCTCGTTCAGCCAGTGCCCAACAACAACTTTACCTTCTTCCCATCTCTTTGACCATGGTCTTCTCACAATGATGGCCGCATGTGAATGTCTATCGTTGTGAATGTACACTGCAAACTTTTTAATCCCCATTGTGTCCAAGCTAGAGATAATATCAAATTGGTGCGACGCAAGAGCGAGAGTTGGAAACGACATCTGGCTTTGCTCCTTCGGAAGATGTTGCTCTGTCTCATGCACGGCCTGGTCATCCTCATACCCCCTAGTTCTTTCTTCGACTGAAGCTGTAGCCGGATTGTTTTCGTTATCAAGCTCATTTTTATCACGGGCAGAGATTGTTTGGACGTCCTCTAGGGCGGGATCGGAGTCAACCTGGCTTTTTCGGCCTCCATCACGAAAATCAGAGCTAGAGCCTGCCAAAGTCCATCCAGACCTGGACATCTCGGAGGTTGTAGAAGTCGGCGAAATATTTACACTCTCCTCAGACCCAGCGGGTAAATGCTGCGGACTCATTTCATGGTGAATATCCTCAATTATCCCTTCTGCTGCTTCCTGCATTTCCTCGACCAATAGCGGAAGTCTGTGATAATCCAAGCTTTCATCACTTGAATGGAGCCTAATTCTCCTTTTGCTTGAAAAGTTTTGAATAACGGAATTGAGAAGAAACACGATTACCCCGATAGGAATTACAAGACTATAGATGAGGACCATAGGTAGCCTTCGTACAGCACCTGTAGTAGTCTTGGTAATTCGATGACTCACGGGGAGCTTTTCATCTTCCTTTGTAGACGGAGAAAACGGGTTATTGGGATCAATAACGATTGGGGAGTAACCTGGGACATAGTTGATCGAAAGAGATGAGATGCTGGCATATGGGTCAATTCGTGATATGAAAGTTGTGTAATAGCATGCCGAACGATCATTAACAGCATTGGCATAGAGAACCCTGTTTGAGAACAATGAGAGGCCTTTGTAAAACACTGAATCCTTATCAGAAAGGACTGAAAGCAATGGACGGTTGGTATTGCGGAAGTTATCGATCATAAATAGTTGGCGGCCTGAGGCAGAGAGAGTGCGAGCCCCGAGGACATTCCTAATCAGAACCATCGTTAGGATAGGGTTTAGGAAATAGGAAACTGAAGACAAACCAAATATGATTGTGCCAACCAAGGAGTGGTGTCCTCACGCCTAGATGCGGAGTTGCGAATGTGCAAAAGTTCTAACTCAAGTAAGTACATACCTCGGGCTACTAAAAAAAAACCGAGAGAAATCATACCATAGGCTGAATCTTTTCAAAATATCCTTTAGAGTATAACAATCCGACGGCGTACCTTGCGACGAGGCCTCCTAAAGTAGTTAAATCACCCACTAGTTAGCCTTATTGAACCTCACCTTATTATTGCTTTCTCTTCCCACTTCCATCATTTAGGATCCTTTACATGTCGATAATCTAGGTAAAACCAGTGTGTGTGTCGCTCCGAGGAGTTGCAAGTAACCTACCAAGTGAATACCCGACAACACTCATCTTCCGAATTTCGATACCGTTCCGAGCATATTCCTCCAGCGCATCTTCGATCTCTCTGGTCACACGCTCACCACCTGTTTCGATTCCATCATAGGTGAATGTCCCAGCGTTGCGTTTCACAACAAGTATCTGTAATATCGATTTATCATAACGAGCCCGCAACGCCGAAGCGAGGTATTTGAGATGAGAGGGGTTTCCCCATAATCTGTTTGGCGAAAGTTTGTGAGTTAAAAAGGCTCTTTGGGAGAAGGCAAATAACTAATATAGCTGGAAATAATCGGCCTACCCATGCACAAGGACACAAAGATGGTCACCCTTATCGTTGGAAACTGGAGATTCCATATTTTTCGTTTTGGTGAGTAGATTCGAAGTGGCGCAACAGCCGGAAAGAAACAAATGATATACCAAGAAGTTCAGTACAGTAAAAAGAAAGTTATCGGGGGCTGTTGTGGTAAGGGAGTAATTATGGAGTGGAAAAGGCAAAGACAAGAGTAGCGGTTACGGTCAGCTGAATGAGTAAATAGGAGATCGATAAAAGTTGCTCCGGTGTATACGGCAACAGAATATAGGAATAGGAGGGAAGGAGATGAGAAATATCCAAAAGGAAGAGGGGCACGGGAGCATAGAGTAGAGATATTATTCCTAGTGGACAAGGCCCTATCTTGGGGACAGATGACTGATGTACTAGGGTCATTCCGTACGCTCCGTCCCTGGCCCTGAATTCAACCATCATGACATACAAAGTACATACCTAGAGGAAGCAAACGAAGATAACTGCTAACTACACAGCGTCATCAACAATAACAAAATCCTTCTGGGTTGCTCACTCCCTTGAATGCCATGTCTATACCTACATAGACGCACTACAGGTTTAGATGTAGGCGTCAATGATTAGGTCACGAATGAGCCTGGCGCACGCGACCTATCACCAGAAACATGAGTCGAGATAACGTGGCGGGGTGAGGTGCATGATACAGTATCTTACACCTAACCCTGCACCGCTGATGTTGAAACTGGCCTTATGATAAGAATCTCAGTGAAGATATCGCTCCAGCCGCGATGTTTTCGGCTTCCCGGGATAAAGGTACAGATAAAGAGAAGACTTTCACTGGTTTAGGCCAACTGCATAAAGCCTGTGGTTTGCCCGCCCAAATGGCTTTTTCGGTGGTATGTAGCCTTGTATTATTATACCTACTTATATGCATCATCGGGATTGCAGATATCCTTGAGGGAAATCGTGCTCAGCCCGGGCGCTTTCTAAATCTCCGTCAAGGCTTACATCTGACCCTACATAGTATACTATGTGAGCTGCCAAAGGCAGAAAGGGGCATCAAATCCATTAAACTGCTTTGTCGACAATGTCATCCAAATCTACAATTCCGGATACTTGGTTATCCGCGGTTAGGCGGTCGAAAAGCCCTGAAGAAGTTTGACGCGTGTAATGCCCTGCACGGTTGATACTCTAATTACTGACACTTTGGCTTTCGGAGGACCCATTTCCAATTCGGTAAAATCAGTGTACATACAAGTACATAATACATGTATCTACATGTACTTACATGTATTTACTTGATGTGAGCGCAAGGTTAGTAGATAAAGATACATGTACTAACATGGTACAGCGAGAGGTAAAATTATTGTAGAAACAGGGGTCTAAAAACAGGGTTTTTGTGGCTGGGCAAGCCAATAGGACTCCTCCCATATTTCTACAATAATCTTACCGCAAGCTGTACATGTATGCGCGTGTAGCACCGCTTACAATGTGATTTTCCGGGTTCGGCATTACCCGCGCGGGGGGTCACGTAGTGTGCATTAGCGAAATAGCCCCTCCACATCTTCAGTCGCCCACTCACTTCATACCCGATAGCTTTACCAACTCTCACACCTAACACCTCATCGTTAAGAGCATATCATCATGCCGGCCTCCCTCAATAGACCACCGAAACCTCCTCAAAACACAGAGCCTACTGCCCCTCCACCGCCACCCATCGACAGTATCACCTTCACCACCCCCGAAAGACGTCTCATAACTGTCAATGATCTAGTTCTCTACACAGCATCACCCACACATGACCTCATCGTCTGCTTCATAACAGATCTCAAAAATTCGGTCCTCAATACCAAAAACTCGCACGAATGTGTAGTGTCTCCGCTAGTATCAAAGCTCTTAAACATCCTCGACGAGATTCGGGGAATTGTTGACGAGCACCCGCCAGAGGAAGCTGCCGGAAGATTCGGGAATAAATCATTCATGGGTTTCTATGATGCTGTCGCGGAGCGGGCTGGTAAGTTGCACGAGGAACTAGGGCTGCCTTCAGAAGCTGCGAATGAGGAAGCGAGACGTTACTTGGTTGAGTCTTTTGGTAACCGCACTCGAATTGATTATGGTTCTGGCCATGAACTTAATTTCATTTCCTGGCTGTAGGCATTACCAAAGCACAATGATTTTCCATTACTAACAAGCCTCATAGCCTTTGCTTCCGCCAATTATCTCTTGTCACACCCATCGACTATCAAGCACTAGTCCTTCGTGTCTTCAATCGTTATATCTCTTTGATGCGTCACATCCAAACCACTTACCTCCTAGAACCTGCTGGCTCCCATGGTGTTTGGGGGCTTGACGACTACCAATATCTCCCTTTTCTGTTCGGCGCTTCACAACTCTACTCTCACCCTCATCTCCGGCCAAAGTGCATCCATGATCCGGAAATACTTGAGGAGTTCTCAAACGAGTACATGTACCTTGGTTGCATATCCTTCATCAATTCCATCAAGACTACTGCAAAGCTACGATGGCACTCTCCAATGTTGGATGATATCTCAAATGCGCGGAACTGGGCCAAGATCACAGACGGGATGAAGAAGATGTATGAGACTGAAGTGCTGGGGAAATTACCAGTCATGCAGCACTTTTTATTCGGTGGCATATTGAAAGCGGCGGAAGGTATGGGTGTGTATGAGGAAGAGGAGAGGGCAGTTGAGTTTAAAGAGGGGAGGGTCGTGGTTGATAAGGATGGGATGACACATGTGCACAGTGGATGGGGCGAATGCTGTGGAATCAAGGTCCCATCGGCGATTGGAGCAAGGAAGGATGAAGAGAAGCAGAAGCTGAGAACCATCCCAAGGATTCCATTTGATTAGGATGAGATAAAAAAAAACCCTGGTAGTTCAGGTGGATTTATGAATCGGTTTACACCAAGCATTCTCCGGCGAGTTGAGCAAGGATCACGCTGCGACCCCATTGTTTCTAAGAGGCCAATACCAAATCTTCTTAAATGTGTTTCCCGGAGAGATTACGCAATGGATAAAGATGATTAACTTCGATAGTGAAGTATAATAAACAGCAGGTCATTCCTACAGATAAACACATGCATGTATTATTTCAAATGTCGATACTTTAACTACTTCACCTTTATGCTGATATTCATTATCTAGATATTTATATAGAGCCTTTCAAATGCTCTAATCGTGTAATCGAACGAGACTTTATGGCAAGAAATTAAAAATAAGAAATAAATAAAATAAAATAAAATAAAAAAATAAAAAAATTACTATGGCATATTATATTAGCGTCATGTCACCAAGGCTTGTCATGTAACACTCTCAAGCCATCGTCCGGCCAGCCAACCATACTTCTCTCGATAAAAAAACTCCAAATCTCTACAACGAAGCACATAAGAGGTTAAGTATTTGCCTCGGGGTCAGAACTTCCTTATAGTCAAATATGGCAAGTTGATGGCGACCAGTCAACAAAGCCACGCAGAGGAGCCCTCCCATATGAACAAAAACAGGTGAGAAATAAGAGGGGTAACCTACATGTACTATGGTCCTGTGTACAATTTCTCGTAACCAAGGGATACTAATTTTTAGAAAATCAAGGATCTAACTACAACACTGCTATTGTAACTCAAGTATAGCTCTCCGGCGCATATGGAGCAAGGACCGTTTACCGGGTTGGAGTGGACTTCTAAATGAGCTAACCAAGCTTGGTTGTGAATGATAAGAATCTTACACAATTATAAAACTAGATATTGTGAATGTGTACTGACATAAGTGCGGGGGTTTTAGTTACCCCTTCGTGCCCTTCATTTCTTTCCGGCACAATCCAGCTCTCACCAAAAAACAAGATTACCTTGATGCCCAATAATTAAGGGGTTGTACCTGAACGAAGAACCCAGATTTTGATCGGTTGGTTAAATACCTAATTGCAGCCGATTTAAACGCTTGCTACGTACGTCTTCTGACCATTTGTCTAGAGAATCCCTTCAGGACAATGACTTCTAGGGTAAGCAAAGCCTAGACCTCCTCGATCCTCGATTCAGCTACGGAAACAAATAGTTACGGCCGTACTTATAGCCGGTGTAGCTGTCCTCTCTAGCTAGGTTACGTACATACACGCGCTTACTTCTAACATGGTGGCAACAAAGCTTATTAAAGAACGCATTACTAGAATACAATGGATTCGACTGCAACTCGGAATAATGATTTCCGAGAACTATTTACTCAAACGGAAGTCTTTCTCGAGAACATGGACTCATAGCACAATGTGTTAAGAGTAGATCAGCCCATGATTTGGCACTAAGTACATATATATGCTGCAACTACAAGCTGAGATAGCTGACCGCTGATTACAATTATCTAGATATGTCTCCGAGGCACATACCGCTGAACACAATCTAGCTAGGGCTTCAACAACTTGCAGGCCGAAAAATAAACTTAAGGGTAAAGCTTACCGAAACCTATATCACAGGATCGAAAATTTCCCGTGGATTTTCATTTGGAATACGCCATACACAATCCGGTATGGGACATGGTGGTGGCGCCCATAGAGTGAAGAGCAAATAGGAAGATAATTGTCCAAGCGACACCGCCACGTCCTACAGATACCGTAGTACAGGGCCGATTGAGGAAATATCTGTTGATGCAGCCAGCGACGCCATGTCTGATATTCTCTTTTTATTTCCCACAAGGAATAACACATGTATGTTTCCCTCTTTATGCTAAGTCGAAACATTGAACATCCTCCTTGATCTAAACCATGCAGTACCTATATTGGTAAACTCTATAGATCTGGAGGTTTAATGAGAATAGATATGGTGCGCCCACTCTTAAAGGTAACCTAAAGTGACGGAAAGTTAATCGTTTATAACTTCACCACCAAAAATGATATCAAAAAAGTAGAAAAATAGAAGTATAGTAATAGTGATGGACTTTCGTTCTATTTTTCCAGAATTTTAATATCTGTCTGGGTTGTAAAGCCTTAGGAAGTTGAAATTGCGTATTTTTGTATGTAAAATGCGCTAAGACTGAATAAAGTGGAATAGTATTATACCCATTTATGCCCCTAGAAAAGCAAACCTGACTGATCCGTGGCAGTAATGCAGCAGAATGGCCCTCTTATTGGCCCATGAGACCCTATTGCAGCCACAATTGTTCCACTTCCGTATGCCGCCATATCACCTTTAAGAGTGTGCGCACCATACATGCGAATATTAACAGGAACCGACTCACAGGGTGCTGCAATCCCGGGGTTATCTTGTTAATACTTCTGTGGGTTTCGGGTGGTAATAACCTGAGCTACATACAGTCGTCTCTGGGTCAACGACGAAACCAGTTCGATGGCGAATAGGCCAATCGAAGCCAATAAAAGCCAACAAAAGCGCCCCGACTCCTTTGCTTTAACTGACTATCAGCCCAAAAAGTAGCCACTCGTCATCGAGCCGGGTTCGTCGTTGACCCAGAAACGACTGTACCCTGTCTAGCTAGACCAGCAATACCATGTCACACATTTGCCTATCCAACAAAAGCATATCACTTTTCCGGGGTCGGAGAAATTTGATAACTATCTGAACATGATCTCAGTTATGCCGTAAGCTTACACTCCCACCTATTCTTTCCCAAGATAGACTAACTCTCGACCTCACCCTCGTAGTAGCTACTGTTTTGTCTCGGAATGAATCGGGGCGCCATTTTTCAGCAGTATTACGATGAAGATCGATCTGGCTGCTGTCTCTCAATCCTATAGTTTAAGATTTTAAGAGACCTTTTTACTGTTAATTCGGGGAAGTACAAGCCCAGGACAAGGATTCAAATCCCCTTAGCAGCCAAATACTCTCGTTTCCCATACGCCAGAGCACATATACATGCTCAAATAATCCTCGGATACTTTACACAATCAGCGAAGGTTGGGTCAGGTGAAACTTGAACGTCCACCGCATACTCTTTAGACAGATCCAAGACTTCGGGCCGAGTACACCATAAGCGGAGTACAATACCAATACCAAGGCCAAATGTCAAAGATCAATGGATTTATACCCCCTATTCGATACTATCATGAAAATCAGATACCCTGTTCTCGCCTCGTATCTGGACAAGACACGAGTACGAAAAGTACAAATACATGTATACACGGGTACAAGCTAGTTTAATTGGCACGTCTTCCGCTCGCAATACGGGCGTTTACTCCCCATATCTAAAAATCGGTTTACTGCAAACAATCACTACCAGTAACTGACCTTGAATGTTATTATTGGCTCCAAAGATTCAGACTCATAAAGGCTACTCAATACTAATCTGATCTAAGTACGAACACGTATCATTACATGGCGTATATGCATGCACCAAAGGAGATTTACATTTATAAGCATAGTATTTATCGGAATACACTGACTGATTAAGGGGCATAGACTCCCCTTGTCCACTCTCTAAATGACTAGCAGAATATGCATTGAGCTTCACAACTAATCACTCGGTACGTTGAATTCGGCATTGGTGCATACACAGCAAATTCCCTGTTTCTTGGGGAGTTCCACGTTAAGGGGCATAACGAAAATTCATAGTACATGAATTTATAACTGATCTGACCGGGTTAATAATTATGGCTATTCTACGACCCTTATAATGACTTCCTATCTGTTATTGGGGTCCTTCATTACCGAGCACAAGGTGCTCCGAGTTTACCTACTGAACTAAACTGGCAATCTAAATATCAGGGCCATAAATAGGAATTTGCGCGCGATGTCTTATTAGTACCGGTGAATCAAGGAAAGAACCTATACAATCTTGAATTTAGCGAATATAATATACCTGTGAGAATACCACTGAACTAATTGACTCCCAAGTGCGGAACGCACAGTCCTACCTTCAAGATGCTGCGCCTTGGATAAAGAATAGGGGTTTAGGTTGAGATATCCTCTCTTAAGTGAGCACATCTGGGGTAACCTCATGAGACGTTTGACCAGGTGCTTGAAGCCTTGTAATCCCACCAATAGGGGGGTAAAGCACCCATGTATCACAATTTCATGTATACCAAGTACCTGATTGAGTGCACATATACATTGGAATTGTTTGTGCGGCATCACTTCCTTTGCACTAGAGCCCATTTACCGTGGGAGCGGTATATTCCGTGATGGGTGGATAGGATTGCAGACCAATCGGTTTTGCTAGATTGTGTGCAGCCGTGTCTCAGTTCCTATTCGCGAGGGTTAAGGTTGGCGAGAATCCGTTAGTTACAGATGCCGAGAGAAGCATTGCTAACCGCTCGGCGGAATGTGCGAGTTGAAAAGCTCATTTTTGAGGATAGATCCTGTGTGCCGCCGTCTCCACGAACGCGGTTAATTAAACGCAGGTCAGTTTGACTTTGAATATCCTGCAAAAACCTCTGAAGAAGAAGAAGAAGAAGAAGAAAAAGAAGGAAATGCCTTGCAGGTTGATCGTTTTACTCCTAGGAAAAATCGGCAGTCAAGGCATGGCGCACCTTGTTTCCAGCTTCCGATCCGCTAATGATTATTATAGGCAGCACTTTTAATTGGTCCCTGGGATACAGATTCACTATAGTATCGCTACCAGAGGACAGCCTCATCATCTTGGTTGGGGTATCGGGGTATCAGTGATCGAGATTCCACATCTTCTAGAACCCCACATCTCGTATCTTTTCTTTACTCCACATAACACCACTCATGCGTCGGATAAGCCTACGTATGGTGTTTGGGCCTACACTCACTCATGGGGTGAAGGCGGATCCTGTCTGATTTGAGGCCAATAACAGAGTTAGGGTATGGACGCCAAGGGCAAATTACTGCAAACAGAACCATCAGACAGGACCCGCCGTCAGTAGGTGAGCGACTATACACAATATCAAGCCGGTCTAGATGCCGAACGTTAGTGTCTCACACAAAAACCACATGCACCATTTCTAGTTAGTAGGGAACTACCATCAAAAGCCCGACTTGTTTCCCGAGTTCTACAGGGGAGACTAGAACAGCCCTAATATACATAGACGGGAGGAAACAAATGTAGTAGTATGTCAGATTATCTTCCATCCTCGTAGTAAGGCTTACACGAAAATCCGTTTCTTCTACTAAGTCACCGGATGGCGCAACAGATAAGTTCCAAAGGCCTTTAAATTCCGTTTACTAGTTAGGCGAGCACACAAAAGAATTTTCAAAACGAGTTTACTCTGCCAAACGCAAGTTATTCTTTTGGCTACAATGGTGGGTTTGGCGAAAGAAACACAGGTCCTACTTTCAGTTCTTTGGTATCCCAGTAGCTCAAATTCCGTATATCAAACGTGAAAGATTTGCAAAACTGAGTTCTGAAGAAATCGGAATAGAGTCCTACCAAATGCCGTTGCCAAACGGGCCCAAGCAAAAAAAAAAAAACAATGCAGCCAAGAGATGATCTGGAGCATAAAAATATGATGCATCTCAGCTTCATACTCTACCTACTCTAGTGCTCTCCTCTACACAACTCCAGGAGCCACCAAATGGGAATGCAGTGCCTGTTTGAGGAATCGACGTATCACCTACAAAGTTTAGGGAGAATAATAGAGTCTCTACAGTCACTCACGGGTGAAGGCGGATCCTGTCTGATGGCGGTCAGGGATTTGAGGCCAATAAAAGAGTTAGGTTTTGGACGCCAAGGGCAAATTACTGTAAACAGGACCATCAAACAGGGTCCGCCGTCAGTAGGTGAGCGACTGTACAAAATTTATTGCATCCCCAACGGGCCGTTCCCGATGCACGCCATATCTCTAATTGGGGCCCGTAGGAAAGTGGCTAAGATCCAATTATCCTGCTACTTTTTACAACATCTCTATTGTGTAATTTTGTCTCACTTTGTTTCCCTGATTATCGAGGGAGGGGGGTAGACTGAGACCAATATTTTCTGAAGAGCTATGAAGCCACATGGCCCTTCTCCTCTCAACGAACCCCTTAGTTATATAAGATCAGAGCGCTCCTAAGACTATAAGCATCCAGCTCCCAAATCCTCGGAACCTACCCGCTCCCAACTACACACCCAGAACACAAAGGCATCTATCCTTACGCGAATCAACCCGACGCTATGTTGAAATACGTTATTGAAGTTGATAATGATTATGGAACCACTGCCGATTATATGAGTGGTTATGATAGTGATACAACAAGTCTTTCAAGTACGGTGAAGGGCCATGTTTATGAGAATGGAAGGCGATATCATGGATGGCACGAGGTAAATAGTTTTTCCAATCATCAAAATTACGGAAAAGGAAGGCTCAGCTACTAATACTCGGGTGGGGTAATTATAAGGGGAGATATGCAATGCCCAATGATGAGGAAGAGCAGGACCGGATGGACCTGCAACATCACATATGCTTATTAGCACTGAAAGGCCGCCTTCACAACTCTCCCCATCTTGAGAACCCGCAGAAGATACTCGATCTCGGCACCGGAAACGGTATATGGGCCATTGACTGTGGAGAGTAAGAACTCAATCCATTCTTCGTCCGTTTCTGCCCGAGGACCCATAACTAACAATTCCACAGTGTATATCCCGATGCCGAAATCGTTGGCGTCGACTTCTCACCGATCCAGCCCCGCTGGGTGCCCCCAAACGTCACTTTCGAGGTCGACGACGTAGAGCAAACCTGGACCTACCCGGATAACACCTTTGATATGGTACATATCCGCCAGCTTATCGGCTTCATAGACGATTGGCCTAAGATCTACGCACAAGCCATGCGGGTCCTCAAACCCGGAGGCATACTTGAGATCAGCGACTTTTTCGCCTTTGGCTCCGACGACAACACCCTCCCGGACGACTCAACAATAATGAAGTGGTGCAGGATGTGGATTGATGGCATCTCTAAAGCCGGGCGCCAGCTCCCCACGTCCGACCACTCAAAGCAGATGGCTAAGGTGGGCTTCGAAGGCATTCAGTACGAGCAAATCAAGATTGCGCTCGGGACCTGGCCAAAAAACAAGGCGCAGAAGGACCTGGGCTTCTACATGCGTCAGCACATGATTGATGGGTGCGACAGCATCTCTCTCGCCGTGTTTACAAGGTTTCTGGGAATGGATAAGGATGATGTGAAGAAGCTGAATAATCAGTTTAGGAAGGACCTGTTGAATAGGTCGTACCACTCGTATACGAATTTTTATGTCACGTATGGGAGGAAGCCGTTGGTACCTGCTGTTGATGCTACTGCAGCTCCTCCTGCTGCTGATATTAGTTAACTGTGAATGGGATGTGATGGAACATCTGATGTGCAGGTGATATGATGCCCGGAGAGGCCGAAGGGACCGGGCCCTAGGACGGGCCGTGGGAGAGGAGGGGACAAGGGGTGGAATATTAGATCTATGTATAATCTCAATCTATTTTATTTTTTCCTTTTTTCCCTCTCTTTATTTTCTTTTCTTTTTCCTTTTCTTATTTTTCGAAGCGTGTGGTTTGTTTTTTGTTTTGCTTTTCCTTTATTACGGTCTGTTTTTTTTTTTTTTTTTTTTTAGCCATAGCTACATGTACATAAACACATAGCTAAACATTTTACAAATGTTGGCATCAAGTACATGTATGTACAGTCGCACCTCGCTATGTCGTTAGCGCGTTCGAGGAGCTCAGTCCGTACGAGATAGCAAATATACGAGACAGCGAATAATAATTCCCAAGCTGACAGGGGTATGGAATCAAAAAATCATTTTTGAATGGAATTCCATGCTGAATCTATCTAAATAACTGGAATTCGAACAGGTACCTAATTAGAGATAGATACAGGTATCAGTTGTTAAAATATCCTGAAATTCATATAAAGGTTATTGAGAGGTTTAACTCCTATAGATAAGAGATGGAGCGATCCTCTGAGCCTAGTACTCTGAGCCTATGTACAGAGCAGTGAATCTTTCTTAAGCTCACTCCTCTATTAGAATAGCTGCTCCCTCAACCCCCGCTATAACTGCTGCCAAGACCTAAAAATCCGAGATAGCAAATATTATTTGTATGGAGACAGGGGGTATCTGTTCTCAATTTTCCATACGATCCGAAAAGTGCCAAAATACGAGATAGCAAATAGGTTTTGGTGTGGAAAACAAGTAGCAGGCCAATTCGTACGAGACAGCGAGAGATCCGGGATATCGAGATACGACATAGCGAGGTGCGACTGTACATTGTATTGAGCTCACCTGGTTTTGCACCTTACATATAAGCACAAGGCGTACGTTTACTTTATGTACACATTTCAGTACATGTACGTACTAATCGCCTGAGCATAATGTCCCGGCATATATATGGATGCACCCTATAGCTATCTCACATGCGATCCCAGAGAAAACCTTAAAAACATATGCCGGTGAACGTGGCCGACCCCTGAATATACATCACACCAAGGGGGTGCCGTCCCCTTTCAAACATCTGGGGCTGGGGACCGAGGGGCGGGCCCTGATAAGGGGTAAATATATGGGGAGGGGGGGCACGGGAAGGATAACCTTAAAATCTGGCAGGTGTCATCATACATATCTATCACTCGGTTCCACCAGCGGGGGTTCTTCCCCCTTCCCCTAGCTAGTTGCTCGCCATGCAGTGATCTGCCGCCCCCGCTGTATCACATCCACAAGTATACGCGAGTGACATTTTATATATATATATATATATATATTTGTTTGTTCTCCTGATAACTCCTAAAAACAGAAGACGAGATTGGTGAGTGAAGAAGAAGAAGACAAAAAGGGGGGGTAGAGGGGTAGAGGAATCATAAAATCATCAAAGACACCGGGGATAAAGATTACTCCTGAAAATTAGACAAACCATGCAATAACTATTCTCCGCGCGAGGCGGGGTTGAATTCATTTTCTACCTCATATCATCGTAATAATGTAGCCTATGAACTCCTTTACCGCCATTTTTTTTTTTTAGGAAAGAAGGAAACATTAATAGAAAGAAAAAGAAGGAAAAAAACTCCGGCCAAAATTCACACAACTCATGATTCACCATAACTCCGCAGGGCAAGAAAATTGCAAATTAAGGGCGAGCGTGTCTTTGCTCCCTCATAACAGAGTTTTGGTCACGAGTGGTTTCCGAGCATAAAGAAGCCATGCCGTCGTGAATGTGTGGATTTTCGGGTTCAATAGGTCCTTCCTGATTTTTACCAACAGCTCGTCAACATCGGTCTTTTTCCAACCAAGCACACGTGTAAACATATCCAATGTGATCCCCTCGGCTCCTTCCACCCATTGCTTTAGCATGCACATTCCAAGCTCCTTAAGATTCGTATCTGGATGCCATCCGCCTGTCGGGATCACGCCCATCTCACCAACAGCATCAAAAAACCCAGCAGCGCTGACAATGGTCTTAATATTGGCAGAAACAGAGAGCCACTCTCGCCCACTCCTTATATTCCCCTCTTCCCACAACTGGACCCATTTGTGAAGGATGCTGTTTTCGTCGCAGGTGCCATCGTTACATTGGAAGGGTTTGGAAAAGTCCTGCAGTTCGATATATCCGCCTGGTTTTAGAGCAGCAAAGCATTGCGAGATAAGTCGTGGCCAGTCTTTGACAAAGCCAGCCATTCCGCGAATGTGGATGAGGTCAAAGCTATTTGGAGGAAAGACCCAGTCATCTTCGATATCCTCGATATAAAAGTCGAGGTTTGGCGGCATCCATGGTGGGTTCGTCGGTGCGATATCGTTACCTATTACCTGTGAATCTGGATGCTGGCTACTCATTTTGTTAGAATTCTAATAAATAGTAAGGAATTTGGGGGGGTTACTTGGAGCGGCTGAACTTACTCTGCAACTTCGATCGCCCAAAGCCCAGTCCCCGTGGCAAGATCAAGAATACGCAGAGGCTCTGGACCAACTGGAGCCTTGAATAACTTCCCAGCTAGCAAGAGAGTCCATATATGATGAGTCAACTCTAGGCGATTCCACTCCTTGTCGTCGTTTGGGAATGGATACTTGACCTAGTAAGCTAAATGTTAGTACAGCCCCCCAAAATGTTTCTACCCCAAGGCGCGTAGCAGCAGGGGAGAAAATCAGATAAAGCTTACCTGTCGCCTAGCAAAATATCGACGGCCGTTCTCATACTTGAAATTATAGTCGCTTGATAGGATTGAAGATGGATAACTATCCCCGGAAGCATAGTCAGAATCGTCGTCGAAATAATCGACCATGGACGGGGCCATAGGCGACATCTGTTGAAAGCCAGAATCCTCGCCTCCAATTTGGGAACAATCGATGTTCATGGTTGGCAGATTGGAGGAAATAGAGTGTGCTGAGTAACGATCGTTTGGCCTGGCACTGTCAATTTACCTTACTCTATATCTTGGATCAAAGCTTGGTTGTTGTGACGAGTAAAGCAATGTAGATTCGCTAAAGCAAGTTGAGGGAGTGGTGCTTTCCAGGTCAGTGGGTCCGTCACAGGGCAAGGTGATATCTTCTTTTTCTCTGCCCTTTCGCTTCGAGTACTCCGAGTGATCGTAGGCTGCTCGTCTGTTCGTGGGGGTGGTTCGGATTCCTGTATGTACAGCCACTACATACCTCTGGGGCTGATTTTTTTTTTTTTTATTGCGCGTAGGAGGTGTAATGGATAATCGATCATATCATTGTGAGCCGTTTGTTCTCGCATCATCCTTGTGAATGTGGCTAACAACATCCGAGGCTGATTGCAAAGGGGTAAATTCGACATCCTGGCCCTGGTATTTCTTATCAACAGAGCTTATTCCTTTGTGGAGCATAGGAGTTACGTGGTTGTGCCTAAAGAATATGTATGAGCATGTATCAATTCTGTAAGACCTGTTTAGTATTTACTGCGTGTAACAATGAACCGGTCAGTGAGTAACCTTCATCAAAACACAGCATTGGACGTGGTAGGCAGATGTGTCAATCATTAATCTGGAAAAAAAGTACCGTTAGTATTCACTCTTCAAACTTTCTTGTGATTGGTTCTAATACTTACCGCGAAAAGCTCTCCCTCCCAATCGCAAAAATTGGATTTATGGTCGTTATTATAGTAGATTCAATGAATTACTAAAACTTACTAATTAAGCACCGAGCTATGATACTTTGGTGCTTCTTGTGCAAGCCACAAAATATTTGAGACATTCCCCGCAAAGTTATTGGATTTACCCATGCTACTTGAACCGCCTTCAAAAAGAAAGGATTGTCCTCGGGATCACCTACCGTGTCTCAAGACTAGGCGAACTTTGTTTTGTCGGGTATTATTGATGTTCACCTGTATCACACCTAATCGGGAGCAATATTGAGAGACGCCGAGTGACATATCATGCTTGACATCGTCGCACTACTTCTTGAACGGGATGTAGAAAAGATCGACCTAATTTAAAGCTATTATTTATTTATGAAAGTGCTAATGTTTAACATTAAGAAACCTAAATTGAAAGTGACATTAGCTGTGATTCATCAAAAATTGAAGGGAGTTTATAATTATACCTTCAAATCCTCCACGTATTTCTTTTCAACAAGTAGCAAGCTGCATTATTGAAACGATATCGTTTCAGCGATGTATATATATAATATCGACATTATTTCTCGCCATGTTTTTCAGTACCCCTCCATGCTCGCATCCTACACCTAAGCCAGCACTTTCTATGCCTACCACCCACTCCTCCCCACAATCCTCTCAGAGACATAAACCTAAGACCTTTCGCCATAGGAACATCCTCCACGAGCATAGTAAGTCTCTTGAAGTCCCCACTATTGAGGTTCATTGTCTTTCTATCGCCTTTCTTAGTGGTGAATCCAGGAAGAGGATCACTCAACGAGCGCTTAAGAAAACCGGAGGAAGGAGTGTCGTCAGAAGGTTTCTGGAGTGGTCCCTCAACGCTAGGGTCCGAGGTCCGTCTCGTCATACCGAATTCGAGATGATAGTTAATAGAGTTAGCATCTTCATCGACCATCCATTCCTGATCAGCCATCGAACGAGAATTCCCAAGCTCGCTGCTACAATAACCATAACTGGGAGAGCAAGGAAGGTCATAAAATGGAACATCGAGTCGAGGGAGATTTCGGCAACCATTCGCAGTGGAGTCGCAGATATGGGCTTCGCGATTATATTGCTGTACGAAATGTTGAGTATATGCCCGTTGGCGAGCATACCTGGATGGATATGAACCTTGAGACCTTTTGCTTGAACGATTCCCAGTGCTATCCAAATAATTTTCGAAGGTATCAGAATCCTCATGGGTTGTATCAGACACCCTAGAGCTGATTCTCGCTAGGGCATTAAAGGAACCGCCATCAGATAAGAAACTGAATGTCCTGTCATCGTCGATAGTAGAGCTAGAGGTTTCATCGTGACCAAATAGTGCCCACCAGGTATCCGGCGTAGGAACATTGCTTTTATTCACTACCGGTTCCACATACGAGTATCTAATTCTCGTATAGGTCTTTGAATCTTCATTCATGGAGGCTAGGATCCTCTTGACACCCCTCTCCGTTAAAGATTGACACCCCTCTAGGATCAATGAATTTCCATTTTTAGTGGAGTTCAACAACTGGCACCCACCTACAATCCATGCTAAACACTCGTCTGTGAATCCTCCAATACCTTTTACTTGAAGTTTCTTTAGCCTCTCTAAACTTTCGTAGGTTCTAAACATTTGATCTCCAGGAACAACGACTCTGGGAGGGTAATATTCCTCATCGCTGAGACGAAATGTCTCACAGCCCATGTCTATAATCAGTTGCTCTAGACTTTGTGCACACAGCGAAGAAATTGCACAGAGAAGAAACGTGGCAGGCTGAAACAAAGGGCAGAGACCATTGGTGATACGAAGATACTTCAAGTGTTGTTTACTGACAAAGCCCGGCACTGTGAGTATGGCAGTCTGAAAAGCAATCCCAGCCCCCGGGAAATCGAGAGTCAGAGATTCAAGTGCTTCAGTATGCAACTCCAAGACAATCCTAATGTTTAGGATAATCTTTTTGGACGCCTCGCGTCGTGCATGGGGTGTTGTATAGAACGAATACTGTGTTTTTTGCAGCCAGCAGAGGGTTAAAGACTTCAATGCAGTGTTTTGACCAGGCCAAGAGGATATCGAGAGGTATGAAACGAATTTGATTAGAGATAAAGCAGAACGGGTTGTAATTCTGGAGTATACATCATTCCTGAAGAGATTGTGAAAATAGGAACAGGTTGACGAAAGCCTCAGCAAGAGTGCTCGCCTGGAGCGAGCGGAGCGAGAACTCGAGTTGATGACATGAAGCATGATCTTATGAATGATCTCAACAGGAACTCTTGAGAGGAACTGGGGATTGAGTGATGGGCGTTGCCGGGGGTCATTTTTCTGGGAAGGGGGAGGAGTAACAGCTGCAGGAGATGGATAGTTGGCAGAAAGTAGCCTGATGCCCATCTTGAGATGAAAACAGGGATTATCAGAGCGGATATTCTCAACAACCAAAACTAGCTCTTTCTCGCTCTGTAGCACTTGAGAGAGGAACAAGGGCTGAGAGTCGATGACTGCAACGAATGTGTATTGTCGATAGCTCCAAGCAGTGACCTGAGGATCGCGGGTTTCTAGGTAACACAGCGAGGGATAAAGGGGATTTAGGGGATGAAGTGGTCTCGTGCCCATTTCCTATGAACAGAAAGCGTGGAGATGAGTCCAGAGATAAAGCCACGTTAGGCTAAATATCAAACGGGCGACGTTGTGATAGCGAAATGCCAAAGTTTAATCTGAGTGCTAGCGTGGGGGGGCGACCGAGTGCTAGGTTATGATTCAAATGTTTATCTCCAACCTCCCCCAAAACTCCAACGGAACGTTAGAATAACATGCAACTCGTATTCTGAAGAGTCATTAGTCGTTGAACGAGGCTGGAGTAACTCTGTGGTAGAAGCACAATCTACTTATGAAATCGGGCTTCTGAGCGGTCAAGAATCAATTGGAAATTCACCCGTGGTATCAATGCCCTCATGATCAGCCAATGCATTATACCGGCCGGTCAGCTTTCTAATTGAGGGCAGTTCTGATGTACATGTATAATCTCAGGTCGTATGTTACATGTAACTTTGTGATGGCCAAGCATAAGAACAATGGATAAAAAGGCATAGAGCCAATTTCCGGCGTAAGGACGGACCCTGCCTTCGAATCCGACATATGGTGTGTTCCGCGAATCTCCTCGAGCAAGTTTTTTTTATTTTTTTCTTATTTTTCTTATTTTTTTTTTTGACATCAACCACAAGGATACGTGTCATGAATTTCGACGCTGCTGGCACCGGCACTACATGTATCTTCGGAGGATGGTCCTTGAGAAACACTCAGTTAATGAGGTTACAGGAAGTCTTACCCGGCATAGCCAGGATCTTTTCGCGCGGTCTGTCGCGCGGTCTGAGGGAGTATCAGATCAGCCAGAGAAGAAGAAGGTCCTGGATCAATTGGAACTAGTCGGTGAGGGCGCAAGGAAATGATTTTATTTCTCCAACATTCCCCATGGGCCATATCGCCGATATATGATGCCCATGACATGAGCATGCATGGCAAACTTGCTTCGCAAGCCTTTTTTTTTCTCCCTGTCTGCGGCGGCTATGAGAAAGAGGGTTTAAGAACCACACAAGGCTCGCACGTGCTGGCCGGATTATCGTGGGAAACGGTTGGCTGGACGTCATCGTCGGTTTCAGCACTTTTTCCATGCCGAAGGGAATTATTTACTGGGCCGGTGCACACTGAAGAATCCAGGAACTGCCCCTCCTCTTATCGAACCCGCTGCTTATCTAGATGTTTCATATATTACTTTGCAAGGATCATCACACGAGGAAGCTAAGTGCAAGGTCATAAGGTGTTGTTGCTGTGGCGCAGATGACATGCATGCGCCACCTTTCCAGGGTGGCTCTTGAATGGACGGCCAGACGTCGCTGCATGGAAACATGTTCGAGTTTCCTTCCCCATGCCCTGCATGCAGTTGATTAGCGGCGTGTCTCTAGCCACCACGATGCGATGCCTTGTGCCTGGAGCTTGAAGAATTATGTGCGGACCACTGAGCAGCTGCACTACTGCTACTGCAGCTAGCTGCCGGCTCGAGTACCAGAATTTGAGACGGGTGTTCGAAAGCCCTTCCTCCTTATGTCTCGGTCTGGTGTCTGAGTCCTCCCCACCACCACCATAGCTTCTATCTAGATTCGATAACTCCTGCCACTGGGTGGTGGTCCCCCCCTCCTCCTCATGATCCCACTTTTTTTTTCCCCTTCTGCTTACCTTTCCTTTTCCTAGTCTAACATTCCCAGCCCGCCCCGGCCCCCCCTTAGAATTCGTGAATATAAATAAAGGTTATTTTCTACTCCTCCTCAGCACCCCTTTCTTGCTAGCTAGCTGCAATCTGTCCCGCCACCTCTCACCGTTATTAGAGCCCCTCCCCCCCTTTGCACGCAAAAGTGTCCAGCTGTCATCTTAGGATTCCCATTGACTACACGTTGCATCCGCCAGTTCCATTGCCCCCTACCATCTGCTCCTCCTTCTCCCATTCCAAGCTGTGTTGTAACCACCACTTTTGCCACCATCTCGAACACTGAAATCCGTCCCCAGGAATCTCCGTATAACAAATATGAGCCCTATCGCAACCAGCACCAGCTCAAGCTCAAGCTCAAATTCGAGCTCAAATACTACCCCTAATGGTAATGGCAGCTCTAATACATCTGTAGCTACAGACTCAACAGAAGTCGTCAAGCCAGTGATTGCTATCATCGGAGCTGGCGTGTCAGGGCTCAAGGCCGCCCAGGTGCTGCTGGACAAGGGCTACGAGGTCGTGATATACGAGGCCCGGGACAGGGCCGGTGGCAGGACATGTACAAGTGATCGTCTGGGAAAGGAGGTCGACCTGTAAGAGACCTCCCCATCCATCCATTTTATGCTATGAAACCCACCCACCCACATCCACACACACACACCCACACACCCCAAAAAAGAAAAAAAAACCCAAAAGAAATGTGAAAAATGAACAAGAAGGTAACCGGCTGCTTCTACATATGTTGTTTTTCCGCGAAATTCAGAGGGCCAAACTGGATCCACGGCACCTCAAACAACCCCATAGTCCCGCTGTCGCAGATCTCGCAGTCGCAGCTGCACCAGTACTCGGACATCTGCCCCATCTTCACGCCCGACGGCGACGTCATGGACCAGGCCGAGGCCGACGAGCTGCAGGACCTGCTGTGGCGCGTGATTGAGCGCGCCGTCGAGTACTCCAAGGGCTGCTACACCGCCATCCCCGCGGACAAGTCGTTCTACGACTACTGCGTCGAGAAGGCGGAGGAGCTATTTGGGTCGAGCCCCGACACGGTCACGGTCGGTGACCGGGAGCAGCAGGAGAGTGCGGCGGGGATGGTGGATGGCGGCGGAAAGGGAGGGGTGAGGAGGGGTGCCATGAGCATGTGAGGTGGAAGGGGCAGGAGGAGAGGAGGAAAGAGATTTGGTTGGCGATGGCGGAGATGTGGGGAACGTTTATTGGGAGTAGTGTGAAGAGGCAGAGTCTGAAGTTTTTCTTCTTGGAGGAGCCTTTGGAAGGACGTGAGTACTGCGTGTGTGGATATTGTTATTTTCTGATTCTTGTGCTGGGGATGATTTCTTTTTTGGCTGACTTATGTGATTCGGGAGGATAGCAAATCTCTTTGTTGCGAGCACTTATAAGCTCATGATTCAGACTTTGTTGAGACCGGTATTGGGCGCCAATATCCTCAAGCTCGACACGCCCATTGACGAAATCACAACCGTCACCGAGGACGGCCGGAAACGGGTGTTCCTCAGCAGTCTTCGAAAGCCGCAGGAGAACCGTCTGGTGGACGGAGTGATCGTTACTACACCTCTAGGCTGCCTAAAGCGTGACATGATCAAATTCCAGCCACCTCTTCCCCAGCGGATAAAAGACAGCATCAGCTCCCTGAGCTACGGCAACCTCGAAAAGGTCCGCCCCACCATCCCCGTGTTCCCCCCAGAATATACCACAAAACTAACAAACCCCCGCTCCTGCCAGGTATACATCAAGTTCCCGCGCGCCTTCTGGGGCTCCGACGGCCCCGACTTCTTCACCTTCCTCGCGCCCACCTACGCCCCCACCACCAACCCAGGCCACTGGCACATGTGCTGCTTCTCGCTCGCCCACCTCCCGGGCGACTGCGCACAGCCCACCCTCCTCTTCTACGTCTTCGGCCCCATCTCCGCCCACCTCACCGGCACCCTCCCCCCCGCCACCACCCCCGAAGGCCGCACCCAATACCTCTCCTTCTTCGCCCCCTACTTCTCCAAGCTCCCCAACTACTCCCCCACCTCCCCAGACTGCACCCCCACCGACCTCGTCGCAACAGAGTGGTCCCGCGACCGCTGGGCCGGCTACGGCTCATACTCAAACTTCCAGGTCGGCCTCACCGCCGGCGGCGACGACATCGAGGCGCTGCGCGACGGCGTGCCCGAGCAGCGCCTCTGGTTTGGCGGCGAACACACCGCGCCGATACTCGGCCTTGGCAGCGTTAGCGGCGCGTACTGGTCCGGCGAGGACGCGGCGGAGAAGGTGGGGGCTGCGTTTGTTGCGCCGGGCGCGGCGGCGGCGGCGGTGGCGGTGAGGGGAGATGATGATGCGAGGAATGGGTGTAGGAGTGGTGTGCAGAAGAGTGGGAGGACAAATTGGTATGGGAAGACGGTGCATGATGGGCCTGCTGCTGCTGCTGCGGCGGCGGCGGCGGCGGCGGGGCAGTTGGCGGCTTAGATGTGGGGTGGGTTGGGGGGGGGGTTGTATTATTATAACGGCGGCGGCGGCGGCGGGGCGTTTTTGTGTGAGTTTCTTTTTTTATTTTTGTGTTGTTACTACTCGTAGTACAAGTATCAGTATCAGTATTAGTATTATTAGTTGCATGGAATGGCAGGATACAATGGGCCGGGGGGGTGGGATGCAATTACTGCCAGCTCGAGCTCTCCGACTAGACTCTCGGATCGAGCTTAGCTTCTAGGGAATAAATAAATAAATAGGGTATGGGTATGGGGTATTAGACGAATGGAATATTGGAAATGGACAAGAAAACCTCCTTCTCTTTCTGGTGTTTTGTGATTGGTAGTTAAATGTGCATGAAACCTAACCCTCGCCTGGGCGGATATGGGACTAGGCATGACCGAGTGATGGGTGGTGATGCACCCGCAAACTTAATCATACTTGTGCTTTCTAGCTGTGGTGATCATTACCGGTCTATTGAAAGGACTAATACACGCTTACTCGACTCTATAACAGACCTTATCATCTCCCCTCCTATCTCTATTCGAGAGATTGTTTTCAAGCTTAACTCAACCCCCTCCGCCCATGTGTGATTTCAAGTATGCAATACATAACCTCACAGTCAATGTATCAATGTCAATATGAAAACGCCCTCCCCCGCCCTCCACAAAATAAATAGCAGCCCTACCCCCTAGCTAGTGCCCTCAAATCTAGGCTATCATAATTATAAACCCCTATGCTACACACAGTATATATATATATATATAACCACCTAATTAATTAATCCCAATATACATAACCCACACCAAAGATACCAATGTTCTCCTGCATCCCCCCCTACGCCACAATCCACACCCTCTACCAAGAGCACCTCCTCTACCAAGAGCACCAAGAGCTTGCGCGCATCCTCGCCTCCGACCTGTACCGCCAGACGCGGCTGCAGGGGCAGGCACAGCGGCAGCAGCGGGGTCAGGCTTATGTCGAGCCGGGCCGGCAGCGGCGGCTGAATGCGCGGCGGGAGGAGGTGCGGCGGCGGATGGAGCGTGAGCGGCAGGAGCGGGAGCATCAAGGGGGAGGGGGGGAGGGAGTGGGAGAGGGAGAGGGAGAGAGAGAGGGAGAGAGGGATGGAAGAGAGATGGAGCAGCGCAGGGTACAGGGTGAGTACTGGGCGCGGGTGGAACGGCTGCGGCGGGCGCGGGTGGAGAGGATGCGTGTGGAGGTAGAGCGGCGGGAGAGGGGGGAGAGGGATGAGAGGGATCAGAGGGAGCTGGCGGAGAGGTGGGCGCGGAGGAGGAGGGGGAGGGATGCGGAGCAGGATAGGAGGAGGAAGGGGAAGGGGAAGGCGGTGGATAGAAAAGGGAAAGGAAAGCAGGTGGATAGGAAAGGTAAAGGGAAACAGCGAGATGACGATGACGATGATGATGATGATGATGATGATGATGATGATAACGATGACAATGACGATGAAGAGCCACGGTCGATGTTGGCATTGACGAGAGGGCCGATAATTCTTACTGGCTGGAGAAGAAGAGGCAGATGGGGTGGGCCTCCTATCCCAGCGCCAGATGCGCCCAATCCTCCTCCACCTCCCCCAAGGCCCAACCCCAATCCTCCACCTAGACAGCCTCCCCGCCCCCGCCCAGACAGCCGCCCCCGCCTCCCCCAAGACAACCTCCCCCTCCCCCTCCCCCTCCCCGGAACCAGCGCAGAAATCCTCCCCCTCCTCCTCCTCCCAGACAGCCTCCCCCTCCTCCTCCCCCGCCCCGAGACAAGCGCAGAGACCCTCCGAATCCTCCCCGCAGACGTCCACCACCACCACCACCCCCGCCCCGAAACCAGCGTAGAGACCCTCCAAACCCAAACCCAAACCCAAACCCAAACCCAGCCCAAATCCCCGCCCACATCCCCTTCCCCGGCAGAGAAACCTCAACCTTAACCCCAGCCCAAGAACCAAGCGCCCCCCGCCGCATCTTCTCCTGGGACGGCATCCACCGCCTTCGCAACTCCCCCTACTTTGGCCAACAAGACCGCCCCCTCCAGCCACAACCACGCATCGAGGACCGCAGCCACCGCAGAACACTGCAGCGCCTAGACGATCCCCACCGTCTACCGACCCACCAGCCGCCACCAGCGCCGCAGCTGGGGGATCGGAGCCGTCAGAGAGTGCTCGATAATCTTAGCCGGGCGCCGGCCGAGCCCAGGAGACCGCTCGTGCCCCAGAATGTTCCGAGACGTGCAGATCCGCCGGCGCCGGTGCCGGTGCCGCAGAGACGGAGAGAGAGGACGCCGCTGGTGCCGTGGAATAGGCCGTTGAGGATTATGGATGCGCCGGGGAGGAGGGGGGGGAGGGGGGGGAGGCAGTTTCGGGATTTTATGCCGCCGTTGCAGGAACAGGAGCCCGAAGAGGAGGAGGAGGAAGAAGAAGAGGAAGAAAGGGGGAATCCGTTGAAGGCGTTGCTTGCGCGGAGGAATAGGAGAAGATAGATTTGTTTATTCTTGATTTTTAATATATTGGTTATATGTATGAGCTCTGGTTAGCCATGATATATTAAAGGAGTGTCTAGAGGGTACTGCTAGGGGAAAATAAGTTTTTGTATATGGAGGCTATTTGAAAATGTGAGAATGGGGAGACTTGAGATTACCTACCTGGGCTGATAAAAGTGCCCCCGATTCATGTAATCATTTTTCAAGACGGGAGATATTTGCTACTGGTAGGTGTGCCACTGACACTTTCTCGCTAGTAATCGATTCATGTATGTAGTGGTCGAAGTTTAATTCAAACTTGAAAATATGTCGTGACGGGTCTTTTTCTTTGGGTCAGCCTCTCTAGTTTCTTAGATTATGTGATAGAACTTTCTTCCCTTTACCCCCCGTATGCCGACTTACAGTGATGAGGCTGCATCATGACAATGAATTCCTGTATGATTTGCCGTGTGACTTGGCCGCCACAACCTAGCTTCACAGGATCTCACTCGATATGATGTTCGCGTCAATCCAGGGTTAGGGTCAAGCCCATAAACACCCACAGTTATTATCACGCAACCCTTGGGGCGCCTTTTGAGTGGAAAGTGGTTTTGATGTATCGTCACCGTTAAGGATCTGGATGGGAACGTCATAGGTAGTCACTCGGAAAGCGCCGAGATTGGGTTCGTTGATCCCAAAGCGAGCCCTTTTCCTCTATTTGAAGTTCGATTGTAATATAACCAGCGGCAATCTAATTCAGGGTGGTAAAGCAAATCAGATTTGTGCTCGAGTAGATGGTAGTTTAAAGGAACAGGAGAGGAAGCTAACCGGCTATTTATAGCACCATGAACTCTGTCCTCATCTCTTCCTGTGATCGTGTTCTTTAGTGGTCGTGTCCTCTAGCCACATTGCCTCCAATATCTCCACAGCACCAGTGTGTTTGTGATGGCTGAGCGCCCCTCACGATCGATTCGAGCCCACGAAGTTGTGTGGAACGAGCGAGATCACATGAACCTACTAGTCTACAAATATATTATGTAATAACTACTAGAGGCGTATTTGGGCAATTGGGGGCTTTTAAACAGATATTCCATGGTCCTCGGACCAACTCTCAAACCTGCATGTACCGAGGGGGGAGGGGAGTTTGATACGAGGGTTAGGGGAGAGCTTTTGGTGAGAGTTGATGCAGAATTATCATTTCCCCCCTCCCAAACCTTTATCGAAATCATATATACATTTCGCGGTAAAAATAGATATGTGTTCCTAGCTCTGACAACGCAATGAGCGCACTCTCCCAGCTGTATACCCAAACAGGCTCAATTATCATTTCCATTACCTCTAGTCTGTCCACATCGGTTGCTAGCTGGGCTTCTTTGGTACTAAGTACATGTAGCATTGCAATCCAACGCTTAGATTTAGCGAACATTGGGAAATGATTATTACACCCACAAATGATCACGATGTATGCATACATCTCCGGCGAATCGGTCATAGAAGCAAAAAAAACCCCCATGGCCAACGCACCGCTGTGACTGTCCCTGTACACTTAAGAGCTCCTTCCCCCCTTCGCCAATCTCTAACTCTCACTTTCTCTTCACCTACTCATCCAAACACCCCAAATATTCCGAACCCAAAGTTCCCAAATCCCCCCCCCAAAAAAAAACTCTTTCTACCAACCCCCTTCTACAAAACCCAAAAATGTCCGACTACCCAGACTACGGCGCCATGTCCTACCTACGCGCAATCTTCAAAGCCAACCCCCCACGCTACGGCCCCAGACCCGTCATGGACACCTACACGCGGCCCGCGCCCAGCCACTACTCCACCGGCATGAAGGCACCGCCGCCCGAAGAGAACTGGTACTCCAAGGCGTTCAAGTTTCCCTACGTCGGCCACTCGCTGGAAATGGACGAGTTGACAAACAACCATTGGTACAAGCGGGATCTGAATATGTGGCCTGGTTAGTGTTTTTTTTCATCCCCTCCGTTTTTTTCGGGTTTAGCTTGTATGTGAATATTTGGTTAATGCTTTGTTTGGTAATAGGGCCTGTGTTGTTTGGGCGCCCCTCTTACGGTGGCCGCGGCGTCACCAATAGACAGTTCTTGGTGCAGCGGAATGAGGGCTCTCACAGGTCGGATAGCGTTGAGATCCTTATTGGCTGCCTCTTCTACGTGTTCCTCGTCCTCCTGTTTATTTTCCTTGGGATGTGGATCCGCCGTAGGACATTGATCCGCCGGAAGAGTATGGAGTGGGAGGAGCGCCAGCGGAGATTGCAGGATGTCGAGAGAGCACGGTATAGCCATGGGCTGTAGGTTGTTGGAAAACATCTTGACGTTTCTTCTGTTGGTGGTGGTGGTGTGTTAGCGATCAACTTGAGAGTGGATTATATATCAGGATGGTATAGGCCGGCGTTTTTATTTGTGGGATTTGGTTTTCTTTTATTTATATGTAGCCAGCTATCACGAGTTTTACGTATAGCTGGCAGCTGCAGCCAATTGTGGCATTATTTCAATTGAGGCGTATACTAGCCAGCACCTAGCTAAGCTATCACGATGTTTTTCCGTGTAGCTAGCTAGCTAGTTAGCTGGCAGTTATCACAATACATTTTTTTTTTCTCTTCGAGATTTTTTTTTTCAAGTGACGTGACGTACCAATTACCGAATTCCTCAGTTGCGCTGATCAAGCTCCGCGCGCGCTCGTCGCCCACGGCCATGACACACGAAAGAAAGCTCAAAGTTCCAAACCGTAGCATGGTCGACGCGACCAAGCGTCCGATTAAACGCATGTACGTAGCAGGGTAAGTTATGAAAGCGTTGATATTGCCTCTGTGGCCCATGTCCGTGGGATGTGAGCCACTTTCACCGCGATCATTGACCCCCATAGCCACCCAACCTTCAGAACTCTTGGCAGAAATCAAACCCACTCATCCAAGATACATCTGATACATCTGATCACCCGAACCACGCCGTTTACAATGCTCCAGGTATATAAGAAAATCAAAAAAATTAAAACTACATCACCGTGCGTAAACCCGAGACGTTGACTCATTCCCATATGACGGTTACACAAACCCCGTTCATGTGTTGCAATGCCGCTGTGCTTCTGCATGCACGTATTATCTTGTATCTGATCATATCAAAAGTAAAATTTCGAGGCTTGTGCAAGGTCTTGGGCTGACTCTTAATTAATGTGTCCTGCGGTCAGAAACTATATGAGCTTGCCATCCGAAGGCCTAGGTGGTTCTTTCGTATAAACCTGGCCAACTTTAAACACTGGAAAAATATCGAAATCGCTGAAAAATCGTTTTTATTTTATTTTTCAGCTCGTATACAGCTACACCAAACAAAAGAGAAAGAGAGGGAAAAGAAGGAGGATTGGAGATCTCGAATACGCAAAAATAAAAAAATTCGCTGGCTTGCTGGGAACAACTTCGCCAGATAACAACGCTAATGCCGATGTTGCTTCTAACGCCATGATAGTCTTTCAACAGAAACAAAAGAGGAAGGTTCATAATCGTCACCCTGGATCCGTCCAAAATGTGCACGATTAATTTGGTGCTCGTTCTCAACATTAGATATGAAGATTTCGACCGGCTTAACCATAGTCAATATACCTCATTTCATTTCACCCCAGAGATCCTGAAGCCAGCTCTTCAGTGGTATCGGCTTAAACTTAGGAAACATCTTGTTGACGTTTGCCATAGGAAAATCGAATTCCCCTCTATGAACCGCCATCATAACCTCGAGCTGAAACGCTTCGCCTGAATCCTGAACTTCCTCAGCGTCCATGAATTTATCATTAAGGTCATCGATTGTCAGGCGGGTCACATCTAAAGCTTGTCCTTCACCAATAATCAAGATCAGTACGTTTCTTCTTTATTCTTTTTGGGTCATAGAGGTTAATACCTACCTCTAATCTCTTCAATAGTTTTCACAAGCTCCGAGAGCGTCAACCTCTCTCCACACATCCTCAACTGGTCTGGCCAGTCTTCAATATCCAGACACCTGGCCACAAATCTACCTACATCCTCTACAGCAGTAAGACAAATATAGATGTCGGTATCTGCGTTGTCGAGAACAGGAATCCTCGCCTTTCCTTTATCTATGTCCGCCAAAAGCGACCCAGCTTGCCCAAATCCAGCCACCTGACATGTGGTCCCCATACTGGCCCCGGAATTGATAAGTCCTCCAGGATAAAACCACTCATAGAAGAAACCACACGAAAAGACAGTTGGCTGTATTTGACCTTGCACCTCTCGGAGTCGGTTCAGCGTTGTGATTCTGTCTCGACATGGTTCGATGATGGGGCGTGCGGAAGGTACACCTTCAAACTCTGCTGGGGCGAAGCGGCGAACACCTGCGGTTATACAAGCATCTATGAGTATGAGCTGAGGCTCTTTGGACACGGTTGATATAACGGTATCAACGCCAGACAAGGCCGTCACCAGCGATTCTGGAACTTGGTAGTCGACACGAATAACTATGAATCCTTGATCTACCATATCTGGCCGTTCCTATCCAAAACTATTAACTCCACTATTTAAACAGAACAGAAATTGAAGGGGCATGTACATATCGAGATAATATCACAACTTCATGGCGCCGTTCCTCCAAAATTGCTGTTCCTATACTCCGAGCCAGCCCCGCAGTACCTGCAACAGCAACCTTCATCACTTAGATATACTCTTATCTATGTTGATAGAGAGATCAAAGAGCAGCCACGATTGATCAGCGATAAAACGAATGTGGTGTGCTATTCTCAAACTTCTATTCTGATGGATTCATATCAGGGACCACAGTTTACATAACGGAATCTAAGGAACGCACCCACGGGGCTTGAGCAATGGTTTCTTGGAATGACAAGCTTCGGGTCTCTCGACCAAGCCGGATGAAGATTGAACTAACGAGAAAAGTTGGATGGAGATAATTGGAAATGAGTGACAGGAACCGACGGGATTAGACTTTTAACAACGATATGCCGAAAGGACGATGATGGAAACTCGATAATAATCTCTGAATTCAACGGCGTTAGGGTAGCACGGTATTATACTTTAAGCTTTTCAAAACACACCACGTACTCTTCTTCGAATTGACAGCAAGCGCCGGAAATAGCCTCCTACAGGGAGGTACCAGGTCTGCCCGTCTGTGTGATATTGGTATACACGAAAGTGGACACTTCTCACATGGGGGCTCTCCCTAACGGAGAGATCGGGGTGGGAATCGAGTGATACTGCTCTCGGGAGATATTCTTGCTTTCTTGTCTTAGTGTCTCATATGGTGATTCGCAGCTAATTTCATCCCTGATCAGCGTTTCTAGAACAATTGATTTTTTAATGCCGAAATCCTATCATAGACTTTCCATTTGTGCCACATGTAGAGGAAAATAGCCAAGAAAATAAATAAAGAAAGGTACCATTGCTTGGAAAGGGGGTAAGAGCCAGTGGGGGGGGGGGGGGGGGCGTGCGGGGAATAGGTGTAGGTTCCGAATAAGAGCTATTCTCTATAATTATTGGCGTATTGTTCTCCACGTATTCTCTAAATATATGCTCTCATTCTCCATTGCGTCTTTCTGTATTGAATCGGCCCTTCGTATAGAATAAACCTTTCAGCCTCGCAAAACCTGTTTTTTTCCTCAACGAAGTTCTCCACTTTTTCAGCTGGAACTCCGGAGAACGAATGATATTCTTTACACCCCAGTCTCGGCTGTTGGCTCGAGGGAGTAAAAGAAAAAAAAGTAAAAAGAGTGGTGTGTGTAAGGAGTATGCAAAATGATCCCAAACCAACAAAAAGGGGGTTTCAAGCTTACCTTTGCTTCTATGGTTTTATGCAGGCTTTCCAAATATCATAAGAAAAAGATAAAAGTAAGAGCTCCCGTTGATATTCCCCGTCGATCTTGCTCGAGAATACCCACTCAACCCTACTCCGTGGCGGCGGGTCTACTGAAGAAACGTTACAGCAGTCCAGCTACTTTCTCTTTTGTTTATTACGGCCTTGGTCTCCCGAATGCGGGACTTGTGAGACAAGGGTATTTATTTTTACTCGTGCTGGAAGGACTTTGACCCGAGTGAAAAGTACCGGCTCAGAGGAAATAGGTTCGAAGAGGTGTGGGCCCGGAACAATGGATTAGAAAAAAAGAAATCTAGATAAGCCATACATAAACCGTTAACCTCGATAATTACTAATAAACTGCACATCGAGAGGTCTTTAATATAGGAAGGGGGAATCTAGGGACATGAATGAGGTATTTACATACCTAATATGTACCAATATCTCTGTATTTGGAAGATTCGTGCTCACGACTCTATATTGTTCGGCTCTTCTCTGGAACAGAATGGACTAACCAGGCCCTGTGCCACGCTACTATTTGTTAGAGGTCCAGGGGTGAAATAGGGTCTTATTGGACCGGATTAGCTGGCCTTCGCATGAGCGTATGCACCTAGTGAGGAATATATGACCCACTACTTTTTCAGGACTGTAAAGATTTGTGCAGGCTTTGGCCACTCGATCGTAGTTGTGTGCCTTGGAGAAAACCCCTTACCGGACCTGCAGATAGACCTGCAGCCTGAGTTTCAGAGTAGTTTATGTTTTATTGTGCAATGGTGAGAAAACTTGTATTGAATATAAGGTGTGGCTGAACAAACGAGCCAGTAAAGGTATTTCAGCCGTAAGGCTGTAAGGCTGCAGCTGACAAGCACTAAATACGAATCTTGCGTGACAGAGTACCTGATAGACAAGAATCAAATTCCAATGTCTGTAGAGGACTTCTATGGCTTTTATATCCATCATGTTGACTCCCAGAAGGTTGCAACGTTGAGTATACGAGATACCCATGGGTCGGTTCCGGTATCCATCACGATTAAACTAGGTCCAAGAGATATACCAAGAGACCCAAATATCGAAGAGGTTGGAATTCAAGACCTGGATAACCAAATTGATGACGGAACCGAAAGCCCTGAGGTAGAAGCCTTCAGACAGTGAGCGACTATGTTTAACTTTCTTGGCTGTGCTTCTAGGCTGAAGCTTTATTAGGTCTCGTTGCCTTTCAACTTTCAAGTCCCTGTCTACTCGGACAGTCAGCAAACCTATTCTTTTGCTGTAGTTTGCATTTCGTTCCACCTACTAGTAATGAGTCACACATGTTACTTCCACTATAATTTGTTGAGATATCACGGAGAGACCCCATTAACACATCTCCAGAAATTCTGGCCCCCATCGTCTCCAGGTCCCCGCCAGTACCAGTTGATAAAACTCCCTACACGGAAGAGCCAAAAAAACGTCAAAGTCTTCCCAAAAGTGTTTCCTGCAGCAGCGATGACTCGACATGATACGGAACGGACGTTGTTTCTCTCGACCTGGATAGACGCGTTTGGGAGTTCGTCATTCCCGTGACAGCTTGGCGGCCATGGGGGCTATGGGCTAGGGTTAGGGCCTTCGCAATGACTCGAACTTAGGTACCCGCGCACCTGCAGCTTCATTCATCCCTTTCATGCAACCATTCGCTTTTTTTGATCCAACCGATTATTCGCCTTTCGGATGGGATGAAGTGGAGCGGGGTGCAGTTAATCGTGCAGCGCAGCAGGCAGATGCGAGATGAACACCTGTCATACGGGACGTTGATCTAGCATGGGTTCTTCCTGGATTCTCCGTACGCCGCCGGTCCGTACGTGTAGCTTTCGTATGCTATATAACACCAAACGACTATGAACTGTATGACACAGAGCTCTTCGCTTTATGTCTAACTCCAAACGCACGAATTCTCACGACAAACGAGGGAGCTTTCGGGCTCGAGTGATGCGCCATGACCCAACAATGACTCAGTAATGACGGTGCTACACGTATATACCTCTGGGCCTGGCGACAAGGACGTTGTCCAAAGGAGGGCCATTACGGGTGTTCAACACAACAACCCTTGATCTCCTTAACAAATTTAGTCGTCTCTTTCGAATTTCGTACCCATTTCAGTTTAGGTCATGGAATCATCTTTATATGAGGGTACATCTATGATATACCCACCCTAGAAGGATACAAGTATCGGATGATCTCCAAACCGGCATATATAACCATGTCACCAAATGAATTATATCACTAGGATGTGATACTCACACGGAACGTCCTAGACCACCGTTTACTGGCAGGGGAACAAAATTCTAGAAGTACGAAACAGGCTCTGACCTGTAATAACTCGGCCTTAAATATTCCGTAATCTGGGCAACAGTACAATTGGCGTATCTAGCGTACTTACCGACGAAATACCTATAAACCACATCACTCGCCTTTCAATCCCTTACGTCAGTCCACACAGAAAACATACCAAACAAAACACACCAAACTGCACCAATCCTCACTCGATTCACGATATATCCATATATACACCCCTTACATTACCCATCGACACCACAATTTCCACTCTGCAGAAAAAAATTACCAAAAATAACAATAGGTACTCTGCTTAAGAGTGCCCGAAAATTAGGTTAACTTATGATCTCCCCATCTGTCACATCGGCCCAATAAAAGGGGATGGATTCACGCTCCGACGCGTGAACGCGTTCTATCTGTGGCTTAGTGGCTTGTGATAACGTGCATGCGTGCTTTTTTCTCCCTTCTCAAAAACTGCACGGTGCTTGGCACCGCCCGCCCGCGCCCGGTATGTACCGGGGTAATTAAAATCGAACCTGCCTCCAAGGTCGATCATAAGGGGGAGATGCAATAGTTAGGCAGGCTTTTAGCGCGCATAGTTATTTGGGTTATTTCCTCACGCGTCTCCACACATACAACTCGCGTTGATATGAAATTGGAGATTTTGAGTCCTTCTATGTAGATGAGATGGAAATGACTGGACTTGAAATGGGATGAATGGGTGTTTAGGATAGCGTCAATGATGGACCCTGGTTTACGAGGTGAACCCCAGCTCCCGAGCAAGGGGCCGTGCATGATGAGCGCGTGAAGAGGAGGAGCGATCACGATCACGATATCTTGGCAAAGACGATAATAATACTGTGCCTACTAACCACTCCAGATGCTGCAATCGAGTACACACGCGCAGTGGAGTACAGGTTGTTGTATCATGTAGTACATAGTACCAACTCCAATGACTATCTCCGCCGGCGTTTAATATCTGACAAGGCGGGGTGGGCCGGCCGCCAACCACCCGCTGTTAATGTCATAGTGCATCAATCATCAGGTCAGACCTCTTAGCAGTAGGGCTCATACTTACGCTTTTACCTACGCGCTTTTGTAACCAGTGTGTCCACACTCTACTGCTCTAGGCTCCCCCCCGAGTCCCCTCATCTAGAAGTTCACCCCCCCAGCCCCCCCTAAGTGATTCTGAACTGTACGCGTCTCCCACTTAGATCTCTTACCTTTCGTTCTTCCCGCTGTCTCCCGCCTCTTTTTTCTTCCCCCATCACTCGCCCTAAAACTGTTATTTTTCTTTTGGAGCATTCCCTTCTCCACCCACCCCACCCCTCCCCTCCCCCACTATTCCTTCTATAGGATCGCATATCCAATACGCGAAAATCCCAACCATGGATCCTGTTACAGAGCCTCATCCAAGTTCCAGCAACTCAAACTACGCTTTTATCACACATTCCCAGGAGACACTTCCAAGGAATCTGCCTCCCTCGATTGATAACGCGAATCTTGCCCGTCGCCGTCGAAGGCGCACTTCGGTCCACGATCAGGCAATTTTGGAGGAGGAATATCGCATATGTGATCGCCCGGACAAGACCAAACGGAAGGAGATTTCGAGTAGGGTGCAGATGGGCGAAAAGGAAGTGCAGGTAAGAAACAAATAAATGGAATATAGTAACTTTTTTTCCTTTTTTTTTATATAAAAGTGTTTATGAAGGATTTCTCTTTGAACGCGCTAGAAGTTGTTTCGCTGTTTTGCGCGGTACTGGGAAGGAGTTGTTGGTGGTGATGGGAATTGCGATGGATATTGAAAAGACGCGCCTGCCAGCATATGTCTCTGAGCACGCTAGCTAACGAACGTGGACCGACGCGTCTCTCACTTAGATCTGGTTCCAGAACAAGCGGCAGTCGGCGCGCCGTAAGGCCAAGCCCTTGCTTCCTCACGAAATCATCCCAAACACCACCACCAACAATAGTAACAATAATAGCAGCCAACAATATTCAAGTCAGCAGGAGTACTCACAACAAGGAATGATGATGCCGTCATCATCCCAGTACTCATCTTTTAACAATTCCCAGCAGTCACTCTCAAGGGAGGATATAAGACATATGAGCACGTCTTTCAATTCGGACTCCCACCAACACCGCCGCTGCGTTAGCGTGTCATCAGGGATCGACTTCGGTAGCCCACAACCACAACGTCTGGCAGATCGCGGATCGTTCAGCAGCGACGTGTCGGCCTCTCAAGAGAGTGCAAGATCTAGAAGTCAGCCAATTTATCTCGGCCTTAGCGACGCGGATCCTGATGAAGATTTTGATGACGATGACATTGGCGAAGCAGAAGCAGAAGAAGAGGAGTTGTGTCTGAGGGAAAGCAGAACTGTAGAGTCCCCTCACCACCACCGCCCGCCCCAACTCCGTTACGAGCCCTCGTACTACAGTAAACGTCAGAAGCTCTCATCACGGGACAACCACCTTCTAGCTCTTCTTCAGCAGTCCTCACCCCCAACTTCTTCTATTCCCAGCCAGGAAAGCCAACGTCAACAGAACGTCTCGCTTAGTAGTAGGAACGACCAGCCAGAACCAGAAATGACTACCTCGGCACACCAACGTCTACAGGATGTTCTCACATTCATGCAGGACACCATCTCCTCCTCCACCCCCGCCAAACCAACCTTCACTAATTCGAGGCGAACCAACCCCAACCCCAACCCCACCACGCCCCATGCCCCACCTCGCCTGCTAAAACGCACTTCATCAATTCGACTCTCTACCTCCCTTGAGGGCAAGGCCACTATCGTACTCGATGAGGAACCAGAATCTCCGCCTTCTTCGCAGCAAACACTTCCTACTCCGAAAAGGCCATCTCCAATTGCCAGTAGTGGCCCGCCCAGGAAGATTGTTGATAGTAAGATATGGGAGTTTTATTGCGACAACCAGGCCATGATTCGCTCGCCAGCTACTCACGCGAGCCTTCAGACCGCTGCGGAGGCTAAAGAGGCCCTAGGTCTCCTCCGGAGAAAAAGCAGCCATTCAAAGCTCCCACCTGCTCTACCACAGAGTAGTCCTGTTGCACGCCGGAAGCACGGAGGCAAGCTTCCCCAACCTTCTTCGCCAACAAAAGCGAAGAAGTCTCGTAAAATCCTCTCGGCAAAACTATCGCGTTCGAAAGCTGTTCCAGTCGCCAAAACATCAGCCCCAGGCAAGAAATTGGTCGATGGTCTCCCGTCAGAGCTGGGTCAGGAAAGCGATAAAGAGAACCGCCCGCCTGGGGCCCCAGTCTCGCCACCTCCAGAGCCAAGACGCGGTGGTAAGGGTGAAGCCAAGAAGGCCCCCGCCGAGAAGCCCAGCAGGAAGAGGAAGAGGAATACAACTGCAGCCGATGAGAGGAGGATTCTTGAAGACCACAAGACTATTCCGAGCCAGACCTCAGCGGTTTACGACGCCCCGAGCTCATCGCAGGCCATTGACAATTTCAGGTCTGATGGGCCGGCCCACGACGAGTATGAGGTGATGCTGAGCCAACGGAGCTTCAGCAACTACTTCGCATCCAGTCAGGAATCCGGCCCAGCGGTGATGGATGAGATGGAGTGTGTGGAGAACTTGCTCAGCCTAAGAGGTGGAACTTGGAGATAGCGAATTGAAATTTTTCACTACCATTTTTTTTTCTTTCTTTTCTCTTTTTTTCCTCACATCTAATTTCATTGGATCAACCTTTTTTTTCTTCTTTCCTTGGTGGGTTTGCTTGCTTTTTACTAACTTGGTTTTGGGAGGCTCGATTTGCACTTTTACTTGCGCTTTCACTCGCGCTTTCACTCTTTCATATCCTGGTACATACAACTTCACCCTCCCCAATGTTTCCCTATCTTTCCTATTTTCCTTTCTTTTTTCTAGGCAGATTTGCACATATTTCGAATTTTCTCTTATTCACATCTTTTTTTTTCACTTCACTATCTCTTCGGCGTTCTCTTCTTGTTTTTTTCATTCCAGGGAGAACTTAAACATAAAGGCTTCTTACCGAATCTATTTTTTGGGATATTAGATAAGAAGCTTGTTAGTGGATCCTACAGGACTAAAGCTGGGCAACTAGCGGGGAAACTGGTGACGACCTATTCATCCAGGACTCTGCACGAATTGAGGGGTTTAGAGGTTGTACTTATAGGCTGTATATATTGAATGAGTAGAAAGTGGTGGTGGTGGAAGGAGTGGCTAAGGTGGGAGAGGAGTCGAGATGGGGAGAAGGAGAAGGAGGCAATTGTACATTATACCATAGGGGATATATGGAACAATCTAGGGCGAAGGTCCTTGCTTCTATCACTAAGCTATTATGAGTCGTAGAGAACCACGGCATACTATATTGATATATTCATTCGGGGTAGAGGTGTACAAGTAATTTTTTGTTCGTAGTCGTGAACGAGGTAGGTCGCCTCCAATGACTCGGTGATTCTTGGTCACAGTTTATCACTCGCCATCACTGACCAGCACTATTCTTTCACACACACGGGTGTTAATACTCACCCATACTTCATCAGCCATGTAGATCAGTTCTGATAGTCTAACAGTGCGTTACCGACGATTTTAAGATCTCTGTCTATCACCGAGTGATAAACTATGATCCAATGGCCCTGTAACGTACTCCGCCATCAATTACACCACAGTGATGGTGGGATGGAGGGTCATATAGCCATTTTCTTCCTTATCGAGTTCTTACGAAATGTCCCGGTGGTAGCAGTGAGTAGAACGGCGGTCTAGCTATATATAAGTCTGTCGACTGGTTGCGGTGACGGTGCCATGGCGCCAGCTATGACCGGACCACCTATCCCACTCCATATTCCACTCCACATCCCCCGTCCTCACATCTATCCCCACCCCTTGAGTTGGTGACTAGAGGCCTAGGGCAACACGTTTCCCTTTCTCGGAAACTGAAAGCGTGATTGGGGGCCGTTATCTAATCGTGACAGTTACTCGGTCCCAGACGCCAAGATCAGCTCATGCCCCGCCCCCTCCTCACTACAGAGGAAACCATTGATACTAACAGCTTATAGAACTTTCCCGCGCCTCGGCTCTGCTCTGCACTTGAGATATCCCGAACTGCTACTCAGAGGTGGCGCGAGAGTTGACTATCCTTGATGGCTTGGATGGTACCGGTGGTTCGACAGGCTAGCCGCCCAGGCAATTAATGTGGCACACCCTCTTGGCTAACTACCTAGTACCAAGACGTACATTTATGAACGGCGAGACTTTGACGGTATGCCTCTGGCTTCTAGATCAGTGCTTACGCTTATGTTTATCTCACGGAAGAGATTCTTGTTGTAACAACGGCGGGGTATATTAGGCAGGCTCGACGGTTAATATACTGGCTGTCGTGTTCTGTACCATGGGATGCTGGGTCTGTCTAGTTCTAGAGCTTTGGCTTGGACTTGGGGTATCAGCGCTTAGTGGTAAGTCTGAAACTGCAAGATTGACTGCTTTGGTCGGTGCTAGAAATAGGATATAGAGACGGACGTACAGGCTGGTTATCTCTATACCTTATGGATCGAGCATATGAATCCAATGGCCAATCAATTACGTTTTGTTCTGGCTATACATACATGTAACTCTTAATCTTGGGCCTCGATTACATAACGTCTATATAAGTCTACCTGCGAGATCGAATCCTAGGACTCCAGCTGGTCGATTTTACAAACAGAGTATGGACTATCGCCAGTTCGGCCTGCTTACATATACCCCGCGACATATACGCATAAGTTTCAGAAACCAACCAACTATGGTGCATTGTGGCTATATATAGCTCTTGATATCGTATTGGAGCCACAGTGTCGATATATAATTCTGTGCCTATGTCAAGATGGGACACTATGGTCTCTAGCTGGAGTATCGCCGTATCAGTATTGTCTATATGTAGTTACATATGCTTCGAAATTGTGGAGCATAAGCATAGGGGTTCGATCGAGCACGTTCCATTGTGATATATAGCTTTTGAACTTGGACTTGGACTTCAAACTGATTATGCAAATGGAACTGATCGAGTCGATTTTATAAACAAGACAGGGCTGTCGCCAGTATATTCTGGTTATTATATGGATATCTTGCAATTGAGGATTGTACGAACCCAACGATTAGATAACCACGGACCACTATGGCTGTATATACGCTGTTTACTCCGGATCGAGGTGTTGGTGCGCTGGATATTCCAGGGCTGCGCGATACACACAGGTACTTGAGGGTACGTTGTGAGGGTGATGTACAGGATTGATGAAGGCTATTATTACTTTTATGGAGGGTCTGAACTGGATTTCATGTGTTGCTAATTGCGGGGTCTAGATAAAAGTCAAAAAAATAGTAGTGGGATGGTATTACCGATCAATTGCTCAACGAATTGTTATTTCTAATCACCAACGAGTTCTAGCAAGGTAATCTTACATATGAGCGATTGTTTATTCACATTCAAGGAACCACTAAAGACTAACCAGAGAAAAAATTAATGATAAAAAGAAAAGCTCGATATTACTAAAGGCTCAGCTGGTGAAATAATGAAAAAGACACAATTGTTTTTTTCCCCGATTGCCTATAAAACGCCATTTCCCAAATTCATTCCCGGGGCCAGTTTAGGCCCTTCCCTTTCCCTTTCCCTTGCCCTCACACTCCTCCTCTTCTTCCTCGTCTTCCTCTTGGATATCCTCCATCCCCTTATCCTCGTCATCCTCCTCCTCATCATCATCATCCGAGCTCAAAAACTCATCATCCTCATCCCACCCCGCAAACCTCGGCACCACCTTCTTCTTCTCCCCCCACTCCCACTCCCCTCCCCTCCCCCTCCCCCTCCCCATCACTCTCATCACTCCCACTCCCCGAGCTCCCCTCCGCAAACACCCGATCCGTAAACCCCTCCCTCATCGCCCTCTCCACCGCGCCCCTCGTCCGCTCCCTCTCCTCCTCCGTCTCCTCCAGCCACTTTACATCCTCAAACCGCCTCCCCTTCCCCTCCTCCTTGCGCTCCGCCGCCTCAATCACCTTCATTGCGCGCTCACGCCGGCGCTCCCGCTCCTGCCGCTCCATGTCCGGCTTGATCTCGAGGTAGGCCGCGAGCGCTTTGGCCTCCTTGACGGTGCGCATGCGCCGCCCGTCGAGGTTGCGGCACGAGTCGTTGTTTTCTTGCTGGCCGCGCTTCTTGCGCGAGCTCATGCGGCCGCCGGCGGCGCGGAGCTGCGAGCCGAAGCCTCCTTTGCCGCCGGGGAGGGCGAGCGTGAGGCGGAGGGGGAGGAGGGCATGGCCGTTGGTGAGGGATGAGAGGGGGAGGCTTGAAGAGGGGGAGAGAGGGGTGCCGGATGTGGTGGAGAGGAGGAGGCGGTGGGGGGTGGAGGGGAGGAGGGTGGTGAGGTGGGTGTGGAGGGTGTGGATCTTTGTGGTGGAGGGGAGGGGGAGGGTCAGGTTGGGGAGGCCGGGGAAGGTGGTGATGAGCGCGTTGATTGTGGTGGCCATCTTTTTGGTGGTGGTTTATGTGTTTTAGGGGGAGGGATGGTTTTCTTTTTTTCGCGTGTGATGATGATGTTGAGAGGATTGGGAATGATGACAGCTTGGATCAGAAGTGGCAACTAGGGTGCCAAGGGCTTGGCAGTCACAGGATCTCACGCGGATTTTCAGCAGTTCAGAACACAGGGAGATACTAAGATGGTGAGGAAATTGAGCAGAGGGCGCGTTCCAGCCTTCTTATCAGTAGGTGACTTCACTCTAATGGAAGGGTATTTATTCGTTATCTGCAATCAACCATTGCGTTCCAATACCATTTCCCACCCACAACACACATGGGCGAGTGGCCAACCAGTTAACACTCGCCAGTTCGCTACCGCACTCTGTAGGCTCAAATTGATGGGGAAAAATTGGCCGGAAATTAATTCTGAGCTTTCTCTGGGCTCTCTCTGACTGAGTTTTGGAGAGGTTTGGGGGTTTGTCGGTTCGGTTGTCGGTTCTTCGGGATAAGTAAGGGTTTGGAATTAATAAGGGTTTGGCTCATATATGTAATACGGACCGCTCTCTGACAAGTACGTAGGATATCGCTCCCAGGCTCGCGACCAAAACCAAGAATTTCAATAATGAGTCGAAAGACCCTAACTACAATACCAAAAAAGGGTATGGATCCGCTACGCCATTCCCGTTAATGCGCTAGTAATGCAGTAAGAATGCGACATTGGTACGGTATTTTTTTTTTTTTTTTTTTGCAACGCTGGTTTAATTCCGTGTTATTCACTGGATCCCGTAGTCATACAGTACTGATTTAACCCCGTTTTTTTCGTATTGTAACTGCATATTGTATTCTACTTTTGCCGAAATTTGGCATCAGGCTCTCGTTTAAAAATTCGATTTCCCAAAGATCTTTGCAGAGGGTTAGGTTTTATTTCCGCGGTGCCAGCAGTTGATGCGGTACCTGCAGCCGATCTGAGCTAGGTACTGTGAGTGCAGTGTCCTAGCATGTAAAAATGGGGTATTGTAACCTACGTGTAATTTTGTATTTTTCCATTTCCCCCAGTGGTACCGTGGGAGAGTGCAGACTAGGACGGACTAACCCTAAATGGGATAAAATAAACTAAACTAGGTTAATCCTGGGAAGGGTGCCAATCACGAAGTATCACCCATATTTTATATAGAGCGTATGTGCGTACATGTAAGTACATAATGCCCGACCACATACCCACAATATGGCAAATATAGCCACTTTATCTCAATTGATCAGAGACGTCTACCATAGATATAAAACGTCTACCACCAGCAAAGTCCACAAACTCAACCTCCATAAACATGCATGCACGTAGCTGTATGCACATCTAACAGGAAATAAGAGACGCTGTTGGCCGGCTATTGTGTTCACTCTCTTTTGTGTTTAGATTCACGACGATCCGAACGATGAAATAAATAATTTCTTAGTTCTATAGACAGAGGGAGAATTTCATTTGCGCTATCGACGACGACAAAATGAATGATGATGGATGAGAGAAGAAGAGTAAGTTACAAATCTAACTATGAGGTAGTCCTGCTGTGGACACCTTACAAAAGCATTGTCTGTGTCGTCACGTGAACGCTGCCTAATCCGTGACACCTAATGTGCCCAACAACGCCGAATCCAACAGCGTATTTTCGAATAGTAGTTGTAACCAGGGCGAGATTAGGACTTGAACCATCGACCTGGCGCAGAGCTGTAGATTCGTGTTGTGTTCTTTGACACAAGGGGAATGTCAGTGTTGGGAGTTGATCGTGTTCTTTCATCTTTCATCTATCTAACCACTTACCCACCACCTCCTCCAGCCATCTACCACACCACCCCTCTATACTTCATCTATCTCTATATGCTACACTAACCTACCTACATTTACCCCCCATCCATCCGCCCTCAGAAAGCTCCACTAGCTACCTTAGTGATGGGTTGCAGCGCATTCATGTCATCTCAACCAGAGCCAGTGAGGCCGGGCCCAGTCCACGCAAAATTCGCGGAGTAAGAATATATACGGTCCGAATGTTCGTGGATGGGCTGCCTATTTAGACGGCATACCTTAGGCCTAGGGGGTCTTCGTGCTCCATTAGTCGGCCTTAAGTTGAGCCGGTTTTAGGGAGTGTTTGTGGTTCTTGCCATATCCTAAAGGATAAGGCGCTGGAAAAATATGGTCAATATTGAGCATTAATATCGTTAATACTCCCTGGCTTGATATTATATCAGTTCTGGACAACCAAGCTTGGGGCTGGAGAATGGTGTAATCGGGATTAGAGATTGGGTCGGGCGCTATAGTACCTAGGGGCTGCCGTTAGGTTACGCCTGCACTGACTATGGTATTGGTGCCTATTCGGCTCATACTAGCTAGTCACAGTCAACTAAACGGAGCGCTGGCTGGGGACATCATTGAGTCCTAAGTACATCGGACCACCCCCTCCATCCGCTCCTAAACCACAAAAAAAACTCAAGCAAGAAATATAACCAGATACAGACAGAATGGATGACATGAGCACCGTCCACTCAATATCCCAGCAGGAAGCTGGTGAGAAAACGGAGGGAAATGACGCCGCCCAAGATTAGAGATTAAACACCAGAGAAACTAACACCCATTCCAGTCCGGCACCAGCCACTCACTAGATCTAAATCTACGGACATATTCGCGTTTGCTTGTACGTACATATACTAATCAACTAAAACGGAGCACCAAAAATACATATAAAACACGAGATCATCAAAACCTCATACCCCATCAACACAGCACCCAATTATACCAACACCCACCAGAACCACCAATCGCAGCTCCACGCCCTCCATTCGCAGATGCAAATGTAGATCCAACAATCTCTCGCCACATTGCTCTCCAGAACCGCCCACCACTCCAAACGGCCAACTCGATTACTCACCCATACCCATCCAGCCCCCACTCCCACCCATCCCAATCCAGCCCCCACGCCCTACCACCGAGTGACATGCCATGACCCAACCCAGCCAACCCCACCCGTTCGTTCGTTCGTTCGTTCGTTCGCGCCTCCCAACCCAACCCCAGCACGTGCCCCCCCGCACCGTTCGATCAGGCACCGATCTGAGCCCTTATCCCCCCCTGGCATCTCATCTCATCGCACACCTACCAAAAATAAAATAGAGATAAAGATAGAGGATAAGGCTGCGCTGGATAAGACAAGAATTCAGAACAGAACCAAAAACCAAACTAGATGAGCTGTCCTAATTCTGGCTCCGTATATCGTCCCCACGGCCACCACCGCCAACGCGAAGCCCGAAAAAAAAGTGGGGTTGAAAAAAAAAAAAACTTTCCTTTTTAAATTTCAGTCCCTTTTCTTGTCCTTTTTTTTCCTTTCTACTAAACCACCCAACAAAGGAGAACGTCCATCGCTGTGCTCAGTGGGGTATATAGAGGTAGAAAACAACAGAGAGAGAAAGTAAGAAAGAGAGAGAGAAAATGTATGTATATATAAACCACGGAAAGCAAAAAAAAAAAAAAGGTAGCTAGAGAGTGAGAGAGAAATTCAACTCCCCCCACACTCCCCCACTACCCCCACTCGCCCCGACTCCAAAAATTCATTCACATTCACACGTTAAGATAATAATGATCCCAAATTACAGCGCAACACAAGACACACAGACACAACGGGGAAAAAAAAATTCAAATAATAACCCCACATCCGATCCTCTTGCCCAAAGATTCCGAGTCAAGGTTAACGAGACGCGGGGTCTCCTTCTCTTCCGCCTTCTTCCCCCCTCCCCTACACCCAACTAACTTCTTCCTCCTCATGTCGTAAAAAAGCCAATAGTAAAATACCTGTTCTGTAGAAGAAGAATAAAGAGAAGGAAGAAAGGGAAGGAACAAAAAGACCAAATACATAAACAAAGACAGAGACTCATAAACAAGCGGTCAATCATAGATGTCATCATAATAATAAAAGCAAGAGAGAGAACTAAAAGAGAGAAGAAAAAAAGGGTGCAAAGTAAAAAAGGGGTGGGAAAATTAACAAATACAAGAATAGAAGAACCGCGTATGCGGCCAGCGTTTTCAACTCACAAGAAAGAAAAAGAAAGAAAAAACTCATGAACACCAAAGGTCATCATAATCAAAACAAAATACTGAGCAAAAACCCAAATTTTTCCGGTGCCACACTCATACAATTATCGAAGGGACTCTAGGTTCCTTTTGGTGGTCCACCACTGACAACGCGCCCACTAGCCTTCCTTACACCTGCTGCTGTGACTGCTCCTCGTCTTGGAGAGCTCCGAACCTTATTGCCAATGCCATTGCCATTTCGCTGCGCTGCCTTCTCTGCCGCGGAGATGCTTGGTGGAGTGACAGTATGGGAAACGGTAGTGGTTGTGGTTGTGGTATATGAAACACTCCTCTTTCCACCTGGGCTCTTGGACGTGGTTCTCCGGTATTGACGGAGCAAGTACTCCTCCTCGCTCATATGGGTCCCATCGGCAGCTGTTGGCTCCGGTTCTGCTTCAACCATTTTTATCGTAGATGACTTCTTTCGGCGGATGGGTGAAGCATTAACAGAGTCATTTTCATCACCATCCTGGTGAATCTCGATTGAGTCTGGCTGCTGAGGAGTATGGCTGGACGGTCGTTCTCTTCGAGATCCTGTAGTTGTGGCATAACGAGAACTTCCTTTTCTTGGCTGACCTGGTGTTGGTGCAGGGAGAATTTGTTGAGAGGCGGTCTCATTGGCAGCCATCTCACCAAGTACGCTGCGCTTGGTTGGTGTGGTTCCAGACAAAACCCTCTTTCCCTTCGTTGGTGTCCTCAAGGGCGCTAACTGCATCGCCTGCTTCTCAAGGGCGGCCTGCATGATGGTGTCCTCAAACCACCACTGTCGGAAATCACCCTGGTTGAGATGAAGCCAATGCTGCTGGGGCCCAACGACCATTCCGGGCCGCATGAAACGCATGTAAGCAATGACCTCATTTGCAGTGAATCCATATCGGTAGATGAGATAAGCGCCGATAAGACAACCAGTTCTTCCAAGACCGGCTTTACAGTGAACGGCGATGTGCTTGCCGTGAACAGTGATCATATTGTGAGCCATGTTGATGAATTTTCGCACCAAGTTCAAAGGCGGGCAAGTTCCATCGTCAAAGATCATGTCAATGTGAGTTATGCCGAGAGCAGTAAAGTATTCCGCGGGGTAAAGATGCGAATTCAATCGCACGACAAGACCAATATCGCGGGTGTGAAAGTGCTCAAGGACATTTCTAAACGGGGTCGGAAGTCCGGAAGCCAAAATCTCATCATGGTTTGTTGGAATGAATGGTTGCTCCTTGTGTGGTGGTGGCAGCGCATACTGTGGGGACGCAAAAGCGAGAAAGTTGGGCGAAACCCAGTTGAAATCTCCCATGTCCACCCGCTCAAATTTTTCGTATCTAGCCCAGTAAGTCAAAAATGTGCGCCCATGTGCGATTCATCAAGGATCAAACATACTCATCCAATCCAAATTCCCTCAAGTTCACAATACCCTTTTCCTTAGCCTTCCACACACCATAGACGACATCCTGAACATTCAAGACAAAATCTGCCTGCGAGTATCCAGCATCACGGAATGGCATGAGCGGTGGGTCGCACTGCGCCAACGGTGACAAAGCCAAGTGAGGAGGCCATGATTGCACCAAAACCTGACGAGAAAATTCGGATCAGCCTCATTTCTCGCTGGCTAAGACCTGAGATTCGGATGAATGTCAACAAACAAAACTCACCATATAGCACGCCAACAAGCATCCTGCATTCCCTCTAGCTCTTCCATCCGGCCTGCTCCAGAAAACAACAACCCGTCCTCGTTCTTTGGGTCCCCCAGAATATCGTGCAGAGTCACAGCAAATCTGTAAAGGTGTCCGATGTGGAGTGGGCCAAAGTCGTGGTGGAATGCGTTGTACAGAAGAGCATCGTCAACAGTAAAGTAGACGGGCTTAAGGCCGCTCGAGTTCACAACGGCGCTCTTGTTACGCTTGTGTGCAGTCCTGGAAATGTGAGAGGGAACGTGCTGAGATGTTGTCTTGTGAGGATCCGGGATGGCGGGAGGCGGGAAAGGTGTAGACGAAGATGGCGGCGCAGTATAAGAAGCAAGATACAGACGATCTTTTTAGACCATTTTAGTAAAACAAAAAAAAGATTTTCAGAGGGGTTCTCGCACGGACAGTGCGACAGAGGGGGTCAAATTTACCAGCGATGTACTCTATGACATTCCCGTAAACGGCAGGAGGAGACATGATAGTGTTCAGTCTTGTAAATTTGCTATTGTAGACTTATTGTAGACTCTATTACAAGTAGCTCCGATGAGCGATGCCGGGGGTTATTGGTGATAATTTGGCGGGGGGGTTAATGATAAGAAGAAATTTAATCTTCCGAGGCAGCAGCTGTTCTAAACCGGGCCCTTACAGTGATCGAGAGAGGATACACAACAGCCAGGCAGAGCAAAGACAAGCGAAAAGAAAAAAAAGGACGCTTGGATAGAAGAGAGGAGGGAGGGGAGGGGAGGGGAAGAGAAACGCTCTGCTGCTGCTGCTGCCAAACTGTTAGTTAATTGTATCGATGGGACGCTGTCGAAGTAGATGTTGAGGAAAGAGAGGTGGACCTTGAAGACGGAGGGCAGCATTTCTCATTTTAGCGTCGCTGGCTCACAGTTCTGTTTGTTTTGAACTGAAAGCTTGGCATCCCGTTCTGGCAATCTCTGCTGGCGCCAAGTGCTCGGCAGTCACAACAAGGTGTTGCTGCAGCAACGCCGGCCCCCTTTTCTGGCTGATAAAGCTCCCACCTGAGCAAAGCTGAGACCCTAACTGATGAATCAGAAGTGGAGATCCCATATCAAAACAACAACACACAAAAACATTGCCCAGCCACACCCGCTTTTTGTCTTCAGGGGACTCTTCTCATCGTGTGCTGTTCTCCCCCCTGTGGACTAGCTGGTATTGCTGGTATTGGTTCCCATTCGTCATGGTACTACAGCTGCCCGCAGACCCTGCGTTTGTAAATGAGCTCATGTCGCTATCATTTTCACCTATCAACCTCTTGTTCTCCATATCACCCGCACATCGTAACCCAGGGAACGGTACCCCACTAACCATTTCCTCTAAGTGCTCTACCTACTCTACTTGATACCTCCCAATCGCTCCTCTTCCCGTCCCATCTCGTGTTGCCCGTTTCTGCCTCCGATGAGAAATGTAAATAGTAAACAGTGTCATCACAAAGAGATGGCCTAGCTCTCTAGATCTCCTCCATCCCTCAGGTCCAGAGCCATAATGGCTACAGCTACATATCCCCCGCCCCCCATAGCTACCTGCAGCTTCGGGTCCTCACGTAGACTTAAGTACCCATCCAGAATTCGAACACAACCTGCAAGATATCATCCGTCACACGGTACCACAAAAAAGGCGTTTCCGGTCGGGAGTATATCTTGTTTGTTTGCATGATGAAATTGCAATTGCAATCTGCTGCACCACATCAAACAAGCCCACTGGAAAGCAAAACCGTTTTTGTGCCGCCAGCCACTGCCACTGGTGAAATAAATCATAATAATAACAAAGAACAAAACTGCCGAGGTGCATCCAGCGCTGAAAGGTGCAGATTGGTCTTGGAACTGTTTGCTTATCGGCACGGGTGAGGGACGAGGGGCGAGGGAGGGGCAGATGAGATGAATTCAATGTTTACAATAACATCATTGGCCTATTGGTGTAACCTTTGTTTTCTTTCCGGCGGCAGGTAGGTAGACATATATCACGCATCGATATAGCTATAGACACTTCGACGTAGAGTAGAGATGGGCCAAGGTCGATCAGGGGGGAAGCTGTATGTACGGTACAGTGTTTAGATCCCAAAACAAGGATCCACAATCCCGAGAAACACAGCCCAGTCGCTCTGATGCGTATGTACCACTAACTTTACGAGTTTAAGAGGTGGGAACCGTAACATGTCTCGAAGTGAGGTAGGTACGGGAGTATGTACCGGCCGGATATGGGGAAATTCAAAACAACAAGGGTAGCTAGCTAAGTATGTAGAAAGCTCCATAAATAGCATACAATTCAGGTACCTGTCTCAAACACCAACCGATAAATAGGGAGGGTGGGGATCAGCCTCCAGATCCGTAACTGATAATAAACAAAGATCTGTTATATGATTGGGTATCACGTGTTTACTCAAGAGATTATATTTGGTTGTTGCTTGTGAGGGAATTTTATTCATGGATTATCACTCGTCGCCGTTTCTGACTGGTTGGTCATTTCCGATCCTCGCTGCTCTACGCAACACCAACCAGCGTAAGGTCAAGAGTGACCCTACAAATCATAACCAACTCACGACGCTCGTCCATTTAAATGTCCATATATCTTTGACCTCCATAGTTCGTGACATCCTAGGATCAGGGTTGTGTAAATAGTGCCCGTTCCACGTGTCGGGATATATTGCAGGAGCACGGACTTCAACGCCAGGATGGAAAAATTGGCAAAGAGCCAATTGTAGAGTGTACCAACAAAACATAGTTACTGGTTCGTACCTGAATATAATACACGTGTAAACTGGGCTGTGCTGACTGGGTCAGGGCAAGCAAAAAGCCGTTGTCAAAAAAAAATGTATTTTCGGAGCACTAATTTGTGCAATTTACATGCCTGTTGAGATCCTATGATTGCGAGCCTAATTTGGAGTATGGCCATCGGTTTGGCGAAAGATTGTGTTTGGGTTTTGATTCTTTCTGTCCTATACATACACAGTTAAAGTCAAGCACCATAGCCTTTACTTTTGGCTTTTGGCTTTAATTTACTAGTCCTCTGGATATTAATTATACTCTAATACTACAGTAATACATACAGCGTTTTAGTGATGATATGCGTAGTTACACCTTAATAATCATCACCCCATGACCCAGTAGGGTACACCGTTACAAGATCATTGACATGGTCAACCAAGGCCACCAAACCCAATCAGTACCCACACACTTCTCCACTCTCCACCTCAAATTGCAACATCCCCACAAAACAAAACGCATACGTATACTTCCGCGTACCTACCCCCCAAAGAATCCTTCACGTGATATACAAGATGAAACAAAACCCAAGAAACAAAAAGGACACAGCCTCCCCCTCAAATACCCAATCTCGAGATCCAGCCCAGGTAGACCCCTCCCTCCTACCCCGGACGGGGAAAGAACAGCCAGAATTTGGATTGTTGAAAAATTTCCCCACGGGCTGTGGTGGTTTCACACAGACACAGAATTGGTGGATGTGTGGGATATATACGCTGAGATAACACGGCACCGATAACGGAACCCGAAGCTGCCAAATCGTGGAGAAGGCCGCATATCTGTGTCCCACGGCGCACCAAGATGAACTACTAGTTTATGTGCCCCCGTGTGTGTGTGTGTGGGAGAGAGTGTGTGTGATAGCTGATTTCCAGGACCTATCATACCAGTTATCATTTAGCGTAACGTCGGGAATCGATGCTTGCTCCCGTCTCGATATCGCGATATACTTTTTTTGCTGCATTCGTGTTCTGTCAGGTCGGGTGCTTGCTTGCTTCCAGGACTGGAGCAGAGTATCATAGTCGATCGTTGGGCACAGCAGTATGTATTAGCGTTTCCTGTCTGAGACGGTGCCGCGGCGGGTCTACTTGCTACTTGCTGCTTGTGCCTGCAGATGTAGTGCTGTGTTGTGCTGTGCTGTACTTATATCGCATCGCATAGAGGTCACTGGAAATCACTCGTGTCACTGTAACAATAATAGTCGCGCAGGGTACATGGCCGGTAGGGTGTGGAAGTGAATATGATTATTTTAAAGCCGTTAATTAACAATCTTAGAGGGTAGAAATAATAACAGTTATATAAACAAGACAAAAGAAACTCGTGAAAAAAAATAAACTGTAGAGTAGAGAGTGACTAGAAAGCGAGCAATCAAAGGTATTAAGAGCGGAGAAAAAGAAGTGAAAAGGTATAAAACCCAATCCCATATATATATATACAGCCAGCCGTGAGATATGAAGAAGGAAAAGAAAAAGAGAAAAAGAAAAGAAATACCCCGTTAATTCCCGATGCATGATTCCCCCGAGCCCACCCCCAAATCCCACCGATTCCCAGAGACCTATATAGAGAAAAGGAAAAAAAACCAAACAATTAGAACCCTATGCCTGTCCTAAAGACACCCTTTTTTTATGAGATTCCCCCGTACGTACCCCAAAGGAAACAAGAAAAAATAATAATACAAGGTAATATATGAACTATTGCGCCGATATAGGAACACTTCCTACCAGGCTGGCACATGCGGCAGATCGAATACAGTAATGAGTGAATAATGATATATGGTTAAATGATAGAGGTACAAGATCGGATACAAGATCAAATACAAGACTTTTTTTGGGTAATGATGTATATCGCAGTATGCAAGTGAAATGAAATAATGCTGAAAAGGAGCGTGGTGGTTTAATGCAGTAAAGTATGAATGTAGCTTGAAAAAGAAAGAAATGAGTGTGATAGCGAGTGAGTGTGAATGAGTGTGAGTAAGCAGTATGTAATGCAGAGCATGATGTATGAACGGGAGTCGATTTCAGTAGGAGTTTCCTAAGGAAGCCCGCCATAACCGTACTGTACTAGCCGTGGCCCAAAAAGAAAGGAAAAAAGCAAGAAAATAGCCCAGAGAAAAAAACCCGACAACGAAAGTAAAGAGAACCTAACCCGTCCCGACCGACCAGAACAACCCACAGACCCCCCCGCCTACCCATCCCAATCCCAATCCCATCCCGTGTCCATTCCCAACAAGGTGGATATCGCACCCGAAAAGCAAAAGACAAAAAGAAAATAAAAGAAATGGAACCAAATCAAGCAAAGCAAGCAAAAACAGCACAAAAATAGTTGACATCTATCCCCACCTCCACTAGTGCATTTCTCCACTTTTTCGACATTGGCTAACGCCTCTCCCCACTATTTTGTTTTCTTTTCTGGATGGATGAGTGGTTTGGGTACCCGGGTGGGTTGTGTAAATCTTCCAAGGGACGGTTGATTTCCGAGTGCACAAGGTAGGGCCCGCTAAGTTGGTAGGTAGAGAGAGGTAGGTACGTTATGTTATGATGTTTGTATGTATCAAATACGGTTCGCGCGGGGGAAAAGTTGGTCATCCATCGACTCCAAGTGAATAGGAGCAAGAAAAGTAGGAATAAAAAAAGATAATATAGCAACAAAAAAGCAAGCCCAAAGCAATCCCAAAGATAAGTAAAAAAGAGAAAAAGAACCAGCTAAAATATAACCACAGATCTGGCTTCCAAAGGATTTATGAAACAGAAACACGATAAATCTGCAAGAAAGAAAATAACTGGCGATAAATGTACAAATCCCCAATAATAATATTGTCGGGGATGAATCAACACGCAATGAAGAAATGGGAAATTATTTTTTCCAAAAGGTGAACACTTTGCTCCACCTTTTTGATTTCCCTTCCTTCTTTTCCTTTCCTTCCTTGACTGGTGGTATGGGTAGGCTTCCTACACTTCCTAGAACCGGTGTTGCGGGCATGTTGTGGTAGATGCCACTCATGGTCATTGTGCTTGATGAGCTAGTGAGGCTAGGAACGTCATCCACGCTCATCCTCATCTCTGGGCCAGGTTCACCAAGGAAGTCCGAGTAGATGTCAAAGCTTGTTGCAGAGTCGGCGTAGTCTGTGGCGAAATCTGACAAGACTGGTGTGTTGGGGTTCGATGTTGCAGTGACAAATGTAAGGGGAGAGTCAGGGGGGTTCGTTGAGGGATGAGGGCAAAGAAATGGGCTCGATCCAGTGATGGTGGAGACAGACGACGAAGTAATGATATCGGCTGGAGCACCTTTGCGTGGTGAGACTGATACTGACTCCACGTTGGAATCTGTTGTTGATGAGTTCATGGAAGAGATGCTGCGGACAGCCTTGACAGTGGCCACGGATACCGACAACGACGCTCGGTGTGCGTTCCATGAATCCTCACTCTCCGGCTCACTGTTTCTCCTCATGCTCCTCTCGTCACCAGCATCCTCAGAACCCCACTCCATCTCAATCCCCTCTTGCCAGTTCGCGCCATCGGCCTCGTCAACAACCTTGATTCCAATGCCAAGTCCCTCACCCTTGCCTTCCTCGTCCTCACTCTCGCTTTCCTCACTCTCGTCCTCCTCAGACACGTCATCCATGTGGCCATCATCATCACCCTCCTCCAAAGAAAAGAGAGTCATCTCTGGCATACTCTCGCTTCGTCGGTGGAAGTATCCATTCGTCTTCAACCCAACCGCAGAATGCATCCTTCTTGTCCTTGCTGCAGCGAATCCAGCAGCAGGCCCAACCGGTGTCTTGAATGGCTTCAGGGCCGCGTCTAAATCGATAACGGGGCCTTCTGTAGTCTCCGCAATGACGATGCTCTCAGTGCTAGAAGCAGGGTGAACAGAGTCATCCACGGCCATGAGAACGTAGTTCTCGTTCCACGCTGCGGTAACCCATTCATTTTCACCAGGCACTTGGTTTTCTGACCCAGGTACTGGCGGTGTAGGTGCTCTCAATGACTGGCGCTTAGTGGTGTGACGGAGACCTTTGCCCTTTCCGAGAATTGTACCTGCCCAGTTCTTGATCTGCTTCTTGCCCTTCTTCTTCTTCTTTTTCTTGTCGGTGGTTTTCTCATCTGCAGACATACTCTCATGTTTACTAAACGGTGCCTTTCCAACAAGCGGTGAGTAATCACTAAGAGCCTTTTTGTGGGTCTTCTTTTGAGCCGGCTTGGTTGGTGAGCTTTCAGCACTGTCAATAGAAGGAGAGGCGGCAGCGGGGCGTTTAAGCGAAGGAGTGGTTTCAGGGAAGTTTTCCGGGGCAGTCTTGAGAACAGGGGACGATAAGATAGCCCCTGCAGTTGAAGGTCGGTCGCTAGTGGCCCTCAATGCGGCAGTTGGCAAGTTCAAGGTTTGCGAGTTGCTTCTTGTTCGCCCGTGTGGTCGTCGACCAGCTGCAGGGGCGTCCATTGTGGTATTGATAGGTGGGAGAGCTACAACTGGCGCTTTGATAACAGTTGCAATGCTGCTGATGCTATCCTTTGCTGAGTGACCAGCGGCGACAGGAGCACTGGGGATTACAGACTCGGCTGTCGGTGACCCTGGGATTATTTCAACATGATCAATGAAATGGACGCGGCTTCTTCGGTCGCCGGCCTCACCCATAGACTCAACAACAGGGATAGCTGGTGAAGGGAGAGGAGAAGGAACTAGAGGGGTATATCAGTTTCCGTACGCACGCATTTCAACGTAAACAAACAAAGATTATAATCATACCTGTAAAGCCAGGGCTCACAGGAGCACTCTTACTCAAAAGGGGGCTGGAGCCTGCGCTACCTTTCGGTTGAGCGCTAGCATCAACAACACCACTCTGGTTTCCAGCTCCACCAGTGCACGCCAACGGCAGACTCGGTGCACTCTGGCTCAAAAGACTCCACACATCGCCGCTCGAGATTGCCCCGGACCTGCGATGGGCGTGACCTCTGCGAATTCCACTTGGGGGAAGCGGTACGAATGGCCTAGCCCTCTCAGTTAATGTGCCTGGGACCTGAATGAGATCCTCCTTCTTTGTAGCCATAAGAGGCGGTCCTCCAATCATCTCACTTCCTGCACGCTGGTGACCTCCCTCCCTTGAACCTCCTGCTGGGCTGATGCTCGCGTTAACGATTGTTGGAACTGTTCCGCTGGCAATTGTCCTGTGACCGGGCCTGAGTCCTCCTGTAAGTGTAGGTCGCTCGTTTGACTGCTTTGACGAAACCGAGGAAAGAGTGTATCCGGAAGAACTCGACTTTGGTCGGTTGTTCAAAGAAACCAAAAGTCCAGTGCTGCTAGGCGGTACTGAGCCACGTCGGGGAGGATATAATGAGTTATTTGATGCCATCTGAGGGAACGTGAGAGTCGGAAGAAGCGACTGAGACCTTGTGTGAGGCACTGGGAAAGAGAAATTGGGGTTAATGTCGCATTCCAATCTTGTAATTGACAAGTCGCGAGTGTGCGAAGGTTGTGTGGTGGTGGCCATAATGATTTATTATTATTGATGGATTATGTCTTGTCGCGGTACGTAGATTAGGTACAACTAGGCTTGAAGAAGGAGTTTTTTTATTTTATTTTGTTTTTGTTTCTGGTTGAGAAACAAGATTTGATTGTGTTCGTGATGAAATTAAGGTGCGGATTCGTACAGCGCGTGCGTCGGAGTCTCGTGCAGAAAGGGAACTACTGAATTGGTGTCAATAACCGGACAGAGACCAATGCCATTACTGCTGTCTGAGTATCACCCGGAACAACCGCTGTCTCCATCCACCACGCGGGCAGCCGACTGCAAGGAAGGGAGGTAGGCAGTAGATGGAGGTATAAAATATTCCGAAAGACAAAACAGAAACGGAATTGAGAAGTGGGGAGTGAATGATTGATGAATGGGAGGGTGGGTGGGGGACTAACCGACTTTGGTTCCTCTTGTGTGGGGAAATTTAAATGAAAGAAAAAATAACACAGCAAAAATCGTTGGAGAAAAAAAACAGGAATCTGAGTTCCTATTGCTTTAAATAAACCGTTTTTTTTCGTATTCTTCACAAGTGAAGAATGTTATGACGGGTAGTTGTTGGTAAAAGAATTGAATCAAATGTGACTGGTCGTAGAAAGAAGCGAAAGGTTCAAAAAAGACAGGACACCAAGAAACAAAGATCCAAACTGCTAGAGCTGGATATCTTTTTTCTTTGGATAATTTTTTAACGAACTGGTAAGTAGTTCGTCGTTGTGGTTGAGTTGCAGGTAGGTGTTGGTCAATGCCCAAGACGTAGTAGTGGTTGTGGTAGTAGTAGTAGTAGTAGTAAGTATTTCTTCTCTTCTCTTCAAATGACCGTCGAATATCCAACACTCCTCTGTAGTGCTTCTTCTTGCTGCTACTGCTGTTGCAAGGTGGATGGCTTAAGCCCTGGTTGGTGGTGTTGCTTTCCCTTTGAGTGGGTGTGTGAGTGGTTGATTGTTGGATCTGTCTGACAGGTCCACGAACGAACGAACGAGGGGACGACCGAACAATAGCGGACAAGGGGAGCAGTGACGGTATTTACTGGTTCGAGCCGTAACACACAACAGAACACCAAGCAAGCGGCGTAGAAACTTATGCGACGAGTTGACCAAAAAAGTGATCAACAACGATCGGTTCTAACCCAGGTGACCTCGAGTAAACGGGGCGCAGGGAGGCAAGTTTGGTTGGCAGCAGTAGTAATGGGGGAAGGGGGGGGGGAGGGGTGAGAGTGTGGATAAAGGAAAGTGGTCAACGAAAGCACAAGAAACACAAAAAATGAGAGGACGGCCAACAGAAGTTAGGCCTAGCAAACGTCGAGGGGGTGTCAAAAAGAGGGAAGGAGGAGGAGAGGGGAGGGGAAAGAGAAGGAGGGCAAAAAAAAAAGGAAGGGAAAGAGTAAAAGAAGAGTGTTTGAAGATGTTGGGGAAGGGGGTGTAGGAGCGAGTGAGCGGAGAAAAGAGTGGCGGCGGATTCACCCACAGCAAACAGGAAGGGAAGGAGCCAAAGAACGCGAACTACTGCACCAAGCGAGAAACAACAACCCAGACGGAGGTCCCCCAGTCAGCCCCATCCAGGCACAACCACATCTGTACCTAACTAACGCACATCATCATAAAATCCCACTCGTCACATCTGACTGAATTGGTACCTGGTCGGATACTCTGAGTGCCTCGCATACAGAGCTTAAACTCGGCTCTCTTCCTCATACTCACTTCATTCATTCACCCACTTCATTTATTTTGTCTTTATTTTTATTTAGTAGGTAGGTTTCCATATACATCATCCTCCTCCCTTATCAATCACATCTCGCCAACTGCGGATACGGTGCTCCCGTCAGTTCAGTTAGTTGTGATCGATTAATTGTTTCTCGCCTCTTCTCGACTCCGCCTTCTCTTTCAGGTACGAGAAGCGGAATATCATCACAGGCAAAATGAAAATCCCCCTCAGCAGCACCAGCAGCAACAACATCGTCTCTCTCATCCCATATCTCTCGTCACTAATGTGGCATGGCAGCATCTCTCTAGCTCCGTACACCCTTTTATCCCGTCTCTCTACTCTGACTGGTCAGAAACTAACCAAAAGTCACTTTGCCGCTTCTCTGTACCACACGCACGATACCTAACATGATAATAAATTCAAAGGGGACAAGAAAAGTGGAAGTGCTAATTGGTCAATTTTTTTCGGTTCCTGAATTATGCTGAATAAAGCCAAGTTATCAGCACTTACATACGACTGACTGCAGGTCCAAAGTAAATAATCCTTGATCGTGCATACCTAGCTGGCAGTGGCAGAGGGGCAATTATTTTTCTCGCAGCGGCTATCTGCTAAAAATAATACAAATTCAAATAATAATAATAACCCAAAAGCAGGCAGGTAACTAGAGAGGGCTCCCCCATCCGCGACTCCCGAGAAGAGAATTGGTTTTTATCCTCTCTCGGCAACTCGCATCCAAGATTCGATCATGACAAGCGGGAAAGTACTCTAGAGTAAAGTATGGGGGAACTGTTCGAAACCAAACCGTCCTCCCTCCACCCCCGTTCAAAAACAGCCAGGGAACGAAATGCACACAACACGGACCAAGAGCAGCAGCGAGCAGCAGCAGCGAGCGGGTGTGTTGTAATTTTGCAATTTCCCCCTTCGGCCTTCCCCCTACCCTATCAACCCACGTCGATGATCTATTCCGCAAAGGGACCGAGATTGGATCAAGCACCCTTTTTTTACCATGGTGAAACTGGCCGCTTCGGGCTTGGTCTTCCTTTTCTCTGTTGTTGTTGTCGGTGCGGGAACTGCTTTGGGGGTGAGGGTGGGTTTGGCATGAGCGACGTCGAAGAGAGGAGAGCTTCTAAAGCACTTCTTTACTGAATCTTCTCCAACGGTTGACGTTCGAACGGACCTTACCCTCTGCACTGGGTCCCGCCCGCCCGCCCGCGCGCGCGCACTCGCGGTTTGACTGAACTGAACTCTGGTTGACCTTTACTTGGGAATGGGTCTTGTGCCTGTGCTTGTGCTTTGTTTCTCAAGAAGTTTTGTTTTCCCTGGTTGATTTACTAGATAAGTAAACAACTAACTCAAGCTGCTGCACGACGCATCGGGTTTCTGTGTGATGGGCATCTCAACCAGATGGCCCGGCCATACTTACCGTAACCTGACGGCAAACCACAGAGTGGAAAGAAAGGGAAAAAAGGAAATTGAGTCTGAGACAACTCATGACATCGAATTTCGACCCATCTGCATTTCTCAATTCACATCACATCACATCCATAATTAGAAAATTAGTTTTTCAAGGCAGCCACAGAAGCTCCTCCACTTTCTACTAACCTCCTAGGTACTGGTACTCGTATCCAATTGATAAAGGCACAGCACATATGGTATATCTAAGGATATCAAGTACCAATCCTCTAGATTATGTGACTCGCCGGGCTGTCTGGCGTTATGATTGCGCACCCTTTGCCTCCTGGCCTTTTTATTATTCGATTCGCTACGCTACTCTACTAGCCGGGGAACCCTGTGATGTTCTTTTTGCTTTTACTACTGTATCTGTACCTTACCGCGGGGGGGGGGGGGGGGCGGTTTCTGATTGGCCTCTCTGTAGCCCTGTTGCCTATACGGGTGAATGGAATCAAACTTTTACATTTTTGTTTATGAGATGGCTGAGAAGCTCATTTTAAACATACTTTTGCTTTGAACATGCTAAATGGCAGAAATTTTTGTTGGGTCCGGCCTAGCAATGATTGACGTGGCGCCGTCTGCGTTTGCATGAAGAATTGTGTTTCTTCTTCTGCTTTTTTGAGATTCATCTTGAATCTTGATCACAAGTGCGGCTCCGCCGCTCCCTCCGGTCTTACGGCGTCCGGGTCGGGCTCCGTCGGGGTTTTATTAGGTATGAGCGAATAACGTTTTGGGGGGAAGCCCGAGAGCTAGAGTTAAATATAGTGAAAATTCCTCTTGGCCATGGAGTAACCACCAACAAAATTCACACACCACGATGTTTTACTGTAGGTACAGTCGGAGTGTTTGCTTTAATTCTCTACCACCTACTTCTTCTTCTGGGTGAAAGGCCCGGGCCCGGGGAACGCATGCCAAATATGCGTCATGGTATTCAGTCTCGTTCGTTGGGTTGGGTTTGGGTTGGCAGTCAAGTCAAGTCAAGTCAATCAGTCTGTTGGGATGGGCAATATCTTCCCGGATCCTGCTTGCGCGTGCGTGATGCAGCTGAATGAGATGAATTCCTTGGGACGGAGAAGGGGTGGGGGGGAGGGTGAGGGAGGCTTGGAGAAAAAGTGTCTTTGATTGTTTGTTTGACAGGACACTACCGAGTTTTCGAGAACATGTCCGGATAACTCTACTCGTACATCTGGCGCACACTTCTGGATACGATACTTATGCATATGTGAGTGATCGCTGGTGATGATCACCACCCAGTGCCCACCATAAGGCTGAGGAAGCTAGAAGCCACCTAGAGCAAAGGGGACGTGCGGCCGCGCCAGGTGGACCACCAGAACAAAAATTGCGCAGTCAAATCAAACATCTCTCGCGTTCGCTTTCCCGCTCTTCTTTTTTTTTCTTGTCGCGCGCGTCTTTTCTATTCTTAAGCTTGCTTGCTTGATTGCTTGCAAGCAAGCAAGGTGCCGCTAGCTTGACTTCTTGACGGGACTCGGTCGGTGGTTTCGAGATTAGTGAACACGTCATTCATTATTCGTTTCAATCTTCAAATTTCAAGGCTTCAGGGTCAAGGTTCATCTTGGAAGAATATCGGAAATCAATCATCTAGCTGTCAAGTTGTAAATGCTTGCTGCGCCGTTGCGATACGACGGACGGGAAATCTATCGGTCCATACAGAATTGCAGAGCGCAGGGCCTGGCTAGGCTAGGCTAGCTAGCTAGGGAGGGCATCTGATCGGTTTTTTTTCTGTACCTGCATACAAATATCCTGGGGAAGGCTAGGCTAGGCCGCAGGCAGGCTGTCCCTGATCCCGTTTGGCTGGCTGGCTGGCTGGCTCTCTCTCCCTCTCCCTCGCGCGCTCTCAACCATCCATCCATCCATCCATCCCATCCCATCCAGGCACCATTCCGCACCAACGACAGGGATGCCCTCCAAAAGTGAACAAACCAGAAAAGTGAAAGTGAAGGAAATGGGAAATAAAATATCGGACGAGCGTGCATTTGCTGCAGCAGCACATGTGTCTGGGCTGGGTTTGCGGCGACGGCGGCTGTTTTGTTACTGTAATTTTTCCGGTTCCTGCAGCTCGCATAAACGACCATCGGATGTCGCACAGATCGGGACGATTACAGTTATTCTGGATCCCTCCCTCACTTCCCTCTTTCTGCTCTCTCGCGAGCTCGGCTCCGTGGCGGTGTGTTATTAAATACTACTCTACCATAATATGCACATATATACAAGTGAAGTATTATTTTATTTTATTTTCCGAACGCACGTAATATGAGGCCAGGATAAATTATAGCAATAATCTTGTTTTATTCCACTGCCACTACACTACAGTCTGCTAGTGCTGCTGAAGATCTCGCGGAATGGAAGATGCAGATGTCATGTTTTTTTATTGTGATTGCCAGTGTGGTGATTTTATTTTTATTTTTATTTGGATTACTCGGACCAATCAATTCAATCCTCACAGCCTGAATTCCCCCCCTCGACCCCCCGGTGCAGGTAGATTCAGCTGAGCGTGCGAGACGGACGAGACAAACGAAGACTTCAGCCTAGTCAGCGAGAGAGGGCCACCGGTGACTGACTGACTGACTGGAGTCTGATTATCAGCTGCCGAAACAAACGAGTGCTGGGACCTGCTGGCCTGGGGGCAGTTACAGAGTTGCCGAGACAACCGATGGGCATCCAAGAGTTAAAGCTCTCTTCTAAGCTTGAATTCAATCCGGGTAACAACCCTCCCCCCCCGAGTGCCACCACCACCGCCACTACCGCCGCACGACCCCTCGCAATTTCCCTTTCAGCACAGCAACCCCCAATCCCAATCCCAATCGTTCTGCCTTAATTCTGGGATAAAAAAGATGACGACTCTTCTTCTTCCTCTTCGCTGCTGCGCCTCTCGTGCTTTGTCGTCATCATCATCATCCTCTCGAGCGCTGCTGCGCTCGATTAATGCAGCAGGCAATGGCTCTAGCTTTGTGATCCCCCGTGCCCGTGCCCGTGCTGCGCTGTGCGGCGGCCGGCAGCGGCGGAGCTATATGGTTCTGCGCACCGTGCTGAACCCGAGGTCGGTTAGTACTTTTTTCTTTATTTCTATTGTTTATATTTTTTAGAGCTTTTGTTTGTTGAATTGTACTTTTTATGGTTTGGTCACTGTGATGAGTTATTATTTTAGTTGTTCGATCAGACGTAACCATATTTATGGAACGGATGAAGTATACATGAGCCTCGTTTTGAGTGACTAATAAATTATACCATAAATTGTTGTATCTGCGCTCCTGTTAAACCAATTGCAAGCCCTCTCTATATATAAAAAAAAAAAGTGGGAAACATAATCACTGACACCTCCCGCCCCCTCAACAGCCCGATCTCCAACCCCCCACCGACCTCCCCTCCCCTCCAAAAACAATAATCCTCCTCACGACGCCCAAATCTGCCACCCACATCACTCCCGATGCCCTCCAACCCTGGACCAACGACGGCACCGTCTCCCTCCTCGCCGCCGCCGTCGAGTCCCTCCCCGGCGCCCCCGCCGGCACCCGCGCCGACACCGGCCACAGCTGGCTCATCACCGACCACGACCTCTCCATCAAGCTCCCGCCCGTCAAGGAGCTCACGCGCTCACTAACATTCATCCTCCCCTCGCACTCGACAAAGCTCACCCTCCCGCTCGCAAACACGCTCTTCCACAACGGCGCCGCATCAACGCTCCTCCACCTCCCGCCCGCCGTAAAGGAGATCCCCGTCCAGATCGAGGCCGCAACAGGCCTCTCCCCCAACGACGCGCTCGAGTTTGCAGACGCACAGCAGGACATCAAGGAGGCGTGGGACGAGATGGGCGAGCTCATGAAGCTCATTGGACAGCGCGCCGGTGTCGTGCCAGTAAAGGAGCACGAGATCGGAACGGTGGAGATCACGCTGCCGGCGGGCTGCGTGGCGGACACACCGCTCAGGACCTCCCTCCCGCTGAGGGCGCTCACGCCGCCGCGCCGCATCGCCGCGGGGCTCGGAAACATCCTGAAGCAGCTTGACGGCGGCGACGGCGGCGCGGCCGTCGGCGCGAGTCGCGAGCTCGAGAAGGCCGTGACGGGGTATGTCGGCGCGCAGGAACCCAACGCGGGCGGGGTATCGGTGTTTGCGCGGCTGACCCCGCGGGACCCTGCCGAGGAGGGGGAGGGCGGGTGTGAGTTTTTGGCGCCGGGCGTGCGCGTGCATAGGGTATTGTCGGGCGGCGGGGGGTGGGGGTCGAAGGCGGGGCTGCTGTCGCTGGACCCGCAGGGCGAGGCGGACGTGGGCGGGTTTGCGGAGGGGTTTGAGAATAGCGTGTTTAATGCTGTGGGGCAGCCGGGGGCGGAGGGGGAGGGGAAGAAGAGGCCGACGGGGATTGTGACGGTTGGGGAGTGGGTTCAGTTTTTCGCGGCGGAGGTGCCGAAGGGCGGGGAGGAGGGTGGGAGGGGGGTGAGGCTGGGGAGTGTGCCGAAGGTGGAGGAGGTGATGGTGGGCGGGGAGGAGGGGAAGGTTGGCGGGGGAGGGTGTATGCGGAGGAGAGGGTGCTGGAGGGGGTGTTTGGGGGGTTGGCGGAGCAGGGGGTATGGGTGGGGGGGAAGATGCTGGATGTGCCTTTTGCGGAGGTGCAGGTCGGGGTTAAGGAGGAGTAGATGAGCCCAGGTGGGGGGGGGGGTAAATAAAAATGGTTCTGGTCTCCGCTTTCTTTTTTTTTTTAGACGTGGAGAGCTAGGTAGATGCGCTCCATAGTACTGGCTGTAAATAATACATCGTGTGCGCTAATGTACATTGCTTTAAACAAACATAATTGTACTTCCTAGTTCCTGAAGTCTCTTGGGTCGACTAGTATTTAGTTCCTTCGAAGAATCTGTAGAGTTGTGGATGGAGTTGACCTGACGTCCTCCAGCGCAGCTAGCCGTTATCCAAACACAACCAAGACGGATTAGCTAACCGAGTGATACCCCATGACGGAAATTCGCGAGTAACTACCGACCCAATATTTTATAATTCGTTTTTCGCAGTAGACGAGCAGAGGCTTGGCTCTATGCTACATAGCCATGTCAAGCACTATTCCCCTAGCTACATGTAGGTAGGCCTACCTAACTGTCTGGCTGTCGAGAAATCCTAGCCCTGGATGACGGAAGGGCCTGTAATGCCCTCATTCATTTCCCCATAAGACTCTAGCTCTTTGTTATGTGGGATTCGAGTGCGTGACATTGTAGTAGCGGGTCGGTGATGGGTCCGAGGCGGGTGCCTGGGCGTGGTGTGCGGGGTTAGGTTTCTGGTTTGTAGTTTGTGATGTCGTTGGATACTGCGGTTCTGTGGTACTGGGGTTCTGCAGTTCTGCGGGGACTGTGGCTGTTGTTAATTGTAAGAGGTTAAGCTGATGGTCTAGCCGGGCGGTGGTTAATTGTTGGTGGCTAGCTATACGTGCCCTAACCCTGTATATAGCTGGTCTTACCGTTTGAACATCGTGAGCAGGGGCTGGCGTGAGGTCGAGGCATCCTTTGGGGGGTGTTGAGGGCTGTAGTATGTATAGGGTGTTGAAATATCGGGTCTGGTATATATATGCATGTGAGGGTTGTAGATGCTGGTGTGGGCTGTGGCTTTGGCCTGGGGCCGGGTTGGTGGTGGGTTTTTGTATCATTGACATCTGGCTTTCATCCTCTCTGTCTGTCTAGCTACTTGTAGCTAGCATGGAATTAACAGATCTTGTGGAATTCTCGTGCCGGTGGAGACAGACGTCCAAGATGAATATAAGCGTGTGTTATTTTCAAAGCCTAGGAGCCTAGCTATGTAGCTATGCATATACAGTTAAACATGTACGCCTGGTCAGATTATGGCACCGTGGTTTAAACTTAGCTAATTCTACGTTATGACAATGTGGTATACAGGCAATTCTTGACACCTCCTCAAACATGTACATATGTTACTATCTCTGCTGCGGGGCATGTATCACATGTGCAATCCGTATAATCTTAAGCCACGGCATTCTCAGCGATGTGGGGTGTGGGGTTGTGTGGGTTGTGGGCTAGGGTTCCCGGCTCATGTACGTATTGGTGGGATTAGGATCACTGACATCCTTTTGTCCTGCTGTTTCGACGAGCGGCTACATGCCTGGCTGCACATGTGGGGGTTGTGTAGGAATATCTATGTCTCAACTATAGTTAGTGCATGGGTAATTATAAGTGCGAGAGAAGGCTATCACGATATGGGCGTGTTTAACGGCCTATATATACATGGCGACCCTAGCACTAACCGAATTACCTCGAAAATTGAAAGCACTTCCCTCTCGTCTTGTTACATTTGGAAATATTTGTGGAGAATACGAATTTTGTACTGATATTGGGCTCGGATCGGTGGTAGTGTAGTACTGTGTCTGTTGTTTCGAAATTTCTGTCAAAAGTGCATGGCATTAATGTTATGAAATTTAAAGGAGATCCGGCAATGGCATCGAACAGTCGTGTCAAGACCTATGAGATATGGTCTATATAATAGTCCCTATAATCTTAAAACCACGGGTATGGTATAGGAGGGGGAGGGGTTAGCTGGGTTCCTGAGAGTTCTTATGGTGAAATTGTGATCATTGATATCCCTAATCTAACCCCCGGCTCGTAGCTGCCTAGCCTATGGCATATAACTACGACCAGATAAACCCTGAGATTTCCGCCTCACGTGGTAATCACTAGGCATAATAGGAAATGTTGGTTGATCTACCACCACAAGGCAGAAGTGTATGTAGAGCCTTAGCCCTCCTAGAGGCATATCTTCTTCAATTGCCCTGCTTTGCCTTGTCCTCTTGGTGATCGTTTGATTTATGAACACTGGGTCCATATTGGCCCGGGGTTGCTATGTATTCTCATATCGTCTACCTGTCACCGTTAGAATTATACTTGTCTTTTTTACGAGCGTGTGTTTCGGGCTGCATTTGGCCTCCATGTCATTAATTCTCTCAATTGAAGACGCTATTTTGCCTGGCGAGGAAGGAAAAAAGCGTGCTTGTAGTATATAGGCTCTAAATTAGTCATTGCACGAGGAATGGCCATGCAGATATATAGTAGCGCTTTGTCTCTACCCCAGCTCGATGAGTAGAAAATTGCTTAATTATGGGGACTATTATCCCCCCGATAGTACATACGCCTGTTCTCCTAACTCATCACCGCCTTACACATTATATATTTACATTGTGTACTTTTACCACAGCTGCATGTATCTTTATAATCAGCAAGCTTAAGCTTAATCACACGATATCCTACACACTTCTAATGGGTCCTTTACACATGAGTTCTATTGTGTAATGTACACAGTTGTAGATATAAAATACACCGCAGCGCCGGTGCATGCACCATTTCGCTATTCATACAAAAAGTACTGCGGGCAAGAAAGCATGATGGGGGGCATAAATATCTAAATAGTATAATCCTCCTCCTTGTGGTCATGAAGTATTATGGCTAGTTGATTTTCTTGGAATCAGGCCGTGGGTGGAGCTAGAGTATAAAACAGATCAGCAGAATTAACAGCAAAATAAATGTAATAAATTCCACCTAGCCGCAACCAATTGCAGCCCTCTGAGTCAGCTCAGCCAGAGCAGCAAAAGGAGAGGCATCCCGCTCTGCCCCAACTCAGTCACTGTTTCCACCAAGTCTTGGGGGTTGGGTGGCGGTTGCGTGTATATATTACAATATTTGTAGTCAACACCATCAAAGAAAGAAAAATACCAAATAGATCTGGCCGGGAGCTAGCGGGACTGGTATAGTATCAGCAATGTTATTAACATGCATAGGCACCTAGCTAGCTACTCCACGCATTAATTCACTTAGCTGCGGGAAGCAGTGGAGTGCTTCTCGTTGTAAGTATTAAAGCCCCCATTTCAAAGTATCTGACAGGCGGGTTGGGGGGGTGGGGGGAGGTAACCGCTGGGGATATTTCTGATTCCTGGCGGGATACCCTGCACCAGTTACGTAGTTACTGAACTATCACTCGCTCGTCCCGTCGCTACATGCCGTTATTGAGATTCTGTGGGTGGCGTGTTGGTTGATGAAGAGTGATTTAGTTTTGGACTAGTAGGTGAGATCGAGATGGACCATGGTGGTGGTGGTGGTGGGGGAGGAGATAGGCATGGACCATCGGCCGTTCGGTGCGTGCTATCATCAAAGTTTCTGTAAATGCCGTGTTGCTTGATGAGGCCGAGGAGAGCTTTGGTTTGCGCTAGTAATGTAGGTGAGATGGCCATATGGGCGGTCGTGTTGATAGAGTTAGGCATGCATGGATTATCACTCGTTCGTAGTTAATTAGCTGTGTGATCTATTTCACATCGACTCAGTTCCGTTTCTGGCTGCCGGCCTCCTTCTGGTGGTTGTGAGTCGGGGGATCAGATCAGAGGGTATGATACGATATCCACGATAGCTAGCTCTGTATATGTGCATCTATGTAGCTGTGTATTGTGTTTATGTGTATGTATTGTATTTATGCCAAGGACCCTGGTTGCGAGGGTGTGCCTATAGCTAGCTACATGTAGCTACAACTCTATCGAACCGAGCAAGATCTTAAGTGGCATTGAAGCTCTTTATCCACCGCTACATACATGTAACAAACCATACCGTAAAGCTACCGTTGGATCTGCCGGGTGCTGTTCTAGAAGAACTGGACGATTTACGGGGAAGTGGACTTGCTACTTACCTAGTACTTACGGTTGTTTCTAGCTAGAATCACAATGAGATGCTACCTCATAAGGTGGAATTGAACTTAGCGGCGTCAGAACATGCGGTACAAGGCCGCCTCAGCTATTACATCATGCTCAGTAACTACATGCACACAGCGGTTCCCCACACAGTTTTGCAGTTATGGTTTCCTGATGGCACTGTTTGTCTACATGCGCACTAGCTAGTAAGTAGGCCAGCTCGCCAGCCAGCGGCATCGTAGAGCTCTCTCTCTCTCTACTCTCAGCCAGCCAGTAAGCTCACTACCCTCCCCCATCCACGGTTCCTTCACCTCCTCTTCCTCCTCCTCCTACTCATCATTAATTCCATCTACCACCCTATATCAGCTACCACTACCACCTATCTATTCTCATGGTAGCTCACACAAACACCTTCTTCCTCGGCAGCGACGACCCATACATCTCCGACCACGAGGCCGAGGATGAGGCACTAGAGTGCCTAGTGCCACGAGACGATCATGAAGACGAAGATGAATACAAAGCTCTACCGCCCGCTGCCAGACTGTTGCTGCTGGAGTTGGCGGTGCTGAGGGCGCTGCCGGCGATGGAGCTGGCGCTGGAGGCGTATCGGAGGGCGTGGTGGTGGATAAGGGTGCATTGTCGGAGGTGGAGAGCTTAGATGGTGAGTTTGGATTGTGGTTGATAGTGACGTATTTGACGGTATGTAAGCGCAGTTGAATTGACAGTTCTGCGCTAGGTATGAACGGACAGACAGACAGACAGACAGACAGAGCAATTGCCTCGGCCCTCTCACTCTCACTGCTCTTTATCGGTTGCGTATGGTAGAGGCACAATGGGCGGCGGATATATACAAGAGCCGGAATGTCTTTCTTTTGTTTCTTTCTTTTGCAATGTTCATGATCAGCGAGAGAGTTAACCGGAAGCAATTCTCTTGGCAAGGGCCAATGTACGCGCCAAGACTGTTAATGTTTAATAGCATAATAAGACCCAATGCAAATTATTAGTATTTCCCCAAAGCGGAAATAAATGCCACCCGCAACAGGCTCTATTAGCGGATGATCGCTGTCTGTCTGTCTGTCTGTCATGCACGCAAGCATCCAGACTGTTTCAGAACGAGTGAGTTCCCTGTACCGCCCCGGTCTGTCCTGTGTGTGATGGGCCTGTCATGGATTTACGAATGCGATTGTCCTGACTGACGGGGGTAATATAACAATAGCGGTGATGATAATAACACCTACATCTGGCTACAAGTGCAGATCCCCCCTAATTTGTGTGTCCTTCCGAAAGAAGAGACAGGGACAGAGAGAGAGCTCTACACAAGAAGAAGAAGAAGCCACTCCCGCACTTTGTACAACTGTCACCAACCCTCACAATGACGGACTCCAAACAAAACTGGAGCCCCATCGAGGGCCTCCTCTCACACAAATACAGGCGAACAATCTACCTCGCTGCCCTGGCCCTCACAATCATCACGCTGCTGACCTTCTACTCGGCGCCTATCTCCTCACGGCGGACCACCACAACCACCACCACAACGACAAAAACCGCCACTTCCTCTGGACACAAGGGCGAATGGGACTGGGACTGGAGGCGGGATGCGGGGAACCTCCTCATGACGGATGAGCAGTGCGGTGCTGCATTCCCAGGCCTGTTTGTCGAGATTGAGCGGGCGATGGATACACGGAAGGAGAACAAGATCACGTTCGAGGAGCTCGATGCTATCAAGCCCCAGTATGGCTATGGACGGGCAATGATCTATGACCAGCAGGTGAGTCTCCCCCACCTCAATGCCATATCCATATCCATCTCTAACGTTTCCCCCAGCTCTACATAATCTCCATCGACAGCACCGTCTACTCCCGCACCATGGCCACCCTCCACGCCATCCACCGCGCAATCCTCACCTCCCCCGAGCCCCTCCCAAACATCGAATTCACCTTCATCGTCAACGACAAGATCGACCCAACCACCACCTGGGCGCTCACCCGCCGCGCCGCCGACACCGACATCTGGCTCATGCCCGACTTTGGCTACTACAGCTGGCCCGAGACCAAAGTCGGCACCTACGCCGAAGTCCAGCAAAAGATCCTCGCCGCAGAACACACCTCCCCCTGGTCCTCGAAAAGGGCGAAACTCGTCTGGCGCGGCGCACCAATGACGGCCCACAACATCCGACAGCACCTGGTCGACGTCACGGCGGGGAAGTCCTGGGCGGACGTGAAGTACCTCGACTGGAACGACAAGCCCGCGCTGCAGCGCGACCTCCTTGCTATGCCTGACCACTGCGGATACAAGTTTGTTGCGCATACAGAGGGTGCGTCGTATTCCGGGCGGCTCAAGTACCTGCAGAACTGCCGGAGCGTGGTGGTTGCGCACCGGCTGCAGTGGATCCAGCACCACCACCCGCTGCTTGTCTCGGAGGGGCCCGAGCAGAACTTTGTCGAGGTGGACGACGAGTTTGTGGGGCTGGAGGCGGCGATGGAGGAGTTGTTGGCGGACGATGCGCGCGCGGAGAGGATTGCGGGGAATGCGGTGAGGGTGTTTAGGGAGCGGTATTTGACGGGGGCGGCGGAGGTGTGTTATTGGAGGCGGCTGGTGAGGGGTTGGAGGGACGTGAGCTTTGAGCCGAGCTTTTATGATGAGAAGGGTGAGTGGAGGGGGGTGCCGGCGGAGAGTTACTTTTTGATGGGGAAAGTGGAGTGGGAGCCGTATTAGATGTAGATGTGGCGTGGGAGGGAAGGGGGGAAGGGGGGAAGGGGGGAAGGGGGGAAGGGGCGGGGCGGGGCGTTGGGTTTTGCGTTGTTTGGTTGTTTAGCTGGTTTGGAAATGGATTCCTTTTTTTGTGTGTGTGTTTTGAGCTGTGGAGACTGTGATGTGATGTGATGTGATTTTTTTGTGAGTGGTGGTGTGGCGGTAGTGGTTGTGGAAACCATGGTATGGTGGTTGTGAACAGCGCCGAGTGATACCGTGTGATACCATAACACCACACCCCCACCCCCGTCTACTGGTTTCGTTAAGAAGTAATAGAACAGATTTATATCCTCAAGATAGCAAATCACCCACGATATTCAGCTACTGAATTCTCCACTTGAAATTACCAGACAAGAGCCCAATCCAGTCGAGAGCCACGGGCATATATATCGGGGCGTTGATATGTTGCTCTGTCCCATTCGCCGGCGCTACCCATTCACCGGACATTTTACTATAACGTGTGCACATAAGAAAACAAGAACAGTGACAGCGGTTAACAAAATGTCTATTTGGCAAAGTGTCAGCACCGGCATATGCTCACGTAGTCTTCTCCTTCTGTGAGATTAAAAGTGAGGATATGTTTGGGGTGGGTCCTTTGCCGGTAGAGGGTATAACGAAAACGTTTCTACTTAAGCTCCGGTGGTACTTTATCCTTACGTTTTTCCTTAAACAGTCCCATGCAAGCCTCATGGCTTTTTAGGCCAGAAGAAGGATAGCGAGTCACGGCAATGGCAGTTGCAGATTCTATATTCATTATTCATAATCAAGGAGACCCACACAAGCCGCCCCCTCCCCCCCCCCCCCCCCTCTGATGTCCATCCTTCCTTCTGATACCAATCACCATTTTTTTGATGCTAGTCAGATAGCTGATCCTGTCAGGCATAGATCCTTTATTACGCCATGTGCCTTAGGCTGTTTCACCGTGTGAGCGTTCACTTCATCGGGTCTAGTAGTATCGGTTCCGCAATTACATAAAAGTCCGACGAATGGGATGCCTATCGAGCGGACATCCGGAATATCCAAAGTGTCCATCAGATCGGATACCCAATCGATGGATGTCCGGTGAATGGGTAGCATCTGCGAATGGGGGCAGAACACTTCCCGTGAGCTATGGATAGACCAAATTTTGGTGTTCTATCGAATAGAACCCGCGCCGCGGGGGGTGGGGGGGGGGGGTCTATATGGTTCATAAACTCTATCCATTTTCTATCCGTTGCAATAGGGAGGACACCTTGCTAGCGCGAGAAATAGTCCTAAAAAATGATTTCGCGATACCCAATTTGTATATTTAGGCACCGATTAGATTTTAGGAATCTATATTAATCACCGTATGCTTACGGGAACCTGGTCTATTCGATAGCCATCATCTATTGCAATAGAATACGTCCAGTAGCTTACGGGAAGGCGTCCGTTGTTGTGGTGTTGTAGAGCCTGATCACTGGTCATTGACGTAAATAATCTATGGATATATATATTAATCAATCAATTGATCATTGGTGGCCGGGCCGGGAGTGCGGGAGTGCGGGCGTGCGGGCGTGCGGACGGGTGTTCGTGGGTGCCGGATAGGAAATATATTTCCCGTAACTGCATCCGACTTCAATTGAAGGGGGGTGATAAAGTCAGTACTACGTTCGAGTTTTTTTTTTTTTTTGTATACTACTGAGGGCTGCGCTGGCCAATGTGAGTACCGAAACCTGGTCGAAATTGCACTATACTATAAGCAGAGTAGTACGTTAGCCATAATTAATTAATGAATTAAACAAAAAAAAAAAAAAAAAAAAAAAACCGTTAGCCATAACTCACATGCATAATCAACTTCTGAAATGGCGTGAAGATATTGCTGGCTTGTACCACTAAATTAGGCTTTAAACGGTGTGGTGGAATAGTTGATATTGGACGATTCTGTTCTTGCGGAGATGGTGGGTTCGACAATGGTTGTATTTCGACCTTGGTAGGCTCTGGATAGTTCGCCCGGTCGTTCTGTGTATATAGCTAGTGGATATGAAAAGCCCTGCATTCTGATTTCAGACTGTACTGACCTCCGCCCAGAAGGGTGTTGAATTGGGTTCTTATACCTACTGGCAGTAATACGGGGGAGGGCGTTGGTATGAGACATGTAATGCGTCAGGAGGACATGTAGGTATAGGTATACGTTGTGAACATATACAAACCACCTAAGAAGGCGAAAACCCTAATTAATTTGTACTCCCGAAATAACATTTGGGCCATAGCATAGGCACCATCACTTCGGGGGAATCCATATCTGATATCAATTCTTTTTCTCTATCCACTTGGCGTTGTGGGGAAATAAATGTTTGAAGTTGCACGCCCACACGCAAATCTTGGTTGCAACGTGAATGTTCGCTTACTTGTGGTGATATCTGTCGCAACTCAGCACATACTACGGAGCGAGTGATATCTCATGACCAACTATCTACACAGCCTCCGTCGTGTCACGTCGTCACGTCTTGTTTATTTACACACCTCCCTCCAGCTCCAGACCCGGGTTCTCGGTCACTCGCTTAGGGCTGGCTAGGCCGGATGTCAGACGGGCATTTCGCTTATGTATTAGCCACGGCTGTCAGCTGCTTTTCCTCTGCCTACTCTACCACATGTGCCTGTCAGCGGATTCACGTCGGTGGTCCTGAGGTCGCTTGGGTGGGCGATCTTATCAGATTGTTTCCTTAGATCGTGGACGAAGTGTCATGCATGGCCAGCCAGCCAATGCGCGGCCCTTCTGAGCATATATAAACAAGTAAACAAGCTCACCACCCTCATCAGCTTGGCGAGTGACACCCCATGACCTCACTCCGGGTACATACGGTGCGCACGCCAGAAACTTTTATATTTAGAGTATTTAGACATGTTCGAAAAGCCTCATCCATCACCGTCGCCCTCGCCCTCGCCCTCGAGTCGCCCATACATATTGTGATATCCAACACATGTACAACCCACATGGTACGTACAAACCAGTGCAACCAACCATAAAACCCGCACCTGACGTCAACAGCGGCGATCATATTGATGATCAGTCCCTGCGTAAAGTCGAGAGAGTCTCTCTCTCTCTCTCTCTCCCCCTTTCCCAAAGCTTTAATATGCATATACGCTACAATACATACGTAAGACCAAAAAGTTAAAACCTGGAAAAAACTGACAGGTAAGACGTCTGATTTGCCCGCGGACGCTTAATTTTTTCTTTTCAGGTTTCTTTTTGGGACGGGGACGGCGCGGCGCGCGCGCGGCGGTAGGTAGGTAGGTAGGTAGGTACGGGAATAGGTAGAGCATGTATGCAGATCCTTCCTTCTCCACGAGGGCGACAGATCGAGGTTCCAATTTCCAGGTTTTTGAGGAGCGGCTTCACATTCACGTCCACATTCATTCACGTCAACCAGAATGTGATTGAGCAAGTGACGGCTTAACTATATCCTCCCATTTCTGTTTTTTTTTTTTTTGCAAACAAAAAAAACTAAACTACCTAGAGTAGATGGCTGGAGTAGATAGATATTTAGATACATAGTGTACGTACTCGAAACTCAGAAATAAAAATACAATTTTTTTTGACCACCCCCCCCAAATTTCACCCGTTCACTAAACTAAACTAAAACTAAACTATAGACTTAACTTCACTACGGGCCTCCCCCGCGCGCCTTAAGCTTAAATCATCACCTATCTCCATCGCCGCCGCCGCCGCCGCCGCCCACGCCATATCACATCATCTAAATAAAAGCCATCCATCCATCATGCACAGTAAACAAAAAACAAAAATAAAAAACAAAAACAAAAAAACGAATGCCATGCTAACAAAACAAAAACAAGCTTTCCAAATTATTCATAAACAATTGCAATATTGCAATTGCAAGAAAAAAGGCCATACCCCCAATGCTCCGATGATAATAAAACCACATATAACAAAAAAACACATCACATGAAAATGAATGGATAGAAGAGGAAGAAAATATAGATATAGAAATGAAGAAAAAGAAGAACAAATACAATCACATCAATCGCCCCGTGTTGGTGGTGCTAGTGTGTGGTGGTGGTGTGTTAGTGCCAGTTAGTAGTTGTTAGTGTTGGTAGTAGTGTTACTAGTAGTTGTAGTAGTGGTGGTCGTAGTAGTGGTGTAGTAGTAGTAGTGTAGTAGTAGTGTAGTAGTAGGCAGCACCCCCCCCCCCATGATATCAGATCACATCCAACCCACACCTCCAGAAATCCAATCTAATCCAATCCAATCCACACCAAACCAAGCCAACCACCTGGGTATCACATCACATCTCATCTCATCCCTCTCGTCCCATTCCATCCAATTCCACCACCATGCCACCACCAAGCCACCATCCAGAACATCGGACGAGAGCAAGCAGTGCCAACCTCCAAAACGCGTAATGGCCGGAGACCAAGCAGCACAGCAAGTCAAATGGCACGGTGGTAGGAAAAGCAAGGCAAAAAAGAAAAGGAGAAAAAGAAAAAAAATAGGGAAATAGAAGACCACTACTATTTCCATCAATCCAGCCATCCGCAGCCCATTTTTTCTACCAGCCTAGCTTAGCCTACTTAGTTACTACTAGAACAAACACTATAATGGTGATAAAAAAATATAAAAAAAAAAAGGTAGACCTATAGAGCGAATATTGGGGGGGGTCGGGGTTTGGGTATCATAAGCGACAGCAAGAAGAAGAACACACAAAAGAGTTCAAAAAAAAAAATAACAGAGAAGAATCACCAGCGCCCGTTAATATCCCAACGCAAGCAAAACCAGCAGAGCATGAGCAAAAAAGAAGCAAGAAAGAAAGACTATATAATAAGAAAGGAAAAAAAGGGCTTAAAAACGAAAACTCCACTAAATCATCTCCCCCCTTCCCATACCATCACACACACTGATACCCAGCGCATCCGCGCCATCCTCCCATATCGTCTCGAGCTCCAAATCGCCCCTCTTCTCCCCACCACACACACTCCACCTCTTCCTCTTATCCGTCGCCGCCGCCCTCCTCCCGCCTCTCCTCCCAGCGCTCTCCTCCTCCACCACCACCACCGCCGCCGCCGCAGCCTTCTTCATCTCCGCCTCAGCCTCCAGTGCCTCCGCCTCAGCGTCCGGTGAGTCCGGTATCGTCTCGAGCGATGAGATAGAGGGTGACCGCGAGCGCACCGACGTCGGCGTCGACGATCCAGACGACGAGCTCGCTACGTACGGCTCATTGACCAGGTACGATGGTGGCGGCGGCGGGGGCGGCGAGTGTGAAAAGCCTGATCCAGAGTGGTAGGTGCTGCTGCGCGGCGACTGCGAGTATGCCCATTGGCGGGTGGGTGAGTTTGAGCGCGGCACACGCGTGCGCGGGGAGATGGGTGAGGGCGGGCAGTTTGTGAGTGTGAAGCGGGATGTGGCGGAGAGCTCTGCGAAGGAGCCAACGGGTGGGAGAGAGCTGGAGCGGAGGAGCGGGGGTGCGGCGTGATGGCGCGAGGTGGAGAAGGAGGGGGCAGGGTGCTGAATGGGTTCGCGGTGGGTGTGTTTGTGGACTTTGAGCGCATGTGTTTTGAAGGGAGGGAGCGCTTGGTAGTGCTGGTGGGTGATGGGAAGGTAGAGAGCTTGAAGAAGGGGGATTGGTGGGCGTGCGACGACGAGAGCGGCGCGAATGCTGTCATTGGGACTGCTGTTGGGGGTGGAGTTGAGGTAGAAGGTGTTGTAGGTATTGTAGTAGGTGTAGTAGGTATTGTAGATATTATTGTTGTTGCTGGTGAGGACGGACGCAGCACAGGTGAGGATGTCGAAGAGGTTGATGGTGAGGAGGTGGAAGAGGAAGAGGAGTAGGAAGAGGGTGTGGGGGATCCCAGGTGTGATAAAGGTTGCGGTTGCTGTTGCTGTTGCTGTTGCACCTCCTCTGGTTGCGGTTCCAGGTGTGGCTGTTGTTGTGTGTCCAGCTGCTGCTGCTCCTGCTGCTCCTGGTGCTGCTGCTTCTCTTCGGCCGAGCAGCCACCAGGGAATGTAGAGTGCGGCATTGATGCGAACGCGGAGAGTTACAGAAACTCGACAGCCAAACTAAACTACGCACCTAGACGGGGGGCGGGAATGTGAAATGCGATGATCTCACAGCAGCTGAACTCGCAAACGAAGATAGGTAGGTAGGTAGATACACCAGGCAAGTAAGGTAGAATAGATTAGAGTATGATTTTTTTTTCTTTCCTTTCTTTTTTGCCTTTCCGACCCTTTTTTTCCCTTTTCCAGGAAGAGTGAGAGTGTGGGAGGGAAAAGAAAAAAATGTAGCCCTGGCCTGGCTGTGGGGCGTGTGTGTGTGTGTGTGTGTGTGTGTGGGAGGGTGTATGGATGTGTGTGTGTATGTGTGTGATTGACTCGTGAGAGGGAGGGGCGGAGTGACAGAGGTAGTATGTAGTGGGGATGTAGTTTCGCAGCTGTCCAGGGAATAAAACTACTTGTCTAGAAACCTCTCTCCTTTCCAGTCCTGTTGAAGGGGGGAGAGGGAGGGGGGGAGTGTAGAGTAGACTTGACGTTATGTGTGATGATGGCAGAAAGCAGCAGTGCAGTAGTGTGTGTGAGGAAGTGAGGATTGGATTGGACAGTTCAATCAGCAGGACAGCAGAGTGAATAGTGGACCTTTGTATGGCCGATAGGGTATGATTCTGATTTGGATAGCGACGGGGCCGCCGTACGTAGAATCTGGGTATTGTATCTGGCAGGTGAGAAGCAGCAGCAGAGAGCGAGTGGGATGGCCGCCTACTTGCTTTGCTTGCTTGCTTGGTTGCTTGCCTGGTTGCTCGGTACGTAAGTAGATAGATAGGATAGAGTATTGTAATTGTGTTAGAGAGAGCAGGTTATGATATGTATGTAGGTTAGGTAGGTACAGCAGGCGAAAAAGAGGCAGGAAGTCTCTCTGCCTGTCGTAGAACAGCTATGGGTACGGTCCAATGCACAATTGGAATAAAAACACCACCCGTTCCGTTCGTTCGTTCGTTCGTTCGTTCGTTCTGTTGAGACGGTCCAAAGAACCTCAACCAAAGAAGTAAAAGTGTCCAAAGAGAAAAAGAAAACGAACGTTAGAACCGATGTAATATCTGTAGTAGGAGCAAGTACATGTAGAGCAGGTACAAGTCGTTACAAGCACCTACGTAGAGCGTAGAGTATAAACAACCGTACAGCCCCGGCAATTCACTTTAATTCATTCAGCACACACGCATCCATCCATTCATTCATCCATCCACCCATTCATCCACATCCATCCATCCAAGCTCTTTCGACCTCTCCTTCCCTTCCTTCCTTCCGCAACCACAAATACAAATACAAGCAACCTGACCCTCAACTTAATTCCGCCGTCGCCGAATCAGAAACAAAATAAACACCCACTTGTAGCTCCAGCCACCCTACCGGCCTACATAGCCCCCCTATCAACAAACACAAAACACGAGAACAGAACTGAACAGAACAATCTAGAATAAAAACAACCCCATCTATCTGCGGCGCTCTCACCTTCAGAAATCATACATCCCTGATATGATAACGGAACGCCCCCCCCCCCCCCCTCCTCATCACATCACACCCATACATCCATCTACCTACCTGCTCTACTCTATTTCCACTGAGACATGGCCGCACGCAGGAACAGGGAGGAAAGTAAAAAAATAAAAAATAAAAAATAAAAAATAAAAATTCGCAACCACCCCCGCGACCCCCGTAATACAACGCCCTACCTACTCTACCCAAACCGGATCTACTGGCTGGACTTGACCGGAACCGCAACCGATGGGGGGGGGGGGGATGACTTTTGTTTTTGGAACATTCTCTATCTCTACAGTCATTCACTCAATCAGTCGCGCACACTCACTCATTCACTCATTCACTCATTCACTCACTCATACAATCTGTCAATCAATCACTGGACGGATCGCATGGATGCTCTATCCTGTTGGTTGGCCCCATGGGGAGGGGAGGGATGGGGAGGGGGTGGAAATGATAAGAAACAAAGACTCAACCCTTCCAGTGAAAAAAAAGTCACAGGACAACAAGGAACCCCCCAAGAGCGACCAGATGAAAGGGCACCTGGGTTCCCAGGATGCGCGAGTATCAAGACTCCCTCAAGAGAGCGCGCAAGAGAGTGCCCTCCTCCTCTTCCTCCTCCTCCTCCATACATACATGAAGGTAGTACTCCTGCACCCGGTACATACATGTATGTATCTCCTACATACAGTCCTTGATGTCTGCACTTACCCGCGGGCACCCCCGGACCCCCCCCCCTCACCTTCACTCACCTCACCCCCGGGCCCCAGAGTACCCTGTCGGCCCTACCCTACATAACCCTGCTGCAACAACCACCATTCGCTCCATGCTCAAATTAGCTGTAGCAGCGGGCTTTTGCACCCCGAACATTTCCCCCCCGCCTCTTGGTACTCAGGCAGGTAGAGTAGGTACGGTACTGTATGTATGGTATCCACACACGCACATCAGTGGTTGAGGACGCGCGCGCACGTTACATAAGCCACATAAGCATACATAAGTACACATCTCGTGTATCTATATCTGAATCTACGCTTTCTATTTTTTTTATTTTTTTTTTATTTTTTTTTCCGCGCGCGCGCGCGCCTCACCGCCTACAGAGGACGGTAGGTAGCTAGAGGCACAAGATTAAGATTGAGATTTCCCACGCGGCCAGCCGCGCCCGAAAGCGGGGGAGGAGGAGTTGTACCTACTAGCTCTAGAGGGATTGGGCAAAAGGGTCCCCGGTCTACTACTGCACTGTAGCCAGGCGGAGAAGGGGAAGTTTAGTCAGATCGCCGAGACGTGGGGAAGATTGGGTGGGTGGTGGATACCTTACCCTGAATTAAGCACTAGCCGTAGAGGCGATAGATCAGCATCCCTTCGTCTGTTCCCGCTTTGAAACGGCGCCGTGATCCACCAAAATCTAACGAGGATTGGATTTCTGCGTGACGAGTAACGTTTTCGACCCAGTACTGTGTCAGACCTAGAAGTGTGTCGCATGGCAACGGCACCAAAACCAGACACAAAGCCCCCAAAAAGAAAGAAGACCCCATAACACCATAATAGAGGATAATCCATCTGGAAACCATCCTAATCCGTGTGCTTTTAAATGGAATTCATTTGTTAAAAATCTGGCAGTAAATATCTCAAGAGATGGTGGAGATAGCTTTGGCAACAGAAATCCCCATACAAATTTGTATGGGATTGACACTCTTCTATGTCTGACACAGTACCCGGTCTAAAACGTTACTAGTGGTGAGCCACGAATTGCCACAAGTCCTGAAAACAGACGGAGGGATCGGTCGGTTGCCGGTAGGTGGGTAGAGGTTGTACGGTGGCGTGGGTAGAGTGAGTACCTAAATACCTACTGTAGATCTCACTGCTACATACGGTAAGCTAGAGTAGGTACAATACTGGAGCTAGAGTATGAATGCATCAGAGTGCAAATACGAGCGAATAGATACTCTACCCAGCTCTCTGCGCAGCCGCCTGATACATGCCTCATGAACCGATCCCATCTATCTCATCCCATCGTACTATAATTAATCGTGGCAATGCGAGATATCTGTCTGCCTCGAATGCAAGCAAAAAAAAAAATCTGCCGTTGAAATCTCAGCTCATCTTTCTTCCTTTTTTGCGCACCAGTCAACAAAACCCACAAACCTTATCGACGCCTTCCACATCCGACCCTAGCGCTAAAAACGAAACCAGTGTTTCTCGAAGCATTCCCGTTTCGTTGGCTGGTCCCTGCGTCATTTTTGCTAACGCGAAACAGAAACAGCACCTAAGTGCGGTAGCCCGGTATGTTGAATGAGATGAAGGATCTGGTGAGGAGGGACTGGTCCAAACAGCGCGCGAGAAATAGTACTTTAGAGCATCGATAATATTAATACATATGTAATATCGATCGGGGCGATGGTGTTCGTTCCCCTGGGTTTGAACCGTTTCTCCTTATAATGACCACATGTAGAGTCCCCTACGGTTTCTACCTACTCTAAGGGGCACTTCTATGAGTTTTCTTACATGCAATATAGGTGCCCTACGCGTAGAGTAGGTACTCTACGTACGCGTGCGAGACGTACGGTCTATGCATGTGCTCAGGGTACATTATGTACTCCATCTCACATGTATCATGTATCATGTACTCCTCAGATGGCCCATAGGACCGTATGAGGGCATTCCCTTCTCTCTGGTAAATTTGCATATTGGAATGTTTACCACGGCTGGGGCGTGCTGAAACCAATGGATGGCGGAGGAGGAGGGTTCTTTTAGAGTCACGGGAATGAGTACGGCTCTAGTTCGAACACGTGCGGTGGACGGTTCCGCCTTGGGAGCTTCAATTGGTAAGGTAGGTACCGTTCGTTCGGATGGGGAGCCAGTGTCGTCTTGGGCCACCACAAGAGCCCTAACCAAACCGTTTCTGCCCTCTTGTGCTATCATGCCCCAACACAGAAAAAAACCACATCCAGCAGAGCACCTACCCCACACCACACCACACCGCAACAGGACTTCCCCCCTCCCCTCCTCCTCACCGCTCTCGTTCATTGGGATCTCCTCTATCCGCCGCCGCGTGCGACTACCTCGTTCAAGGGAGGGGGTGGATCGTGGATGTATCAGGTTGCGTGATTGGATGCGCGCTCAAGCGAGGGGAAGAAGGGGGATGGGTGTGAGCCGTGAACCGTTAGATAGTTGCTTCGGTCGGTCAGACTTCAGTCTGGGTAGGTAGGACAATTGGTAGGGTACCGTGCGTGTTTCCCCGAAGGAAGCACGGACATGTGTGTCTATCGGACGGTGGTACTCTATTCTTCCCCTCTAACTACCAAGAGTGGAGTGTCGGTTTATGCCATCATTGCCATAACCACCCTCGCGATGTACCGATCGATAGATGAATGACCCTTACTCAATGCTGGCTGGGTTGTACTTGCCGACATGGAGTACGCTCTGAAGGAATTCAAGCGAGTGATGTGATGTGCGATGAGGGAGGGAGATCCCGAAGCTTGGCAGGGATGCAGCAGAGTAATAATGACTGACGCGTGGGTCCGAGTAGAGTACTCTACCAGCTACCGTTCTACTACCCGCGGCTAGAGTATGTAGAGGTACAAATAGCTGGAAAACGGTCCTGTGGGTCTTTTTTTTTTTTTTTTTTTTTGAGGGTTTTGATATCCACGAATGAAAGCCACAGAGTAGGTGCTCTATTCTACGCTACGCTGCCATACCAGCTGCAGTCTATGTACGGATCGTCAGCGTGGCGGCGGCGATTATTCTCGTCTTGGGGTAGGTGGATGCAGAGTGTTGGTTAGCATTATGTACGCTCCTTGCCAGTGCATAAGTTCAAGTCTGATTCCCAACGGATAAAGTACTAGCTAGCAATTGCTATTTGGGCGGGCGGGCTTTGCATTACCTTATGCAGTTTCTGCAGTTTCTGCAGTTTCCTTGAACCGCTTAGGTTGTAAGCGAGCGCGAGGTGAAGAGAGGGGGCGGTAAATCATGGAATATCACTCGCTGCCGGTTACGTTAACAATCGTGTGCTCTGACATTGATAAGACCATGGTATTGGTAAGGTGTCTTAGTAATGATGGATTTAGGGCTGAAGCGCTGGTAGGCTATCTTCTATTCTAGCCAGGTGGCCTGAGGAAGGAAGGAAGGAGGTCATAGAGATCCTAGCCTCTAAATTGATGTCTCGAATAGTGTAGAAAAAGAGCTAAAGAAAAGAGTCATTACATAACTCAAGATCTAAGCGGGAGCAAAAGGTTCGCTTGCCCTAGGTAAGTGGGCTGCTTTTGTGTCATGGATTATCACTCACCTGCGCTTCATGAACTTGTGGTGGAACCGACCGTTCCGACCGGAGGTGACTGATTGATTAATTGACGTATCCGGGGGGCTAGACCGCTCTGGAGGTGGTGGGGTGTATGTTGGGGCGCTTTGGAGGAGTATGTAGTTAGTGGCGGAATGCCTTATATGGTGGACGTTTGGGTGGTCTTGCAATTGGTCCTTCTGTTTCATACTGCAGCTGCGGTCACGCTTGTATGTTTGTTTGGCTGTTTCTATGGTCCGGTAAGGCTTGTGTTGTGTCCTAGTGTTTGTTTCTTCTTTAATTTGCTAGGCGAGGAGGTAGACTCGAAAGGTGAGATCGATGAAATCCTTGTCAACAAAGTGATGAAGGCCGGACCGACGAGACAGTGTTTCTATCAAACACAGCCTCATTATGTTTTCTTAGTGGTGGGGTGGTGGTGGGGTTGGGGGGGGGGGGGTGTGAGGTTAGATTAGCGAATCTCCCTAGGCGCTTACGTGCCTGGGTTTCTTTCTTTTTTGTTTGCTTGGTTGCTTGGTTGTGGGGAGGACCCCAGTGTCGCCGTGGCGTAATCTGAGAAGGAACACTGTTGGAATTAATGAAATGAGGGTTTGTGTTTCGAGGGAGTGTGGGGAGATCTACTAGTGTCTGTGTTTTTGGGGCGGTGTTCGATCTGTTTGCTTGTTTTTGTTCGGTAAACCTTCCTCATGAGTAAATGTAGTGATTGGCAAGGCGTGCTGACCGATACTTGGAGGCGGCCTCCTAGGCCTTGATACTGTTTGCGGGGATGAGTGCGGGTGTTTGCATGAACTATCACTCGCCCGCAATGGCGGCCATCATAGATCAATTGATGTCAATTGAGCTAGACTAAGTGATTGGTCTCTAAGACATTGCGCATCCGAGCAGTGGAGAGATATAAAAGAGCAGACAGGGAGTGCCATGGAGGGAGGTGAGTAATATAGCCGTAACATCAAACGGTAGGTACAAGTTAACCGACAATAACAACCGCATACATATACTCGGCACATTGTAAGGTGCCATTAAGTGGCTATAGTGATATGTACAATAGTACATGTAGTTACGGACGTCGTGGCGGAGGAGACGTGTACATAATCATTATGACACGCTAGTAAGTACTTAAGGGGAGGTTCCAAACCTTCTGATGCAGTTATCGGTACTTTTGTGGTCATTGCCAATTAACAGCACAACAAGATTACACGGAATCTTGAAAGCAACATCAAAACCCCACACGCTACTAATCAACAGGCTACATAAACCCTCCGCTACCCTCATGACGGTGGTATATAATCATGAATTATCACTCGCCACAGTTTTCAGGCTGCCGGGACGGTTTTTTCTCGGTTTCAGGCTGCGGCTCTTTATTTGCAGTCTGTATTGGTCTCATAGAGATGGTTCAGGCTCAGATAATGGGGTGTGTGAGTAATGATGGTTGGGTTAGGTGGGTTAACTTATAGTCTCTAGCTCTAATGCTTAACTGATTATAGCTATGTACAGAGCTGTTTTAACGTATTTTGGCAGCAGTTGCCTACTCTGTCTCACGTCATCTTGGGTGTAGAGTACATGTTAGAGAAGACGATTATCGGTTGATGGTGAAACATTGCAGAGGCTGCAAACACTTTGGGACAGGTGGTCATAATTCTGTGATTAGAAGTTAAGCTACGGAAACCGAACAACAAAGCGGTAGACTAGACCCACGATGGGTGTATTCGAACCAAAACACCAAGAGCCTGAAAAAAAAAAAAAAAAAACACAAAGGGCACATTGTATCTAGGACATGAGGTATTTGGAATATATTGCAATTTCGTGACAAACTGATTTTGAGTCTGTAAGCTAAGAATATATAGGCACAAGATATTGGGCGGTTTTGAAAACAGCTTCCTGGCGAAATCTCTATCCAATTAAGGTCTTGACAATTTCAACCTTCCGACTATTCCCACTTCCCGCTTCCTAACACGCACTGGCACAACATTGGCACAACATACACTGGCAACACTGGAAGCACCGGCAATACTGGCACCCCACCACTTCCCCAGAACCCCTCCCCCCCCTCCCCACTCCTTCCCCTCTCACAAAAAAACAGCCTATGAGTACTTAGGCTCCAAACTGCAACAAAACAAATTAGTTAATACACCGCCGCCTATAAAATTTATTTTTCTTCATCCCCTCGAGGATTTATACAGGTGTCCATACATAGTGCCCTTATGCAACTTCTCGCCATCGACCCTGACGCCGCTCTGCTGCGCCGCTGGCTCCCGCAGCGCATCGTTCTCTGTCGCCAGGTCGCCCGAGTAGCGGCCCGAGCCGATGCCACCGCCGCTGTAGCGCGCGTCGGCCGACTTCATGTCGCCGGGCACCGGGGGGTCTTCGGGCAGCTCGAGGTTGGCTTGGGGATCTTTGCTACGGTTTTTGTTTTGGTCGACGATGGACTGGTGTGCAGGGGTTAGTTGGTGTGTTGGTGGGAGGGAGGAGGGGGAGGGTTACTTTGAGGATTGAGGAGTCGGCGTCGGCGGGGACTTGGCCGTGGTAGCGGCGGGACTCGCGGGATTCGAGCTTGCGGATGTCTTCGCGGGTGAGGTGGAAGGTTTGGTCTGTCATTTTGAGAAGTTGCGCTTTTTTTTTTTTTTTTAGAGGGGTTCAAGCTAATAGAAGAATTCAAGAAAAAAAAGATAGGTTGTGTGTTAGGTTTCGAATCAGAAACGTCTTTTCGAGATATATAAGTACTGCGAATCCAAGCCGTTTACCCTTATATGAGTGACATGACGTAACAATGAAGCACCACCACCACCACCACCATCGACTGTCGATATCGTTGACAGCTTATGACGTTACAATACGGCATGGATTGAAACCTCTAAAGGAAACTAATCGGCGCTTGGAGCGCGTTCGAGAACGGGTTTGTGTACAGTGGGTTACGGGTTTCTGGGGGTTCCGAATAGTTGTGCCCTGGGCCCTGGCCACGCCGGGAAAGGCGTGCGTCCGATTTTCGGTTCGCAGGATCGATACACCTGAAAGGGTGTTTGGACAAAGTGTTTGATTCCCGCTTTAGCTTGAATTGAACCTCTTGCTTTTTGGATAGGAATTGAGCTCGAGCTCATGGTGGGTGTTATTTCGGTAGGTATTTTGGATATAGAAACGCCAAGACAGTTGATGGTTGAGGTCAGGTTCAAAAGCTACACCCCCACAGGGTCGAAGATACTGAAGATACCCTCACACATGCGGGGAATGACAAGTCCCAACCACAGCTAGAACCTTGCGGGGGGGCGGACAAGCTTTCTTTCGAGCTTTCGAGCTTTCGAGCTGCCCGCCCTGCTATGATATGATTGGACATTATCTACTGGCTTACCTAGCGCCATGTAGCTAGCTAGCCCTCCGCGGAACATGCCGAAGTTAAGTCAGGGTTCCGCCATTCGTGAGCCAAGCCCCGCCAAATAGTTATCCCGACTCCTCCGGACTTTCTCCGCGACCCCTCGATCCCCGCTGTGTGTGTGAAGGAATTGTTCTCCCTATAGAACCCACCTACCTTCATCCCACCTAGAGTAGGTACAGTATCTACGATGAGCGCCCAACCATCGCCGCCAAAGGCTGCGGAGCGACAGCACTCGGCGTATCGAGGCTTTGTGGCGGGTGTGTTTTCGGGGGTGGGGAAGTTGACTGGTGAGTGTATTGTCTTTTTTTCCTCACTTTTTTGGGGGAGGATTTCTTTAATTTGCGTTCCATCTCAATCTTTGCAATTCGCAATTCTCAATTTTCGCAATTCTTACCTAGCTGACCGGAACACCAGTCGGGCATCCGTAAGTACATACACAGCAGAACCTACCTACATCTACCTACCTACCGTACCGTGACTCGTATGCTTCCCAGCAACTAACAACTAGCAACCGATGTCGGGAGCGCACACATGCCACAGATTCGACACCATCAAGGTGCGCCTCCAAACCTCCTCCACCACACACTTCACCGGGCCGCTCGACTGCCTCCGCCAGACGCTGCAGCGCGAAGGTCTCCGCGGCCTCTACAAAGGCGCCAGCCCCCCGCTCGTTGGCTGGATGTTTATGGATTCTTTGTCAGTTTCCTTCCTCTCCCTTCCTTTCCCATTCCCCCCACCCCTCCTCCTCCCCGCTGACCGACCGAGTTAGGATGCTGGGATCACTGTCAAACTACCGCTCGCTGATCAAGACCCACTTCTACCCGAACCACGAGCGCCTACCGCTGCCAGCACAGGGCGCCTCCGGCATGCTAGCTGGCTGGACCGTCAGCCTGATTGCAGCACCCGTGGAGCACGTCAAGGCGCGCCTCCAAGTGCAGTACAACGCGCGCGGGAATCGCGAGGGTGTGAAATACCGGGGACCTATCGACTGCATCAAGAAGCTTGTCTGCCCCCCCCCCCCCCCGGGGCCTACCTTCTCTCTCCGCTGACAATGTATGCTAGTACGGCGCCCACGGTCTCCGCGGCATCTACCACGGCCTCTGCGCAACGCTGCTCTTCCGCACGTTCTTCTTCTTCTGGTGGGGGTCGTATGATCTCTTCTCGCGCTATCTGGCAACCCATACGAGCCTCTCGACGCCCGCGATTAACTTTTGGGCCGGCGGGCTGAGCGCGCAGATGTTCTGGATTACCAGCTATCCGTCTGATGCGGTCAAGCAGCGGATCATGACGGATGACCTGGACTGCCGAAGGTTTCGGAATTGGAGGGAGGCGGCGAAGGGGGTATATAGGGAGGCGGGGTGGAGGGGGTACTGGAGGTTTGTTGATTGCACTATATTCCCCTGTGATGTGCTTGTGAGGTACGCGGGCTGACGATGCGGGTGGGGTGCGGTGGATAGGGGGTTCGTACCGTGCTTCCTCAGGGCGTTTCCGGCGAATGCGGTGGCGTTGGTGGCGTTTGAGGGCGCGATGAGGAATCTACCGTAGTTGGTTGAGGCTGCTGCTGCTGGTGGTTTCTTTATGAACCCTTTTTAGAGGGGGGTGGGTGGGTGGGTATTAGATAGGGCTTTTCTTACACTCTTATAGACGATACTTTGTTGTGCGGTGATGATATATATACCAGGAAAGCTAGCTAGCTAGCTGCGCGGGGCTACGGGCTACGTATGTATTTTAGGAAAAAGACATTTATGCAAAGACGGACATACAGGCAGGCGGACAGACATGTGATAGACTCCGGCCCCGCAGTACCACATGTCATGGCCGAGTTTGATACTGTGATCATGATTCAATTAAATTAATTAAACTAGCAATGCACCCAGTCAGTACATCTTTTTCTACCTACCTCTATCACATAGCACAGTAATGGAATAAGCACTAACGCCGTACGTATGTGTATAGATCTGAAAAGACGCATCACCGGGATACAACTCAATTCAATTCAGTTTCAATTCGATTCAATGGCTCAACACTTTCTCCGCCGGATTATACACTACCGGCCATGCTGCATACAAATATGCAGTCACCTCCCCACACGACCAAAAAATTCAATAAATAAAATAAAATAACAAAAAAATTCATCACAAATTTCGATCCTGCCCGCACGACCCACTTGCGCCGGGGGGGGGGGGGGGAGAGATCACTCAGGCGTAATTGCAGCTAGTACTAGTACTAGTACTTTTATATTGCCTGAGTATTAGCACAAAACGGCGATCGCCAACGTTAGCTTCATACATACATATGGCACACAGTTTTTTTCGACCCTTCCCCCCGTCTGCGCCGAATAATCACACGAATAGGTAGCTGAGCACGAGGCAGATCATATGCGCTTGTGCGTGGGGAGTCTTTTCATATTCCACAGTGGTTGCCTATTTCATATTCAGATCACAAGATATCACTCGTTGCTAAACCGGGCTGACTAGCTATATGTAGGTAGGTTATTGATAAAACGGGTTTAATTCATGGGGCTAGTTGTCTTTGTTTCGGGCTAGAGGTCGAAGTTAGGGGATATATAGATACATGTAGATATATAGGGGGTAAATCGGTGTTATATGTTTTATCGATCTAATATAATATGCGGATTAAGACATATTTGGTTAACCCACACTAGAGCGGGGAAAAGATGGTCTCCGAGGCTATGCAAATTTACGTTAAGTTGCAATGAGAGCTGGATATAGTGATATTGGAGTTAGTTGGGAGTGCTACAGGTACTGTTTTTCACGCCGGGTAGGTTTAGTAATGCGAATTAAGGTATCGTACGTTTATAACGTGAGCAGGTAATGTCACTCGATCAGGTCTAGGATATTAATTATATATATATATATGCTGACGATGGGTATGTCCTTTTTGGTTCTATTTTCTGAGTCATGTTCGATGCGGTAGATATTTTTTCCTATTGATTTTCAGTGACAAACTACTTATGTGGATGTCTTTGCGGCTAGATCTCTACAAGAAAACCCAAAGGCTTGATGAATGCGCAGGTACAAGTATCTCAATAACGGTGGGGTTTGATGGTACATCAACTAACTTGAAGCTTCGAGTGATAGTGTATGATCAAATATCACAAACATATGTGTTGTGGCTAGCCGCTCTTGGCTGAAAAATTGACAAACTAGGTTTGATCCACAAAGGGAGGAATGCAAAACCCAATGTACTTGTTCGATCACCCACACCTAGTTGAGTTTCAAAAGGGAAAAGGGAAAGAAAAGAAAGGAACCAAAAATGGTTAAGCAGACAAAGGTATGAAAACTATTGACATGATATGCCTCATCATCATTCCTCGCACTGAAACACGCCCGGGATCAAAGCTTGTACAGCAATTGGTGAGTCTGGATCATTTTGACCAAGAAAAAAAAAAAAAGAATGCCTTGCATGTTTAACGTATCCAAGGATCTAGGCCCTGTCAACCAAAAGCCCCTTTTCCTTTCGCTACAACGGCCTGCGAGCGATAACAAAATGACTTAAGAACCGTTAGAACGAGTTGCCACTTAAATGCTCACGTGCATGAGAGGGCTCATGGGTTGGACATACTGCATGTTATAGACGTGTATTTCCCCATTTTTCAGTTCCTCTACCGCGTATATACCAGTTGTCTCACCTTTCCTCAATCCTAGCCCCACGAGTGAAGAGTGCCAATCCGGATGCTTCAAGGCTCGTCTCATGGTTTAGCAAAGCATACCGACCCAGTTCCTTCATCGTTTCGTCTGTAGACCAAGGAGACCAAATCAGTTTCTTCACCTCCTTCGAAACCCCAATAAAGCCAGCACTAATCAGATTGTCTTTGAGCTTCTCCGCTACATCAAGGGGCTTTCTAGTCCGAGCTACCGCCTCTTGGAAAAGGTTTAGGTATTGCCGAAGGGCACAATCAGGTGGATAGCTGCATACAGAACACATGTTAGGCCATGGCTTGTGAAGCACGAACATGTAATGATGATTGAGTGTGAGTTCGCCACGCAATACAGGGCACATACCTGTTATCATCTGATTTGAGGTCCATAGTATATTCAGCGGATTGAGCCCAACCACCTGGTTTCAACGAATCATAAATTGCTGGATATAGGTCTTCTAGTCCGATATAGCTCCCATCAGATGCCTAGAGTGAATAAGATCGAATGATTCCTGTAAAGACAGCAAGGAAATCGTATCAATAAACATGATGATAAGCCTGGAGATTTCTCCTGATAGGCCCGGAGGTGGTGGTGTATGGAATGATATACCCTTGAAGACGTCCACGGACTCTCTGCGTCCTCAACTTCAAACCTGCAGTTTGGCGGCACCCTATAAAGATGTGAGTTTCAAGGACTGCTCGCGCTTGAGCCGGTTTTAAACAGCAAGCAATTGGAATAGCACGTACCACGATCGTTGAATGGGACTAAGGTCCGTCCCAATGACTTCTGCAGATGGGTATTTACTATGGGGAGGGCTCCTGTTAGAACCCGCCCCTAGTAATCGTTTCATAGCAGTTTAAATCTAATACAATTAAAGATAGAAGTTATACTTTGCAGCGTTAATTGCCCCTATCCCAGTACCAATGTCTAAAATATGCTGTGGGCTATCTAGATGTATGGGGTCCCGTAGCATTAGTAAACACATATGCATATGGTGTGCTAAGTCTAAACTATGGAAGGGCGGTATTAATTAGCCGTTTATTTGCATTTCGGAGAATTAGTACAAAACAAATTGAAAAAAAAGAAAAAAGAAACTTCGTGCACACAACCTACCGATCTTGATCTTTCTATATCACATATTGAGCCCAGACCATCAATTAACTAGTGCCATGACTTTAGAAACATTCCCAAGACAAACCCCATCAATTGGCGGTATTTGCCTCCTCCTCTAGGCCGGTGATATCTCCGGCCTTACAAATGATGTTAGAAATTGAATAAAGTAAAGGAAACTTGATATTGGGGGAGGGGGGCAAATTTAGAATCTAAACGAACCGTTTTCATATTCATATGCGCATATTGCAACACACTGGAGTTGAGGGAGGTCGTGTCGCTCCCACTTGCACAGTTGTTCGACAGCTTCTTATTTCCATTCCGCAAATTACAATGAGACTTACAATTTCTTAGTCTGATGGGTATTCAGAGCCCTCGCTCTATCATGCGATAGATCATATCGGTCAGACAATCACTCAGCACGTACCCACGTCAAGGGAAAGAAGAAAGGGTAAGGAAGAAGAAGAAGAAGAAGAAGCAGAATAAGCAAAAAAATCGAAGATTCTACATACTTCTTTCTCAGCCGTTAACGCCTGAGTTCACGGCTTCAGTCCTCTGGACTGAAGCACTCGCTGGATGCCGTTCGGACACGCTTGCAATAGCAGCCAACTCGTGGGAATGTACGTTGTCCATCCTCGCTGATTTCTAACAATGGAGGTGGTATAAAGAATCTTTCCGGCCGTTGATGAAGTTAAGAACTGGTCTATAGCTATAGGCGGAGCAGATGGACTCGTTTTACTGGCTTTATAGATGGATGGGCGAAGCGCAGATGAGCGGGTACATACAGTACATGCACACCCTACCAGTGACCTCTCCCCCACCGACCGGATTTCTAGCTCTGGCCAAAGGAGGGCGAGCCGGAATTTTCTTCATTGCTATTATTTGCTGTTAATATCGAACTGCCCTTCTCTCCAGGCTTCATCGCTTCCCCGTAAAAAGATCTGAGGCTAAAGTACTAGTACTACGTACAGTCTTCGTTAATGTATTACCCGCGGATGGTGTAGTGGATCATGATAGATACGTATCTTTCGCTCGAGTTTAGTTTATGCACTAAGGACTTTGACTGCATAGGGAGACTTGATACAACAATTGGGGTCAGTGCGAGTTGGGTTTGGGGGCCAAGCTAGGGAACGATGCAAGAGACTTTATGATTTGTACAACTCTAACCTACATAATCAAAATCACTGAGTTCATTACTTAAATCGTTCCTTAAAACAAGAGAAGGGAAGCCAGAACATCCGGAAAATGAGACATGGTAATCAGAGGCGAGTCAATTTAATAGAATAATACCGCAGTGAATAGCTTCCTCTCTTATTTTTTTGGGGATTCTGTCGATTATGATCGGTTGTGTACAAGATTAATTAGTTTATGGAAATATAAGCATAAACCTAAACGAAGTCTTAAAAGATTTACCCACTACATATAATAAACAATTTGCTGGCGCTATTAAACATCGGGAGCATGCCTGAGTTTTGTCTTGTATTTCCCGAGAAGCGATTGTCAGTGGGGGTGGGACTCTTGTTTGGAATGCATACGTTGCCCACGGAAACTCAGTAGTGGTATACACAGCTTCTGTGTAACAGGAATAGACGTTTTGTCAATGGAGACTTGTGTTTTGTTTAGAATGCGATGATAGACTGCAGCTGGCTGGTCATTATTGATTCGAAGCGAATTCATGAACTGTTAATTCTGATCCCCCTTCTTCAAGGGAGTAACGTCTCATGCATCACGTTGCATTAGAGTTCGCATGGTGATCTGTGCACCGACATCGGCTTTCCAGTCATCGGATTATCTTTGTTTTTTCTCGTTTCGGTCGCAAGTTCAGGTTTACCGATAGTTTAAAGCCACGGCGGTACAGTTATGTTCGGAACAACTTACCTAGACATACATACCGCGTCCATCCAGCCTTACCGATACCATGGGCACAGGCAGAGAATATATATCACTCATCCTGATTATTTTCGATTGGCGAGGATCTATGCTATTTGCGTATGATACGTAGCGTGCCAGGAATACTAATAGTTCATACAAACCCAAAGGATACCTACATGTAGGTACATACATCACGCGTTGTACCAACGTAGGCAAACAACGGAACGGGGGCTTAATGATCTTAAAAGTGATGTGCAGCGGATAAATTATAAATGTTTATGGATGCTGGATGTGGTGTGATAGACACCAAATGATTGGTGAAGGCGGGGAAAAGGATGGCTAGCCCAGGCCATGCAGATAAAAAATTCTGCTCCAACGATTTGAAAATTCCTTTGGCAAATGAACCTACTAGTTTATAGTTACCATCTTTTCCCTCAATACACGGTCCATGTTACCAGGATTGCTTATGGATTGAGACCCGTCAATTAGATTCCCTGCGGCAATCGATCTCGATACATCACCGACGCGCACTCGTGTTCTAAGGGATAACTGGAAGCGAGTACCACAGTGCCGTACATTTACCATGGGTTTAATGAGTACTTGCCGGTCGACCAATTCCAAAATGCATCGATGAGCTGCCTGATACCCTGGACGTTATTTCTTTAACATTGTTGAAGACGGGAAGGAGAAGCCTGAGTATTAGTTTTTTTCTGTGCTGCGGACTATTTTATTTCTCTTAGTATTGGGTCGATATTCATTGCTCACACGTATATACACTCACTGAGTGTATACGTATCAGGGGTAGTATGTACATACATGGTATACAAGTCATCATCAACTGTACCTAGAGTAGAAGTCATGTACATACATGGGTGCTAGCTAGGTTACATGTATATGTATTATTCAGTTGAGGATACTTGTAGCTTACTGTGAGCAAGGAATGTAGTTTTGACATCATTGTATCCACGTTGTCCTCTACATAGAGCACTTCCGAGTTCTATAACGTATTCTTACTGGCGGAGATAATATACAAGTGGTATCTAGAAGGCTGTTAGTGTAACCAAAGATCAAACGCAATGTCAGGGGAGAATATTACCCAATCCGGACAGAGATCTGTTTCTACTGGATGAGACAACGTCTTAGTGATTATTATAATGCTTATGTGAGCCAAAAGGCGATAGGAAACCTGCTAAGGCAGAACGAGAGTGAATACTGTCGCACCTTACTTTAGTTCTTGTGGCGGTTGGAAGCATAAAAGAAAGACTTACTCGCCACACTTATTCGACGATTGAGTATTGGGCTCACGTAACGCCACTCGAGATTCACAACTCATGCATCGTGTTCATTTCGCCTAAGAAATGAACTTATTGGATCTATGTATTCCATTCACAGTCCTCTAGCTGCGATTGAAGGGATTTTATTGTTGTTGCCAATATCTTCAGCTCAAGGTAATAGACTTGATATTAACCTACAGTTGGTATCGGACTGAATTTGTCAAACACTGCTCTTTGAAGGTACTGTGCAGGCAATGATGCACGTATGGCGTCACTGATGTTTTAAATGTCACCAATTCCATCGAGTGATGACTTGTGAACGGCAGTTTTAACCACCAAGTCACGACTGGCTAGGCTCCTGGCCAAATTTCATTGTTAAGCCATCAAAATCGTTTATATTCACCTAGGAAGTTATGACAGCTAGTTGGAAAAAGCTGACGTGTACATATACCCTTACAACGAAACAAGAACTGGGAAGATTTAGAAGAAAGCAATGTGGTCCATCAGATATAGAGGCCTTATCTCAACTCGTTATTCTGGGCTGTAAATGTAGACTCCGTCTCATTTCCCCATCTGTGATTATGGTATGATCAGATTTATGTATGTCTGGATGGGGTACTTAGAGTGATCTCACCGAACCCAGATATCATCCACAAAGAACTCCCAATCCATTTCACCATATGTACTCCACACTTCGACCTTCTTCAGATTATTCCAGAGTCTTGGATCTGGTACATCCTTATCTGTATCGAAGTAACTTGGCCTAACTACATCATGAGAAAATTCAAAAGAATGCCTTTCAAGAAATTAGTATATGTATGTTCCAGTAAGATATGGACTAGTTCTGTACTCAAAAGGTTTCTCCTTCTCATCGGCTGGGTGCCCAATGACATTCACCCACACACCCGGAGGCGGACTTCCCATAGGTTGAACGTAGAATCCAAATAAATCAAATGTTCCATCCTTTACACTGAAGCTTGCGGGGCATCGGTCGTTCTTGTTATTAGGATTGTACTTCGACCCAATGAGAGCATTTGGCTTCGATACTGCAGAGTGGTAGTTTCCGGCGGGTAGTTTGTTTTTGGAAGCTGTAACGTTGATGACAGACCATTGCGGGCTAAACGTTAACCCTGTGTAGTCTTTTGGAACAGTTGCCAACCCCGTGGTGGCATTGGTTTCGATTGAATCAAACTAGAGATGGAGTTAGTGATAGGGAATTAAGGTATCAGTAAACAGAAAACCGTACATTGATACAGCTAACTTTGCCGGGCCTAACCCCCCTATCTTTACAGCTCTTGAAGCCATACCTCCCGCCATTTCCGTAGTCGTTATCGTGGAGGCCTGCTGGCGACGAGACCACAATGGCTGGAAGCGCTGCGAGAAAAATGACGAGATTGTTTACGAACATAATGAGAAATGTGCTGGAAGGTCAAAGAAAAATGACAGATGTTGACAGTATGGCCTATGATGAGGATGTAAATGGGTAGGGAATCTTACTTTTATGATTAGGAGAATATGGTAGCTACAAGTACTGTGCGGTCGAGTGAGCTGAATACCACGTGCCAGACACGTATTAATACGCTAATGAATCTGGACAAGTCCCTGAGCGGGAAATTTGCTGATCATTTGATTTCATCACCGGGTTACTAACATTATCGAATCGGCCACTTCGCGTGTCTCAGGCACGAAGTTACGGACCAAGTACCAAAAGTATCTACTCATGACGGTACAGGTACGGTAGATGTCTTTGAATACTCCGAAAACAGGGAATAGCTGCAGATGGAATAGTAATCGCTACGAAAGTTGTCTTGGAACATCAGGTAGGTACACACGCTTAACTATTTAGTGTATATCGATACCTGATGATAATTAGACAATCTAACTAAACCCAATGATAATAGAGTAAACACTCGAGTTATCAATTCAACTTTTCTTTCTATCTGTCTTTCAAAACTCCCAATTTCCGTACTCCTGTTAAACCTACAAACACAAAGACCCCTACAGTGATCACCATTGTTCCACAACCATGAAACAAGCATGAAGAAAAGAAAAGAAAGAGTAAAAAAGTAATACAAACGAGCCTGGCGTCCTGACTGAGACACGGCTTTTTTTTGCATTTCGCCTAATTTGCGAGCCTGATTCACCACTTATGATCAACCTCTAAACAGTTTCATGCATAAGACATCATGCCTGCCATTCAGTAACTGTTAGTGAGTTTTTCACTGCCGCGTTTTTATCAGGTGATTCTTACTCTCGATTTGTCCAGTACCCTTTAGGTCATGTTCAAACCCTTCAGTCACAGCAAGAACCAAGTTCAGATGCTCCATGGACAAGTTTTCGTTCTTATTAACTGCAAGAGCTTGTGCTGTTCGTACAGTGTTCTTGATCTGCAAAGTGAACGTGTATAATGTCAGTATTAGGGAAACTCGGTAGAGGGGATTGGTTTGTCAAAAATCGTTACCTGTCTGCCGTTCAGTTGTCTTCTTGCTAGTCCTTCCAACTCTTCCTTTGAGACGATCTGTCTGGGGGTATCGCCTGGTAAACATTCCCCTTTCGCCACCATTTCTAGGAATGTTTTCCAGATGACTCTCTTTGCTTTCTTGTCAAGGTCATTATATCTTAACGCAATATGAATTCTGCTCTGGAAAGCTTCATCGAAAGTCTCGACACGATTTGTTGTTAGGAATAAGATTCCCTGGAAATACTCCAACAGCCTAAGAAAAACAGAGACCAATGCATTCCGGTGTAAATCGTGGACTGATCTGCGTTCAAGAAAAACATCTGCCTCGTCCAACAAGAGGACAGCGCCCCAAACGTGTGCTATGTCTAGGATCCGGGAAAGCTGAGTTTCAAGGGTTCGAGGATCGGTACCCAGCTCACCAGCACCAACCTAAAAACGTTAGTATGTCTCTGGTCGCGAATTACCAAAGAATAACTTACCATATACAGGGGTCTTTTCAGGAACTCCGAAATGCCTTCGGCGGTCAATGTTTTCCCAACACCAGGCCGTCCACTAAGATCGAGTTAGAATTAGAAGTAATCTTTCATAGAAAATGTAACTTACTGTAATACTGCCACCAAGCCCTTGCCCTTTCCTTTGATAACATCGTCAAAAGTAACCTTGGAGTCTTTATTTCCAGCGTGACTTTCCACAAGCGCCCTTACAATTGTCTTTTGTGCCTCTGGAAGTACAAGGCTTTCGAATGCATCATTATTGAACTCAATTTCCATGATACGGTCAACCGCAAATTCCGCTATATAGAGTTAGTATGATAAATTTTGACGTAACGAGGAAAACTAAACTGACCCCATAATTTATCTCCAAAGCTAAATCCCAAAACTATAGGTGAGCAAAGTAGCAGCTCCTCCTCTGTCATTTCTTCCGGGATTAAATCTTCCTTGAGTCCTTGCTTTTCATTCACTTTGCCGTTTTCCTGCAGCTTTTTCTTTGCTGCAGCCAAATCGGCAACCCCACCAAGTAATTTTAGATTTAACTTCCCATCAGGGCCAGTAATATATGATCTTTGTGGCTTTCCTAAAAGAGCACGCTTGAGAACTGCTTCCGGGTTTGGTTTCGGTTTGGCATTATTGTTGGAGGTGTTGATCTCTGCCTCTTCGTCGTCATCCCGACCTCCACCACAATAATCCTCGTCATCGTCGTTCTCATTTTCGGAATCATCATCGTTTCCCAGAGAGTTTGTGGAAGAGTGAAGTGTCTCCTTGACGGGACTCATCCGATAGTTAGGATTGATCCTTCTAAAAGTGATTGGGTCGATCATGACACGCCCGTGCACATTGAGTCTGACTACCCCCTTCTTCCTCTTAAAGAATGCTAGTCCCTTATAGAACTTATAGTGCATCCCCTTAAGAGACAAAAACTTCCTTCCTCGCTCAATAAGCTTCTCTCGAATCTTTTCCTCTTCATCATGATATGCCAAGGGGAAAACCCCGAGGCTATCGATTCTCCGTGCACCCCTGAACTCCTCAATTTCAAGCACAGCGTTTGCTTTTCCAAAGGTTTTGCCATCATAGTCAATGTAATGGCAATCAAGTTGAAAGAATTTGCCTCTTTCAAGACTTTCCTTCTGCTCACCCCAGTCCAATTTGAGACACCGAGACTCGTTAGAGCCAGCACATGTAGTATGCACCAGTGTATTAGGCAAGAAGAGTGCCCATAGCAGATCAAATGTTATCTCCTGGTGCTGGAGAAGCGGATAAAGCCTTTTGACAATTGGGGCATAGTCTGATTCGATGTATTTGGTGAGTATTGTAAGGTGCTGAATAAGAGTTTTGTTCTGTTCTTTCTCCGTACGATTTCTTTCCTTAATAAGCTCGGATTCCAATTGGGGGAGGTAATTGAATAGAAGACTAGGTTCAATCTAAAACAGCAATTATCTCAGTTAGAAATCTGAAACAGAAGAAATGATCTAGGAAGAAGGTTATGGAAAATGCGTCGATTCTCTTGAATTCATCTTATGGGGACCTACCGTAGGTTTATCTTCCCTCAAACCAATACCGGAGACATCTTTCAGAACTTCTCTCAGAACATCACGGAGATCAACACTTTTTATATCAACATAAGATTTTAGGAATTTGTTTTGATAGTCTACTCTCGATGTTTCACAGTTAGCATTAATTGGGACGTGATATAACTCAATATAAAGAGGTAGATACCAAATCTTCGTCGTACAACAAAGATATATTCTTCCCATTTATCATCCTTTGCCGAAGGTGATGATGAAGATTCAGCAAGATAAAAGTCATGTATCGCCTTATTGTATCTAAGAGAGTATTTAAATAGAGATTAGCTCAATCATTCGTTTTTTTAAAAAAACCTAAATTGGGTATATATTGGAGTGGTGGTTGTGATCTGGAATTAAACACATACACTTCATCAAGCCTCTTGAACTCCATCTTGCTGGCCCTTACCCGCGCTTTCTTCTCATTATCTGCGACATCTCCATTTACCATCGATCCATCGGACTTCATTCCCATCACAGAACCGGGCGATAGAAGTGGTCCAGAATACGAGTTAAGGCTTCCTCTGTTCGGCAATAGATTTGTGACTCCGTTCGCTCCATTTTTCACCCCGTTAGTGGCAATGCCGTTTATCTCTAGATTTTTCTTTGCTACCCGGTTTGTTGACTTGGACCTCTTTTTAGCCTTTAGATTAGAAGATTCGTTTTTCCGTGATCGCCTACCTCCCTTCGCTAGCCTAGCAAGCTCAGAAGGAGACAGAGGATTACTTGGATCCGCTGCTGGTGGCAGTGGTGGATCTTCATCCGATGAAGATGAGTCTCCGTGGCCATCCGTTTCATCGTTGTTACTGCAATCCTCGGAATCCGATAGATTTGAGCTTGAGTCTTGTACATCTCTCACAATTTCCTTCCGTGGCTCTGATGGCAGGGACGTTCCGGTCAACTTTGCCAAAGCTCGTTTGAACTCCATAGCAAGATTATCCTGCTTCTCTTGATAGAGCGCAAAAAGTTGAGTAGCTTCGGGAGTCATAGCAGTGGCGCTGGCCATTGTTTCTGTAAGCGGAGCTTTTAGGGCCTTTCCCATTACTGGCTAACTGGCGATTATGGCCGTGAATTCTATGATAGGGCTTGTTTGTGAACCACTATCAGGATGATCCCTAGGGGAGATTTCAGCCAGGAAAGGCTAAACGGGAATAGGTAAGGTGAAGAAGAGAGACGTTGTAAAGGAAGAATACGTACGCTCTGATCCTTGTGTGATGGTGAGAATGAAAAGAAGTCTGATGAAAGCAATTGATTCAAGGGGTCACCCAAAAGACTTTAAAGGAGAGAAGATGTTTCCCTGTTTCACTTAGCTTTTACTGCGGTTGTAGCTCAGCTGCACTAGCGTAGGTCAGGGTGATTCTGAACTCTCTTTCACCTATAGAAAGTTAAAGGGGTACATACCTACTGCAAACCCATTCGTAAATTACTTTTTTCCCTTTCTCGACCGAACACGTACATACGTACTCTCATATCATTCCTTCGATTCAAGAGAGTCGATGCATACTTAGGAGGACTTTGTGGATGCATACATAACTCACGAGACGGAATCCGAATATCGCGGGTAACTGAGCGTAACTGATCTAGGATCTAGGCATTACACTGCGCAGCAGCCTCACGCTTTTTTTTTTTTTTTTTTTTTTTTTTTTTACTCCAGGGACTGGATAATATAAACAGCGCCCCTAAGCTCGTACATACTCGGAATGTGCTACCCCATAGAAACCAAGCGGGGGTGAGCATCAGGAGTATACGCGGTATAAGAGAGACGTGGCATAGAGCGGTGAGAAACCACCATAGTCAACCTGCATCAAAACTTTTTTCTTCTGAAAAAATAATGAAGTTTTCTTCACAAGTAAATTAATGGAACGAACCATCATGTAGCTATGTATTCCGTCTAAAATAGGAGTGTAAACTTCAATGGTGTGCAGCTATGTATGTAGAAAACAGCGTGCATATCATCAGGCTGCGGACGTACCGACAGATTGACTTGACACGGTAGATTCGACAATTTGTCTTGCTGTATTAAAAAACGCCTGACACCACTCGCTTCACACGATACGGCCCTGATTCCGGTTATGCTGGTTGAGTTTCTAGAATAGTTATCGAATTTTCTCCTGATACATTCTACGGATTGAAAAGGGTTAGAGTTTCGCTGGAAACTGACAATGGTTCAGCCGATGCGAACTCCATCGGGTTCTGAGATGCAGGCTGCATAATGTTTATATCTACGCTACATGTATGTAGGTACTCATATTCTAATAGATGGGTTGAGTATACTGGTACAGTATGTATTCAACAGCAGTGTTGCCGCGCAGGGCGGTACAGAATGTGCGTCATTACATGTACTTACCGTTTCTGAGAACACAACGGCCAACAACTTTTGATTGGATGAAAATGAAAAAGATTCGATGGGCACAATTCACTTTAGATTCTGACGCGGGAGGCATTACCACAGGCGGCAGTGACTGAAATTCTGCACCTCCCTCCACCCACCATCTCATCGCCATCTTGATTTCATCACCAATATAACCGCCAATGTTTCGACTCAGCCTGCGAAACAAAGTAGCTGTGGTATTCCATCATCAGGCAGATGTTTGGAAGGCGCAGTCATATGCGTTGATAAACATGCAAGAATACGTTATTGCACAACCAATTAACGTTTCACAACCTAACAAAAGCAAAAAAAAAGTGTAGCTGAGGCTCAAAACAATGAAAACAACGGTTGTGAGATAATCTCATGTGGTAAGATAATAGCTCATATGTAATAATTCTTCATACCCCTCTATCGTTCTATCTTACAAGTGTTCACGCTCAATGTACAGAAATACTAATGAATACAGGAACATTATCATTTACAGTTGCATTATTTCTTCCACCTATTCGCATTATTAATTAATGCGCCCCCCTCTTTCTGGAATTATTGAACGTTTGCTACCCCCACTAGCATTACTGTTCGAACGTCGGTTCATGAACCCCGAATTTTTCGCAGGACTTGTACGACTTGTACGGCTGCCCTTGGAACCAAAACCGCCCCAAAAACCTGTGCTTTTTTCGCCTCCGACCAAGCTATTCTCCTCGTCCGCCCTGTGGTCTCGGCTCAGCCTCCTGGAGAACCTATTCAGGCCTGGGATACTGCTTTTTCGTCGCTTCGCCTCATCCATCTCCTCGTTGATGCTCTGTTCAGAATGCAGCACACGCTTTAATGCGCGTCCTGCTGCCTCGTCCAGCTCTCGCCTCCATGCCAGTGTATCCGATCGAGAGATACCCGTAGTCGGCGGCCCCTGAGTTGATCTGATACTGGCGGAGCTTTCCGATACTGGAGGCGATGGAGTACATCTTGGTGGAGTGGCTGCTGAAATGAGCGGATCACTAGGATGATCAGAACGCTTCTCAGTAGCTGAGGAGCACGTGTGGTGTTGTGAAGACATCTGGAAATCCTCCGGGGAATCTGTGGAAATTGCTATGCCTGGATAACCGTCGTAAGAATGGACAGAGAAGTTTGAGGAGTGTATTCTATTCTGGGCAGGCGAGGGCAAGATGACCGAATCCGATGTTCGGTCCACAGATCCGATGGGGCTCGGAGGTGTGTATATCATTGCTGGTGGCATAAACTGATGTGGGTTTTCCATAATTTTCTGCGATCCAACAGGCTGGCCTCGTTGCTGTATAGACTCCCCGAATTCGAATCCTCGAAAGATTGTGGGGCTGACTGGGGAGACGGGAGAGATATTCAGGCCATTATGAGCATTAGGCTTCTCGTTTGCCACGTCTGTGTTGATCGGTGTCACCCCATGATTTGAGTAATAGCCACCGGTGTTGTTGCTGTGGTCTATGGAAATCCATCCGCCATATCCGATATTCTCCTTGTCGCCACTAATGGCAGCTCCGCCGCGAGGAGCATGGGGCTCGAGCGACTGGGCCTGTTTTCTATGGTTCTTTCTGCATATACAAAAGACACATGCCCCAATCACTGCTGCTGTTAAGCAGAAGGCACCGATGGAAATCCCAACAATTGCTGGGGTCGACAACTTGGGTTTTTCTTTCTTAGTTACAGCCGTACTCGCCGAACTTGCAGTGGCACCATCGGAGACAGCGGTGGTAGTAAGGGGGCCATCAGCTGCAGCTGTAGGAGTTGTTGAGATCTGGGCTGTAGGGGAAGGCTCTTGAGAAGATCTCGAAGCTGTCGAAGTCTCAGCCGCTGGTTCGGAGGAACCCGTGGCGGAGGTCGGTATCTGCGACGACGTTGAGCTAGTAGAAGTCTCGGTCATCGAGTCTCTTGACTTGCACAGACTCTTAACCGTACTCTCAGATTCATCGTGCGCTTGTGATCTTGGACCACCACAGTCCCCGTCGATGCATTCCCAGAGAGAGTCTTGAAACCCCGGTGAGTTGCAGAGACATGCTTGACTATTATCCTGGCAATCCACATCGGCAATTTTCCTTGATGTGCATTTTACCGCACAGCTTGGAATAAAGGAGAGAAAATCTGGTAATATCTCCCGCGGTCGCAATCCTCCAGGCAGGGCTGTTGTGAATGGGACGATGCAGGATATCGTGAAAAGAATGACGAATACAAATGATGATTTTGGTAATGAGGGCGACATAACCTAGGCAGGTCAAAAGTGTCCAGTTAGAAGACATTTTTAAGTAAACACAACTGAGGTTCGAGCCGCTTTTTCTGATTGAAATAATCATTTCCATTCGAACCAAACTGGATAGCCTCGGCCCAGCCTCACATCCCTGCCTAGGGCAACGAATAAATGGGTGTTAAATATACCTTGATTATTTTCACTAAAACGGCCTAAACAACTGAGTGTCGTCGATTCCTACGGTGTGTTGTATATGCCGTCGACCTTTCAATCCACCAACCCTAAGAATCTCCAGCTGCACTAGGCACAGGTAATAAAAACTGGCCTTTTCCTTGAATACTCTTCTCGCTGATGCCCAGTGTACCTTTCCTACGCTTCTTCAAAGACACGGTTAAATGCGTCGTAGTTGCAATTGAACGAAGTAGTCGTAACTGGGAGTTGATATCGCAATATTGTTTAGATCTCCGGCCCAAACAATTAATCCCAGAGCAGCCGAAAGGAGGCTCGTTCGTTCGAGATCAACTCTGAATATTCGAAGGAAATAGTATCTCGAAAAATCTACCATCATAGGTGCCCCATGGTGGGGAAGGCCTCTTTATGATGTGAGCACACACATGGCACAGCTTAATTCCCATTGTAGGTACTCTACAGACACTGAAATCAGCCCGAAAAAACGCAGAGATGGGCTTTCCGGTGTGGTTTCTAAATTTGAATGGAAGCGCCCAACCCTGTTCGCTCGTTGGTGATCACGCACAAAACTAAGCCCAATAAGTTTAAACAACCGTTGACAGGGCGCCTAAGTTTAGCTGCCTTGACTTGATTGGTTCGGTTGAACATCAATTGGCACACTTCACTCCAATTGGGAACGACACGAGGTTAATAAACAGCCAAATGTTGTTCTACACACCTATCGCCGGATTGTTTTTAGTTAATACGCCAAATTGGGAAACGATATACTTTTCAATTGGTGGGGTGTCAAGGCTATAAAAATCATCTTATGAATTCTGTCCAACGAGTTTAGTTGCCTCCGATGATTCCGATGAGGACATCTGGCTACATACTTCGTCAAAAGTTGGAGATCATTTTTTTTTCTTTTCCCTTTCTTCCCGAGAAAGTGCATGTAGCCCCGTGGTCGCATGGCATATTCTAGGTACATAGTTTTTCGCCGGAGAAACACCATCTAAACGGCTTTGCGGCTGGAGAACTTTAGCTGAAGTAGGTACAAGAATTACTCGGTATTAACGTTACGACTTTAAAATTCGAAGCACAAGTAATGAGAGGCTGTGGCTTTGCAATCTATACCGTGCTGTATGCTTTACGCCTATGGGCAGCAACCAAACATTAAAGCAATTTCTCATCCTATAGTAGTGATAATCCAACTACTATTGACTCAATCAAGAAATGTTGACTGAGTTGCCGTTACTGCATTTAACCAGCATGTAACACGGCAAGAGAAATGTCATCGGACTAGATGTTGTGGTACGACGATTATCATTGGTTGATAAAGTCAACAGTCAACAATAGCACAAACATGATCTACATAGGGGTTCAGAATAAGGCTCTGCACAAGACCTCACTTATACTCCACGTCAAAAGACATTATGAGAACAACGCAGAGGACACTCTGGGCAGCGATGGAAAATGCTACAATTGCAAAGAACGCCGTTTCATCAAGGATTATTGGCGGAATCATCCAATGAGATTCATTCATTGTGTTATGGAAACTGGAAATCTCTCAAATAAGGACTTCTTATTAAGAACTTAACCACAGTGAGTTCGTTGTTTCATGGCTTCAGCAACCCCAGGATTTAGAATTGACTCTCTCCAGATCAGCGGTACCAGGAGCAGGTAGGTTGAATATAGTACATACATGTATGTACCTATTCATGGCCACACAGTTTCCCTGCAACCTAGCTAAGAGAGACTTTGTCTCAATCGCTCGGTTGAGATAACCGTAGGTCTGCCCTGGACGCATGTAAGCAGCCCGTCCTAGCTACCCCTTTTCGCTTCAAGATGCTTGTCGTCGCTAAAAAAAAAAAAAAAAAAAAGGAGGAAGAGATGTTTGGCGAGATGCCTTCCTTCCTAAAGCGGAGTAGCTGACCATCGCCATAATCACCAAGCTTTGCAGGGTACGCCATCTTTCTGTTCCGCAAACATGGGTGCAGAGCCCCTCCAAAACGCCTCATCGCATCATGCGTCACTTGGGATTATAGGTTCGAACCCCCCGCCACACCCCGCCCTTCCGTTCTAGCTAGAGTTTCACGCCTCTTGCCCCTGCCGCTTCACACCGAATTCCGCTTGGGGCCTAGGCTGATACTCGCACCAGTACTACTTGCCGGGTGATGCTCTGTGATCTAGAACCAGCCAGCGATGCAACCTCGTGAAATTGATTGCGCTCTTAATCTTACGACACCTTCCTATATAATTACTTCTTTCTCATGTTTGCAATTAGCCCTTGGTGTGGGTCTTGGCAAAATTGAAACGGCCTGCTTAGGCGGATCGACATAATCACAAAGTATCACTCGTCTAATAACATCTTTAGAACTGCGGAATTTTCTGCTTTGAAATATGACAGATAACTCTAGTGGAACAATTAGGAGAGTATCATCATTCCTTTTAAAAGTCACGGACAAATTTATGGCATTGACAAGACTGGTTTTGGTAATAGCATAACTACTTTTTAGCGTTGAGGTACATGGACGGTCTGCTCTTATGCGTCACTCATCTCCGTACAACATTCAGTGGGATTTTGAGTTACGTGCTGTTGTCGATCTTAAACTACTCGTAACTCCTTACTCGGACAACAACATAATATTCTATAAACTCTTAGTCCTTGCTTCAATCTATCGTGTCCCAATGGTAGGTTTCTATTTGGATCTTGGATCGGTATAAAAAGTAGCTGATAATTTTTTGACAAGGAATAATCTGAGTTGTGAGATTGAGATTTACAGACTATCGTTGAACGACCCCAGTGAAATCAAAGAACTAATCGATAATTGGGGAGAGGGGGAAGTTTGCTTAGTTGATAGTCGAAGATTTGGGACACGTGTACGTACATATACATACACACTCAAGGCGGTATGGTAAGTGTGAGAAGTCTGAACAACTGATATGATAGCAGGTACGGAGATAGAAAAAGCTAAAGAGGCGTAGAACCTTTGGTTATGGCCAACCGGCTTACTGGTGGTATAAGTACGAATCAAAGTTATTACCTGATAAGCATTGGATTTTCCTTTTCCTTTCCTGTCGATGAATCGGTGGCAGATATGCAGATATGATACAGCGGATGTACCGAAGGCACTGATGATACATAAAAGATGAGATGCAAGAGCAAGAGATGGCGAGACATTCCGCTGGAAGGGAAGACAAAGGCACAAAATGAGGGGGTGGGGCTGTTGCATTGGATGAGGGTGGTGTTGCTATTAGTCGTGGGCATAGTCATGCTAATAAGTAATTGGACTCGTCTTTGGCTGCTCCCACGAATAACAGGACACCCGTTCGAATTCTAAGTGATGGTTTCTGTCACATGAACGTTGCATATTGCATAAAAAATTCCTTCCCAAACCAGTGTCAGTCCACACCCCCCGCACTACCTTAAATTCACTATGAGTTGGCTGACCGCAAAAGGCCATAGCTTACTATTGCCACACGACAACACTGAATCATGTCAATGATAGGTTGTTCGTATATTCTACTTGAGAATTGATATTTCCCCTCCGTACATGATCAATGTACTGAGGTATGAACAGTTAGAGTCAAAATTGGTATTTCTGGGCGTCTAGTGACAACTGTACAATCACTGACTACGTATATTTCTCTTGGGAAGAGGATGCAAGTTCAGGCAAAATTATTGGGTCATTCTTAGTACTGAAGCATAGACGAGTAGATTGGCTTATGTACATATCACGAGTACAACCTATCACGAGTACACCTTTAACTAGTACGTTTCAGCCCCTCTCATCACGCTAAGTATGTGTCGACTACATATCGATAAAATATTCTTCAGGCGTGCTTTATTGCGCGTAAGCTAGTGTGCGTACTCTCGCCATAGACGCCACGGCCCGAACCGACTGGCCTTGCGTACATCGCGGATAAGTCGCACCGCCGTACACGTCTAGATCTCAACTCACGCCGAGATCTCAACTCGCGTTGCCAGCTGCCAGAAGAAAAAAAAGTGACAGGAAAAAAAAATAAAGCTATTTACCCGTATTTACCGCACGGCGGAGCATAGTCCGATATTTCTACTCGTCGTGTTTAACGGCGGCTGGCGAAGAAGGCACGCACAAGCATTCGTCCAATGATACTTGAAACGGGTTTTTTTCCTCAGCCAAAACAACAACGACAGCAAATTGTTTTGTCTCAATCACGATACGCCTCTGTATATTCACATAATCTAGACGGTTCCAATCGGCTCAATTAAACGGCTCCGCGGCAGTTTAGGATTGAAATACGAACTGGAGAAACATTTTTTACTTTGCACTCGAAATGAATGTGATAGCGGGAAATGTGAAAAAGACCGGCGAAGAGAACGACCACATAGGATGGTAAGGGATACACTTTTTCGAAGTGGTCATCGGCTCACCATTCTTTTTTCATTTTTCATTTTTTAGCCAAAGTCAGCAACGCATGTTATTTCTGACCAGATCGACAAAGATCGGGAACACGAGCAAGTCGATATGTAGCTAGAATTACAAAGAACCGTCGTCCCCGGGAGAAGGATAGTCTGGAGTCGAGGACGGGTAGTTGGCTGAGGATTATGGGCTGAAGCCGTAGTGAGTGCAAATATTTAGTTTAGTAGTCGGATGGTTCTGATACTAACCCCGGGTGTCCCCTTTCGGAATAATAGTATAGCTGTCTGGTTACAAATAGATTATGCCTCCTGACCATTGTGACGCCGGGACGATCAAGAGAAGTCGACGGTGAGCAAGTGCCAACGACCAGTTACAAATAACTAGCCCGGGTATGGTTAATAATCAGATTGAATTGAATGGACAAACCCCACTACCCGCCAGGATGCATTTGCAGATCGTGTGTCGTGGTCGGTTCCCGTTCTCGAATAAAGTAGTGGCGGGATAGCGTAGGTAGAACCATGGTACCTATGTCTACTCTGTCCCAACAGCATGCATACCAGTATCAAATTTGACTCTACTCTACTCCTCCAATCCTCGGGAATTTTAATCACAAAAAACAAACATTGCTCATTGATCCCCGTCATCTTATTCACACCGCAGCCAAAAGAAAAGTTCGGAGAAATCAGTGGTTTCTTGCTCAATCAATCCTCGAATCAATCAAGCAGCAAGGAAAAACGTGGAAGAAAAATCGAAAGCAGAAAAACAGGAAAAAAGCAAAGAAGCAATAAAGGGGAATCGATTCGCCAGTGGAAAAAGAAAAAGAAAAAGAGAGGGGAAAAAAAAAAAAAAAAAAAGATACCATGCATCAAAACCGTGGTTATGTAAATTCTGAAAAGCTTGCAAAAAAAAGGACTCGCATAGATGATTCGTAAAGACACAAAGACACAAAGACAAAACGCTTTATCATAGAAAAACAGGGGCTAAAGGAACAATGATAGATGGACTGAAGGTGGGGAAAAGACAAAGCGAAAACAAAGTATAGCATCATGTATAACATGCCGCAGTACCAACAAAAACACCTTTCCCAACACAACCCCGGCCATTCCGAAAACTAAATATGAAAATCGTACCCGTAGGTTAGATGCAAATTCATCAACAGACATGAAACATGAAAGAGAACAGTAATGCATAGGAGAAAAAGAAAAGCAATGGGCTGGCTGGCTGTAACGGCAAGACCAAGGACATGCAGAAAACAATGCTCTACTCGTTATCATTCTCATAGCTCCTAAAACCACCTCCCCACAAATGACTTCAGATGCCATGCATCCTTTCCCTATTCAACTTTTGGTTTTTAAGATCTATCAGTAAAGTTCAATCATTCTGTCTTATCAGCTTCAGCCTTCGAGCCTCCAGAAGAACCTGCACCATCAGTACCAGCAGTATTACCACTACCACTACCGCCGCCGCCAGATCTTCTGCCTCCACCTCCGCTGCTAGCAGCTCTCTCAAGCAGCCCACTACTGCTTGCAGACCGCTTGTGCAGAGTTACGTTCTTTCCCTTCATACTCAAAGCCTTTCTGAGTCCCTTTGCACTCCACTTCCCACCGCTTGCAGTGGACATCGCACTCCCACTCCTCCTCAAACCTTCTCGTTCCTTGCCCTTCCCCCCGGAAACAGGAGAATTGTTCCCAGAGTCTGTGAGTGCTCGTGTGGGTGCTCTTGGCGCTCTTGGCGGTGAAGCAGGGATACCCGACTCGAGTACAGCAGCCCTCTTAGGACTTGGTTCAATATCCAACATACTTGGTGGTATGACTCCGTCAACAGCACCACATCGATCCCTCGGGTCGTGCATCGGTACAGGAATAAAGCCGGATCCTTCAAAGATTGACGGCTCTTTAGAAGGGTGCGAAGGCTCCAAATCGATCAAAGGCTGCACATCGTCTGATTCGGATTCTGTCTCCTCAAGCTTTGCCTTCTTCAACTCTGCGCGGATTTGCTTACGCCACATCATAGCGTACCTTCCTCCCTTTGCAAGAAGCTCCTCGTGGGTTCCTGCCTCGATGACTTTACCTTCGTGAAGACAGAGAATCTGGTTCGCCTGCGTGATGGTTGAAAGACGGTGCGCTATAACGAGAGTTGTTCGGCCCTTTGCAAGTTCTTTGAGAGCTGCTTGAATGTGCTGCTCAGTTTCAGAATCCAATGCAGCTGTTGCCTCATCGAGGAGAATAATTTTAGGGTCCTTGAGAATTGTTCTTGCGATTGCGACACGCTGCTTTTCGCCACCGGAAAGACGTAGTCCACGTTCTCCTACTTTGGTCTCGTAGCCATCAGGGAAACTCATGATCTTATCGTGGATACTAGCAGCGCGGCAGGCTTCATGGACCATTTCGTCAGTTGCGTCGGGGTTGGCGTATTTAAGATTGTACATAACGGATTCGTTGAACAACACAGTATCTTGAGGGACAACACCGATCTTTGAACGGAGAGAATCAATGGTAATATCACGCACGTCTTGTCCGTCAACCATAATAGATCCTTGTTGAATGTTATAGAATCTAAACAACAGTCTCAAGACGGTAGTTTTACCACCACCACTCTCTCCAACAAATGCAGTTGTGGTTCCTGGTTTGCACACAAAGTCAAGACCACGGAGTGCGGGCTTGCGATGATCGTAGGAGAAATGGACGTCTTTGAAGGTGATTTCACCAGTGCAAGAACTAATCTTCTTGGCTTCTGGGGCGTCTACAACCGTCGGCTCTTCCTTGAACTGTAATTTTTATTAGCAATTATGCAACTTATAAAATTCAGATTTTAACTTACCAATTCAAGCATTCTCTCAGAATTGATCATAGAGCTTTGAATGCTCCTGTAAAATGTCCCAAAGAAATTCAGCGGGCCTTGCAATTGAGCAAGATATGCCAAAAGAGATACAAATCTTCCAACTCTAATTTCCCCAATAGTAACCTGCCATGCAGCCAAAAAGCAAGCAATGACAAGTCCAATTGTAAAGACCAGATTCTGCGTAACGTTCATAACGTTAAGACTAAGTAGAACCTTTCTCTCTGCACTCTGGTAAGCCCTAACTGCAGATCTATAGCGTCCAAATTCATAGGCCTCAGCATTGAAATATTTGACGGTTTCGTAGGCAATCATAGAGTCGTTCTTAACGGCATCTTCCTCGCGCGACTTGTTGACCATTTCACGACGGATATCCGCACGCCACTGGGCCATTCTGACGGTGATGTAGAGGTAGCAGAAAGTTACGATGGCAACGATAAGCGCATAATATCTGGAATATATTAGCCATGACCATAATTTCAGGCTATATGGGAAACTTACGCATCAAATTCAAAAAAGAAATACGCAATAGCCACACCCAAATCTACAAGCATGGGTACAACCTGGAACGAAACCTGCTCAAGGAAATTATTGATTGCATTTCCCTTGCTGAGCGCGCTCAAAACTTCGCCAGTCTTTTTGCCAAGATGGAAATCGAGTGATAGCGAGTGAACATGTTCGAATGCAGATGTTGATAGTGCTTGATATGAATATTGCCCAATAGGAACCCACAATGTACTTCTAAGGGCGCCAAGAACACCCATGTTTCCTTGAAGGAAGCGGTAGGTAATGTATAGCACAATTTGTTCCCATGGGAGGCCTAAAAAAAGAAAAAACCAATTAATTCCAGATCACAATTTTAAATGTCGTGCAAAGGGGGGCTCACGCTGTTTCTGACCGTCTCCAGCCAAAATATCTGTAATCTTCCCAAGCTGATGTGGTACCAAAACATTCACCCCGCGCTGCAAAATCACAAGGATAAAACAAATGATCATCAAAAATTGCAGTCTACGGCTTTTACTTGGCCATAGATACGGGAAAAAGATCGCGTATCCACGAAGATACTCCCACCAGCTCTGCTTAGTAAGGGTCATCTTCCTAGCCCATCCCGCAGGCTCATCCGGAGATGGTACACCATTAGTCTTGCTAGCGCCATAATCAGCGGAACCAGATGGCGAAGCAGCACCACTCAAAAGAGGTGTAGATTCTTCAGAATCAGTGGGCTCTGCTCTAGGCTTTGGTGCGATCACAAGGATAAAATACAAGAACACAAGAAGTAACAGCAGAAACAGGCGGGAAATATCGATGGATAGATCGATAATCTCCCAGTTATTAACAAGGAAAATGCCGTGCTTCTTTTTCAGCGTATTTACGAGCTCTCCGTCTTTCGGTTTATGTCTATCGAGGTCTTCTTCGTATATGTAGAGCTTGGCACCGAGGAGTAAAGACTCCCCGCAGATACCTAAAACCCAACTCGCAAAGTGAGGAAGCGTAGGGTACAGGGTGTTGTCGATTTGCGAGATGAGCATAAGCGCATAGATGAACAGTAGCGAAACGGTGCAAATCTGTGGCGCTTATTAGCTATTAACGCCCCCCAAGATCCAAATTGTGATGATGTATTGCTATTCGATGAACTCACAACATAGGCTTGTCCAACCCACCAGCCACGGGTTGTTAACGCGTGGAAGATCACGCTCGCCGAGTTAAGCACGAAGGTCATAATAATCCCCACAAGCAACCAATTGAACACGGCCTTTCTCGTCGGCGTTAGTTTGTCATCCGACCCTCTTTTGCTCTTTGCTGGTGTCCCCCCGGGGAAGCGACCAGCGATTCTGGCAAAGAGGCCAGGCCCGTCGTTTCCGCTACCAGTATCGCGAGTCCTCCTACCATTCTCGTAGATTCCGTTGACAGATGGCGGTGAGGGCCTCGACGACTGGGACGTTGAAATTCCCCACCAAGCGAGCGTGAACAGAAAGAAGACAAATAGAGCCAGTGGGTAGACGTAGCGAGTATACAGTATGACCTCACCGAGCGGTGATGTCGCAGGAATGCCCGGCTCCAACGGGGACTCCGAAGGGAGTGGCGACATGGGGATAATGGGGTTGTCCATCACGATTGCTGCAGGCAGGAATCGATTGTATGGAGGAGAGGAGGGGAGGGGGGGAGAGAAGGAGGATGATGATGGTGGTGAAGAGTGAATGAGTGAGGGTGAAGGAGGAGAGAAAGATTGCGAGAGTAGCCAGCCACTTGCAGGTAGGCAGGTTGAGGAGGCGGGCGACCAGGCAGGCAGAGTTACTGGCTGGCAGACAGGGCTGTTTTTCTTCGACTGCAGCAAGCAGTAGGTAACAATCTAACTTCTTTGTTTCTTTTTTCTTTCCTTTCGAAAAATTCTTCTCTTTCACTTTCTCGACTTTCTTTTTCTCTGATTTCTTTTTCTGTCTTTGGGAGGAAGAATTATTGATCTTCCAGTTCTTTATGAGATTGTTGACTGGGACCTTCCCTCTGAGTAGTAGGTTCCTGTAACTACCTTGATCTCCAGATCTTCCAGGCGTCTATCTCCTCACCAACAGCTCCTTAGGCTCTTTTTCACACACAAAGGTGATAGGTTTTGTGATATCTATTTACTTCACGTTGGTATTTCTAAGCTATGTCGTCTTGTCCTCTGCTACCAGAGTGACTAACTCTGAATTGCCTACTTACCTATGCAATTCTATGTTTGATGGCCGCCGCGACTGCAGATGACGCAACACCACAGCATACACAGGCACTAACAACTAACTACTGCTGTACGGGTGGGACAGGGAACTGTGACGCTCAACGCAACACAGCAGAAAGGAAAGGAACTCTCTGTGAGAGTCGGACCAGCGGTGACAGCTGAAAAAGCAGACGGAGCTGATTTACAAATTGGTGTTTGTTCGGAGGGTGAATAGGAGGGCGCGGGTCAATTCAATGGCGAACGAGTTACGAAGCTCTGTAATATTTGACTAGCTGTGTAGTCACGTAGTGTAGCATAGCAATCAAATCAATCAACATCCATCCCATAGGCATGATACGCGCACCGCCGCCGCCGCTGCCACCACCACCTCCAGGGACCTACATCCTTATTGATACTGCTTAAGGACTCACACCTACCTGACCTATCGATACACGCAATTTGACACACTTCCCCAAAGGGTCCCTTTTCCTTATCCTTTTCTCCCAGGGTTCTCCCCGGAAACGCCCTCTGTTCTCTAGCGGGGGAGGGTCCGGAAAAACCTCCACGGTCAATCCGTCATTCCAGGATCGTGCGAGAGAAAAATAAAGATCGTCGCGAATCGTCGTCGTAGGTGTAGAATAGTAAGTGGGGGAGGAGGGGGAAGTCGGAGATGGAGGTGGAGGAGTGAACTGGAGGAGTGGAGAGAACATGGGCAAATAAGAGAGTTTACAAACTTCCTAGTAGGTACATACTGTAACTTTTTCTATATGGGTATGTATGTACCTTCTTTTCTTTTTCCTTTTCTTTCTATCGCGCGTGTCGGAAAGTAAAATTGAAAAAGTAAACTTCACATAGATAGGGCATGTACTTTATCTGCTCCCATTCCCTAGATTGTCATAGGTATGTACTTGCGCCGCTGCGCTTGCCTTGGAGGCGAGAAAGCGAGAGAGTCCGTTCACCACACCGCATGTCAGTCAATCCCGTGAGTCCCCCCCCATGAAAACCAGATTGAACATCACCTCCTCACCCGGTTGAGACTACTGGTTGCAGGACATCCAAGCTTTTCTCGTGACCACAGCCTCTCATCTCTCATTGGTCCCTACTTCATCCAATATGCTCCTACTTGACAACTCATCCACTCACTCACCATGTCTATCTACTTGCGTGATTGAGTGCTGGTCCGTTATTGTTTCCCATCTTAAATATAGAGCATCTATTTGCTGCTTCTGCATGAATATGTGCTCTTCGGCCCCAACACTGCTCTTTGCATATGCATGTGGAAGTAGGCATAGTACCACTTCTTCTCTTCATGGCCATGCACTCAATGATATCGCTGAGGTATCGGTGAGTTGAGCTTAATCAAGAACCCGCCGAAACAAACTTGCCTGAGTAACGTTAGTTGGATCTAAGGGTTGTACCTATCATAATTCTACTAGAGTAAAACATTCCACTCTTGGGAGTGACTCGTGCTTTTCGATTCTTCACGCTATATGTACCTACTCTAGAGTATCCTCCGACCTATTCTTCTGCCATGTGCCCTACGGGAACCAACCATAATCCACAAAGACCCACCTACCGATAACGATTCTTGACCTCACTTCATCACTTCATGTACTCTACCTACCCCACGCACAAAGTGCGAACCACCAATGTATGTGCGATCCCAACTTAACTTATCTCCACCATCGTAAACGAGTCCAACTAGTGCGTCGGTTTATCGATCCCGCAGGAACTTGAGGGGTCCTCCCTGCGTGAAGTGTTTTATGTATCATCCGCTTCTCTAGCTCAGAAAGAAAGGAGGGTACCGTGACCTTGCACTCGGTACCAGTACCCCATTTACTTGGCTTGGTCATCCCTGCTTCGGAAGGTCTCCCGAGAAAAAAAACCCGAGATAAAAATTGTGATAAAAATAGTTACTACATATATCCCGAGTGAGGAGGTACATACGTTCATAAGCAGTTTCTGATGGCCATGATGCTGCTGATGCTGTGATGAGGATGGTGATAATAGTGGTATTGGTGCTCCTCCGGTCCGAGAAGGCGATATCAAGAACTCAACAGGAGAAAGATATTTGTAATACTGAATACTATTGGAAGGTGAGCAGCGGTCAGCGGGCAATAGAATCTAGGAGCAGTATTGGATACCATAAAAAAAAAACGGGGCTACATAACCCGATCCGATTCCAATCAACCAACAGGTGTACCTGCTCTACTTTTACAACAGGTATGTAGAGAACTCTAGACTCCGAGTAGAGTGAGTATCGTACGTATCGGGTATTTCCTCAACCATCTGTCTATCAGTTTGCTGTCAACATCTGAAACAAAGGTGGAGAGACCTTCACTTCACTTCACTCCATCTCACACTCGATTGTAAATCTGGCCTGCCAGAAGTGACGCAGCGTGTGAAAGCACTCAAGGTACTAGTATTTTGCTGACGTTTTTGAACTGGGCCATTATTGCATACACCCAAAATCATGAGCTTGGCGTATTTTTGTATGGCATGCAATATCAGTCGCGTCCACAAACGTCAGAGAAATACGAGTAGAGTATCGGATCGGATCTTTACCCCAGAGTGGAGAAAGACGACAACGAGGAGACAGAGGAGAAAATACTGTGGGCCGGTTTCGAAGCCGTCTAGACTCCGAAACATGGAGGGCATCGACAGCTCGGAAATGTGCCCCCTCCCAGCCCGCAGCTGTCACTTCCCCGGAAAATATCCCAATAATTGAAACGAAACGAAACGAAACTGACCAGAGTCGAATAAACAAGCACATCCTGTCACCCGCTGGGCTGGCGGCTTTTTTCCGAATGCTTACACTTTCTTTTTCTCCGTTAATTCTCCGGCCGGCCTTAATATCCCTCCCTGATCCGGGAAAGGTAGCCACACTATGACGCGCAACTTCTAACCGGGAGTGTGATATACAGTATTGTAAAAGTAGATGTAAACCCTTCTACCCATTACAGAAAGAAAAGAAATTGTTCACAAAAATATCCGATGTTTTATACATATATTATTAGCAATGCAATATAGAGAAGAAGGAAGAAGAAAAGAAGATGCGGTTACAACGGCGGGGAGACATAGATCCTTCTTTTCTTTTCCTAAGTAGCCGGAGGCGGAGGCGGGTCCTTGCATGGACCGACCGACCGTTATGTTCAACTGTATGTTAACGGCAGAGAGGCACATGATTGCCGTGTTTGTACTGTAACCCAAATCAGATGTAGCTCTGCGGGCAGATAGGGCAAGATACCGTATTTAGGGGGTTTATTTGACGGACATGGTATTCCTTGTAGTTTCGAAGAGGTTTGAGTGAATTAAATAGCGAGGGATGTGGAAATGATAGTTTGACAGGGAAACATGGAACAACCATTGGTAAGATCTAACGTCAGCAGTATTTTTCATGCTATCATTAACCACTATATATATCACAAAGGAGATGATGTTGCTATTAAAGTATTCTCTGCTAGGTATCAATAATTATAGCCCTGAACCCCGCCATGGTTTCTTTTTACTGTGTATGAGTGGTTACTTAATATTAAGGCTCCGTTCGGACGAGGGAAGAAATGATAATGCGCAAAATTGAAAAAAGTTTTTAACTAACATGAGATAATGATTTTCTGGTGTAATGGAGTTCGGAAGACAAAATTATAAGACGGCGTAATATTGAGGATCTAGGTATGAGACATATCAGAGAGGTCAGAAACGTAGCAATAATTAGCCCTCAAGGTAATTATTTGAAGGTTGCCAAAACCTCATTGTTATGGACCCACTTAATTCTACCATATAAACCCGCAACAATTCAGGCGGTCCGAACGGAGCCTAAGCTTTTACCAGTCGACTCCTTATAATTATTGGATCCGGGGTCAGCATCGCGCCGAGATTTCATATCCCCTTCTTTTCTTGTTTGTGGGTTTACAGAGGGGCTTAACATCCCTTTTTTCGGAAGAAGGCATAACATAATATTTCGGGTGATTTTCGGTTTGGAAAGCTTGGTCTCCAATTAATTGAAACTATCTCGTCAACAGCTTAGATAAAAGAAATTCCTTCTATGATAGTCGAGTCTATCAATATAGTTAGCTAGGCCTAAAGACCGCTTTGTATCGAATCTTTGGATTAACGAGGTAGATTGTCGACGAATTACGCCTCGAATATGCCTTTTGGGTCACTGAGATAGATAGTTCATGCAGATACGTTTTGTCTAGCTTATGTATACACCGCAAGCCATTCCGATTTATTCTCGTTTACTGTATATTCTACAGAGATCGGCATCGCAGGACGCGTGATTACCCAAAATGCATGTAGTGTGTAGGCTGAATCAGCAGTTGGTAAATGCTACCTTAATCATGAATTTGCACTCGGATTTTCTTACACCATGGGTAGGGGCTTTAATCAAGATATATTTTACCGAACGGATATATATAAGAAGCTTAGAGATAGGGTATTTTCACGAGAAATATTTTCATGAGATAGTATATTTATATTATATCGGAAACCCCCACGGCACACTCCAGAGCTTATGAGGGGAGCTAGTGAAAATTAGTTATAAGGTGACCCATGGGACTTATCTTCGGACAATTCAGCTGTTTCATTACCAGCACAGAGTAATATAGATCTAGTTTGGTTTTTAATATCATGCTGTACATGTGACCTTAAGCTTTCATTGCCTTTAATTTTTGGCCAATGCGATGTACTATATATGGATTTGGTTACTAGAGACTTGAATCTTTAATTTGCTTATTGGCCCATCGATAGATACCGAGACAAATGGCGGATATTCTAGAGTCTGAATGTTGTGAGGTCTTAAGTTAGACCTTAAATCATCTTGTACACTCTGCCCAGTTTGTATGCAAAAAATAGCCGAGCATATTAGTCTTCCGGAGCCATCCACTAAATCAGCCTATAAACTGAGGAATCAGGGCTTCTTGAGGTTAATATGGCTGAGCAGTTATTCCTTGAAGCAACAGAACGGAAGACGCTTATTATGTGAAGGTATTTTTGGTACAGCCATCCGCGATATTCAAAGTATCTGATAAGAATCTTTGGCAACGGCTTATTCTTGGGTATATATAATTTAGAGCTGGTCAATGACATTTCGAGTCTCTTGGGAGTTCAACGGGATCATGAACTATCACTCGTATTTTAAATAACACTTGAAAACGTTTTCCCGACGATATACGTTGAAGAATAAGTAAGAAATCTTATAGAACTATGTGAATAGTGAATAGAAAGTATCAACGCGCTCGCATGATGCCCCTGAAGGTAATTGTTAAATGGATTGGAGGGTAAACGAACACTTGATTAATTAAGCGGGGGCCTGTGGAGGATTATTCTCACCACATCCCAGCTAGCACATAGATATATTCCGGCTCATAAAATCGGCACAAGCCATTCGAATATGTAGTGCTTAGTGAATATTCTGATAATCATTCTATCTTATGAGAAGAAAGTACGTAAGCTTCTGGAATTTAAACCTGTTCACCGAAAAATAGAAATGGGGACCCCTCGGGTGCTGGAGTTATGTGAAATTCACTGAGAAGTTTTTTTTTTCCCATAAGTTTTCAAGTGTCATGCAAGTCGTGACCATTTCCCGCTTCCAACGGAATAGGTTTGAAAGTTCCGGAATCATATGATATTCGAAATATGCTACACTACTGCCAAGATGCTCAGTGAGTTAATAAAGCACCCCGTACAGTGGACAGAGAGTAAGAGCAATTACCTGGCGGTTTCAGGACCGCTGGAGGTGCCAACATCTTACCTAGATAGCACAATTTTTCAGGAAGATTGTTAGTTGTTGAAAGCTTTTGCTCCTGACCAAAAGAGAAAGAAACATTGAAATTCCTAATTCCCGCGGGGTCTTAGACAAGTATCAAAGCTGTGCCTTCTGCTGGTTGAGAGCCTATGTTTTGGTGATGGGAGCGAATGTAACATCCTCATTCAAGCACCTAGATTGGTGCTTCAGTTTCTTTCCCCCTGTCGACCTAGAGCAAAAGATTTGGACAACTGACAAGTCACAACAATATATAATCTCCAGCATTTTCAATAGTGAGGAAAAATGTCCTCAGGCAGTCTGTGACTGATCCATCCAGTGGTCTAGCTTCCCGGGGGCTTATGCGCTTTAGTATCTTTATGGGACTGAGTATACAGTGTATTTATGAATAGGATAAAAGCCTATAGAAAAGGTGGCCATGCCTTGTGACAGATCAATCAAGTAATCAATCGTATACATGACCCGTGATCTGCGAGTGATATTTCATGATTTCATATTAATCGAGTGCGACGGTGAAGAAAGACATTACTGACAAAGAACTCGAGACTTGTACTACTGAATGGTTACCACTGTATGGTGCTGAACAATTCGCCTTCTCTGGTGATATAGCCCTTGATCTGGTAGGATGATATGCTGATCTGCATGTTTCATGGCCAGAACGGATGGGGTTATCTGACCTCTCGCCCAAAGCTGCTGTTGACATAGAGGCGGTGCCGGAGTATGTAAGAAATTGTAATTGCTTTTGGAGGTTCGCGGCTCAAAATGTGTTTCCACCCCTTCACTGGACCTTCATGTTCAAACTGACGATATACTATTGGTAGGAGCCAAAGCCAGCCGATCCACCGAGAATTTCCTATTCTGTATTCGCATTAGTTGTTCCAGAGGGTAGAGCTTTACACTGGAGGAAACGTCCATGAAGTGGTGGGCGAAGAAGCTGACGGCTAACCGCTGTCATTCCAGCTTCCACCACTGGGGCTTGGCACACAACCACACCCAATTTTCTAGTACACATATCCAGTTAGTTCCCAGTACAGGCCTGCAGCCACGTGAGATTTAGGCTATATACGGCTTGGAATAAAGGAGGAGGGTGTGGGAACGTATGTTTCTGGAGTTACTAAGATTGAATAGGGATACATGTATATATGGCACTATATCTTGGGAATGTTCTTTTTATGACCACATGGCGAATTGTACATATGCCTAGAAATCTCGGGGCCAGTTCAGTACTGAAGCACATGTATGTAGACCGGTGGTGTCCTTTTACAAACACATGCATACATGTACATGCATAAAACCATATCACAGTCCCATTCTCTATTTTCCCATGACCGTGGCTGGAGACGGATACATATCCATAATATCTCATTTATGATTGACCAACTCTAGGGTAATCACTAAGTATCGTTCGATACATATATATTATTTCCATAATCAAAGGGAAATCATCACGTTTCTTACAATTTTGTAATAAGAATATGAAACGAGTCAGACTATAATGAAATCACCAACCTCTCCACCTAACCCATACGTCCTTTACAGTGTTATCAGGACCAACAACGAAATACCATCCGTGCCCATTGCTCGCAATGCAGGCGTGCTGAGGCCAGATTCTCACCTTTCCTCCAACCTTGAGCTTCTCCCCTGCACCCTTCACCTTCTCCACCAATACACCATGCTCCTGAGAGATCTTATCCACAACCCATCCACTTTCCTTTGGTGTTCTTCCAGCACCAGGCATTCCCCAGTCTGAGACTGCTCCCCAGCCAGGCCATTCCTTACCTGGCTCACGCCCTAACCCAGTGGTGCCAACTGCCACGAGTGCCTCAGTCGATCCACCCTCACCACGACCGGGGTAGATCGAGACTACCTCAGCAAGGACCGAGATAGCAATGTCCTTAACCCCCAAGCTATGCGGTTCAGGAATCGCATGAGTTGAAAGCTGTTGTAGATCAAGCATTGTGTAGACACCTGCGTGAACCTCAAGGCTGCATCGCTTGTCAAGTGATCCAAGATCTTGCGCAAAGGTCCTTGTGGATTCCGGATCCTTCGTCATGGTTGTTATCGACAAGGCTGTGGGTGTAGAGCCAACGGAGATGGTCCATTTGCGGCTACTCTCCTTTGGCAAACCAAACTCTTTGTTTGCCGAGAACATTGCCAGCTCTCCTGCCTTGATTTCCTCTGACAAGAGTGTGAAGACTTCGGTGGCATTTGTGGCGCTGTATGAGTGGCCGGCATGGGTGTAAAAGCCCTTCAAGAAGACTTTCCCAGTGGTTTCAAGTTCAAGGAAGCGGATACGACCAAGAAGAGTTTTGAAGCCTTCGGTAGCTACCTCAATCCCGGCACGGTGAGATCCTACGTCGAGCTTGATGAAAAGAGGCCATTGTTTCGCCCCAGGGGCAATGGACTTGAGAAGCGGTGTAAGCTGATCAGGGTGGTCGATAAGAAGACTGATAGTAAGGGCTGGATAAGCAGAAGAAAGAGCCGAGAGCCTAGGAATTGCTGAGGGCGCAAGGGGGACTCCATATAAGATCTGAAAAGAGGCATTAGAAGTATTCACGTGACGGATATGCACTTTAATGATGTGCTGAAATCGAATTGGTACTTACATCGTCCACAACGCCTTCCTTGATCAATGGGGCCAAGGCCTCTGCCTCTCGTACTGTAGAAACAACCAACTTTCCACCACGTCTTTTTCCAAGCTGTAGGCGGGTCAATTCAATAGTCTGCATGTAATGATTGCGTCGTTAGCAATAACATCCGTGCAAAATTATCCTAGCTCTTGATCCCAGTTAAATGTGGGTCTTCCCAAGGTGGGTATGATCGTGGCCCATGCCACACCATCCCAGGTTACGCTCCACGGATGATCCTCCCAGTCCCGAGACAACCACACCATTTTATCTGTTTTGTGGGGAATAAGAAAAGAGGAGGGTGCGCAATTTCTTGACAACTCACCTTATGAGTTTTTACATGGGCTCTAAAGTCAATGCCAAAAGTCTTTGGAGCCTGGAGCATACGCTCGCAATTACGCTTGAGTACAGCTTCATCGAGAATCACAGATGGAGATGGAAGATCTGAGATGTGCTTTCCCAGAAAATGCTTCCTCAATTCCGCAGAGGAAGGGGCAGGGTAGATGGTATCAGAAAGCATAATTGAGGGTTGTATCGTTGCCAGATTGCTGGGACGAGGTCGGAGAAGGCGGGGTAAGTCTGTGGGGAGGTGTGTCTGGGTTAGGGTCGACTTATGGCTCTGTAGAGAGTACCGTTGTGGGGATGTGCGTGGTGATGTGTACTGAAGCTGCTGTGGTCAAAGAAGTAAACGCGCGTTTATGATAGATATAGAATAGCCGTGGTCGTACGTGCTTCTCAACGGAATCCCGAGGAATTGGAAATTGTCAAGTTCCCGCTGTTAGACTTTGTGGGGGACCAACGTCTAGTTATACTCGGGCAGAGGCAGAAAAAGAAGCTATAAAAAGATGAGGCATTGTTCAATTAGTCAAACAGTCGCATGTCCGTTCCTACGGCTTGCTGGATACGGCGGGAAATGTGTACATATTCCGAGCCCAAAGGCACTTCCAGGCTTCTATGCACCCCCCCCCCCCCAAACCCGCTTTATTCCCACCCCTTCAGATTGACTGGGTACATCATAGGTAGATAGATCCTTTGCTCTCTCCAAACCTCACCGGATCACACGGAGCCGTACCCTACACTTCTACCCTGTATTATTACCTGATCTTCCATTGAGTTCCAGCTGAGGTGATATGTAACCGACCTCCTGCACAGGATACTGGAGGCATATACGCCCATAAAGCCACGCCATCATACCTACATACGTGTATTTACTCTATTCTACTGGTGGCAATAGTTTTGCAAGAGGAGTGTCCCCACTTTTTGTGCAAGCGAGTCCCGGCGATTCTCAATCCCAGTTCTGGTAGCATTCCAAATATGTGATTGAACAGAACTGGCACTCACGGCTAGGTAGCGTAAGTACTCTAGGCACGCCTACGCGCAGTTATAAACGCGTCTACCTGCAGCTGCCGCTAGTTTTTGGCCCCAGAAAACAACTAATTAGATAAGGACCCGCGGAATAGTGATACATACCTAATAAAAGGAGGTATGTAATATTGGAATTAAGAAAGAACAAGCAGAAAAAGCCTTTTTATGACAGAATTCAATCATTAGGAAAATAAATAAATAAAGAAAAGAAGACTACATGCCCCCTGGGTGATCTACATTGATATCATACGGCTTCCTAGCCAGGTAGAAGAAACTGTTTGCTAAAGTTAGTTCGATGCACCTAGAGATATGTCATTGGGCGGGATTAAATTGAAAGGATAGGATGCCTCACTTTGAAAGATAAACATGAATGTGTCTATTACCACAATCCCGCTGAGCTCCCAAGCATAATTCCCGCGCCGACTCTGCGCTCATACCCAACACCCGTGTAAATAGGGCTAGTCCATAAGCCTCGAAACTCGTTTCAGTGTTAACTAAAGCCCAGTGTCCTATTTCTTTCAAGTGTGGATCTTTAGGCCAAGGTCCCACTGGCATGTGTCTGATTTCTTCTGTAATGTCTATGAAGCCAGCGCCCTCAAGATACTCCTTCGCTTTCACTGGCATGTTTGCAAGGCCCATTATATCGAGGGCCTTTTTCCAGGTAATCATGTATATCGACAATGGGCAATCGGCGGGGTAGCTATTATCATCGCAACCAAGTTCCAAGGCATGCTCTATTATCTCGACGTGACCACCAGGGGTAAGGTGTCTGTATAAATGCAGTTATATTAGTTCTATGGCTGCAATAGTTGGTCTAGAATGTTGAATTGACATACTTGTATATTTGACCCATATAATGAACCCAGTCCCTTATAGAGGAAGAGAGCATCCGGGAATGGATAAAGTCGAAGTGGTTCTATAAAGTTATAATTTATTTAGTTCCTTCAGAGAATTACATATGTATTAACGGTTCACACGTACAGGCGGGTATGTCCATTCTAGTTCTGCATCATCAATTTCGAATCGACAATTCGGAAGTACCCTGATAAAAACGCCGAAATTAGAATATAGTTTCAAAGAAACGGGGGGAAGCGAACTACTAACAGGTTTGGTTGAATTGGGCTCAGATCAATTCCGACGATTTCTGCCTCGGGATATAATCTAAGAAATTCCCACACAAAAGCGTATTAAACTAAGGATGTACGGTTACAGACCGCTTTCTAGCTCAGAGAAAATCTTACTCCGCCATATCAAGCGCCCAAATTCCAGTTCCACAGCCAACATCCAAAACTCGCCTTGGAGGGTATTGATCCAGAGGTGCGAGAGTAAGCTTGCCGTATAGTAGTTTGAGGAATATATGATGATGCATATCGAGGCTACAATCGTGGGATTAGATATCTAAAACGTTAACTAGGCAGAAAGGGTCAAAATACCGATCTTGCTCCGTCTAGAAATTGTGTAGTGAGTATCATTCTTGTCTATTTTGATAAATGTGCTTTTGGGGGGCATACCTCATCGTTTGGCAAAAAGTATTGGCCTTCTGCATATTTATGATACCTCCTACCTTGGGAGATTTAGTTAGTAAACAAAGCGACGGAAAGATTTCACGTACCATGTTCAAAGGGGTAGTCAGTGATACTCGATGTTAGAGAAACACATTCGCTTTGGCTACTACACGTTGATCTGATAAGTGTCTCTATCTTCTCTATGGGCTACAATGTACAGCACATGGCTGGACCCAGTACTTTGGTTCGCCGCGGCTCAGTTGCTTTGGGTACATTTGTGTTCCCAACATGTCAACTGCAGGGGGAAGAATTCGGTCACTCACTTCCCGGAACTTTGGTCCTCATCATCGTCCCCCACCTGGTAGTACTGGTAGGAGAATATGGTCAGATTTTAGAAGGACAGGGAGTGTAAAACCTTCACCGTGAAACACCACCGCCAAAACCATCACCACCACGACTACCACAAATATGATATGATGACTCACCATGCCAGAATCTACCTCAATGTTGCTTACAGGAATGACGGGTTCCTTCTCATTACCCGTATTGCCCATGGTTTGCCTCCTTGACCAAAGAGTTCTCAAAAATAAAAAATAAAACGCAAAAAAACGGAGCACGTTTAGGACGTGATGTGTGGACTGTGAATCGACAAAACTTGGATTAGATGGGCAGTCGAGCGGTGCGGAATAAATCGGATCAGATCAGATCAGACGACGCATAGCGTTGAAGAGCAAAAGGGCCCAGGATGGAATTATATAGAACAAGGCCAGCGGTGTATGTAGAAATGGGGAATAAGGAAGCGGGGTATTGATAGGTAGAGAGAATCAAGCAAGGTGTAACTGAGGTTGGAACCCAGACATGAAGCTGGTCTCGTGCATTGCATATGTGAGGCCGGCCGCCAGACACATATTCATCCAGGTTTAAAACCTCTCCAGGAACCGCCCCAATTCTCAACGAGTACGGACATGGGTTTCACTGAAAACCAAGCTTTTCTTCATCCCCAGTTCCTCGGGACAGGTACCGAACGTGGGAACACAGTGTCAAGTAGGTATAAGTATTTATATCGATACACCGAACGCCTGAGACCTTGTGGGGGGAGATATGTGGGATGATGGAAGGGGGTCCGGATGGATGGGGGTCGTTAGATAGTGTAACAAGAAAAGAACTCCTGAATTTCTAGTTCAATTCAATTGTTACGTATGTGCCTAATAGATGCGGTCGGGCTATTACTCTAGCCACTCGATTGCATCTGCTTACATGTACTTTTGCCTTCATGAACTAGCCAGATAGATATTTACTTCTTCCAGCTCACTCTTTCCACAAGTCAACCTTGTGTGTAAAGTACCCTCACTCTCATGACGGCGATCTTCACGACATGGGCCCTACGGACCTAAGCTCGTGATAGCCTATCGTTGACGCGCAGGAACGCCAATTCTCGTCGTTCTGTACCAATGGAAGGTCACCTTTTTGTCCGCACCCGAGCACGTACATAACATACTCTACTCTAGTATCGGGAGCACCAGCATACATACGGTAGCTGTCACGGCTATCACCTACTTTAGCTTCGCCCACCGAAGAATACTTCTGTGGGGGTTTGTTAGTACAACCTCTAGGCCTTTTCAACACATTTTTTCTCTCTCCTAAGACCCTAGGATAAGTGAGTTGATTTTTTTTCGGTTTGCTTCGCTTCGGTTCAATCTGTATCCTCACTCAGCAAGGCTAGTATCTTACGGTCATGATGATAGCGGCAATGGTGAAATTCCCAGATCCCCATAGGGTGTGGAATTCATGTATGTTGAAATTGATGCTGGATTCTTGAATCTGACAAGCGGTAGATGAATAACCCTAGCCCTAGTAATCTGCTAGTGTAACGAACCACCAAACAGAACTACAAAATTTCTTTTTATGTACCCTTCTGAAAAAGACTGGAAGACACGGCAATGACACGGTATGTTTCTGTCTTCGATATCTACCAAAAAATCAATGAAGGAACCAATAAAATTCGAAACCAATATCTCACATCGGGGCTAGCAGTTCAAAATTCAAAGGCTCTATAGCTAGCGTATCATAATTCCGCGGGTTATAATTAAAGCAGAGGCTATGTCGTGATATCCCACCCGTATGTGCATAACAGGATCTGTCCAGACCCTTGAAGATATGGCATCAAATTAGGTCCCCTACCGTATGCCGAATGCTTATTGACTGGAGACTGGGAAATACTATCTGCTTTGGCGGGTGACAACGGGGTTATTGATTACGGTAAAGATCTAAATACCCCCCTAAATGGGGGTCAGGTTCTAAAATAACCTATATTTCTGAATGACATACTGCAGGTTGCAATTGAGGTTAGAGTAGATGAGAGGGTTTCACTCCGCTCAATTATCACTGTTCGTTTCTGTCTGTTTTCCCTCCTCATGCGGCTTCCTCAAATGGTCTCTCTACATCCTCTCAAAGCGCACAAGAGAGCGGCCCAATCACATATGTGGCACTTGGGGATAGGTTACTTTAAACTTTTAGTGTTGCCCCTTAAACGTTTATTGTTACCATCAAGCGCTTCCAACTATTTGGTGTTTTCAACGACCAAGCCCAAGAAAGTGTTATTAGTGTTACAACTCAAACCATAAGGCGCTGATAGACATTGTCGCTAAGGACAGACGACACTCAGTAGACATGGAGTGGAACCCGTAAAACATATTATCAAACCATGATCAGTTTGGTAAGGATTTCATGCGTTAGAAGACCGCATCAAAGACGACTGATCATGAGCTTTAAGAATGATGGCTCTAGCTAGATCAAGTACCTGGTTGGCGCAATCATTTCTTACGCTTCAAAGAGCGTTGTCGGGAGCCACACAAAACTGTGGGGAAAGCCACAAGCTAATAATGTATGTACACCACAACCTTGGTGGCGTTGATACCCGAGATTTGACGAAGTCTTATTGGCCATGGTAACTAGAAGTTCATTGAAAACCAACAGTACTTGGTGGTGCGGAACAGGGTTGAACCAGGTATCTGCAGATCACCATGAGATTTCCGAGAGTATCAGCAGTACCCGATAGATGAGAAAAAATAGTGAGACATTGAGGGCTCACGACTGTCGCTCACCAGGTGCTGGATCGTGTTGACGGACAGGGTGAATATTTGGGCTAATAAAAGAAATCTTGGCTGCTCTATCTTTCTCTAATCAGTTGATACCTAGTGTCTGTCGTCACATCGAGAACAATAGTAGGTACTCTACTCTATTCCTCTCTAGAGATTACCTGGGTTTGAGGCGTTGGGAGTTTCGGCAGTGGGGGTTGATTGAAGCGGGGCCGAACGCTTGCTAACTGTAACCTACATGTATGTACAATACTACATTATTACATGATGGGCCCGTTTCTGGTGCATGCTAAAGTGGCATACATGAGTCCCTGGGAGTCCTCCGGCACTGCCTACAGTATATGTGCTTCCATATCTCCCCAAATTGCGAGCAGATGGTTGTCTAGGCACTCTATGAATCCACTACCTGCAAAGGGCCATCCGCGCTCCACGGCCTGCGCTACACCGCATACAGAATAAAGGGGAGCTTAACCGGTTACATCATCAACCCAAGCGCTGAGATATTGGCTTCTCGAGCTCTCAATATTGGTAAATAGATGCAGGGCCCAAATAGAGTAGACGCCTGTAAAGCAGAGTCGTTCTTTATGTTTCAATCCATAAAAATAATGGCAAAGCTAGCTACTAAATGTAGAATGGCACAAGGCGCATTTTAGTTCATATTGCCCCTCGTGCTGTGCCACTTGATGAGTCTTTTCAATTGAGCCCTTTGTGCCATCGTTTACATGTACCTAGCTAGAGGCTACTGATACTCGCACAGACTGTCACAAGATTGCCTGTATTTTTAACTGCCGGGCTTCTGTCCGTAGTTTACCTTCTTTAGTTTGTTGATTTTCACGAAATCAAGCACCAAGATCGAGACAAGAGAAAACAAAGCGAAAAAGCAACACAGGTGAAGAAAACACTAACTACAAAAAAACGAACGTGCCCACCCCCTTCCCCGCGAATACTGCTGTGGTGCCTAGTGGCTTAAGGGATCATAGATAGATCTGCCGCCAATTCCTAATTGACAGGGTGAGGGAGGTGCCACTTTCCTCTCCTGGACTTTTGTTTATTGACAACCCACAACAAGCATTAACGAAATCAGCCGAGGGGGGAAAGAAATAGAAAGGAAGACATGATGGCTTCCCAGAAACTCCGACTTCAATCTCGAAATCGGAGCTACAGCCCCCCAGCATCACCTTCACTTCATTCCATGACGTCCCATAGCAGCAAAAATGGCAGTGACTATGGTGGTATCTCACCTGCACCCCGGCATCCTGTACCATCCATGCAGGCCGCCTTTGAAGAATCCATTCTCGATCTCGAAGGAGATGCAGGCACAAGTGCAAGTGCGAGCAGCTCCTCCGGAGCGGGTTATTCGTCTTCTTCCTCTCAAGGCTCTCGCTCTCGGCAAGGTCACCGCCACTCGGAACACCACAGGCTCCTTAAACTCGTGTCGCAAATCGCCTTCGGAATTCACCTGCTGCATGCACGGCTCGCCAAATCTGACCCGGAGGTGGTGCGAATACTCCAGTCGCATGTAAATGATATGGACTTTTTTGTCTCCTCGACCACAAATGATTTTGAGATGGCAAAGTCAGACATCAGACAAAGGCTAAAGCACCTGCGGGTCCCGATAGATACTGGCCGCGCATCCGATGTCTTTGATCAAATGTTGGGCGATCGCGAATTCCGGCTAGAGATTGTCAAAGGGAATGAAAATGTTGAATATGTGATTTCGCGAACCACAGTGGCCATGAAGAGCGCTTTAGTCGATGTGCGAGAAGGGCTGAGTGCGGTGGATGAGCTGGCGAAATACCTGTTGAGTCTCAAAAAGGGATGGAAAAATACGGATCTAATACGGGTTTACACTGCGATGACCGTCAACGTTGAACAATGGTTTACGGGCCTGGTGGGGTTGCAGACGAAAGGTGCAGGATTGAAGGAGGATATCGGCCAACTGCGACGTGTGGTTCGGGAGATCGAGCAGAGGACAGGTGAAGCATCTAGGAGGAACAAAGTAAGATTTTATCCTCCATAGTATTTAAGAGAAGTCATGAAGGTATTTCTGAATGTGGTTAGATGCTAAAGTTCATGTCTCTTAATACAGGATTCGATAGTGGTGGCAAGCAAAAAATCGGTGAGATTTTAACCCCAAATTCTGTTTGTACGAGCTCTCCAATAATTTCTACAAATAGTGCCCCAAAATATCCGCGAACATCAACAAACCACTACCGGCGCCTCCCTCAGATTCTACCCTCACTGCAATTGATATACGTAGATCCAAACGTCCCTCTCAAACATCAAAAAAACCAATTCCGAAGCGCCATCACTCAAGAACTGATAAACGCAAAATAAATCCCACAACCCCTACAATTATCGTAACAGAAGAGAACCAGGAGTTTCCACCAACTGCGAAAGTGAGCCGTACAATCTCTCAGCGACTTCTTAGCCGTCCACGAACTCGTGGATCAAAGGATACACCTGAGAAGGAGCTTGAGTTCCAAAATCAAAAGCGACTGAGTAGGATACGAGCTCGACCGGTGCCAGAAATGTGGCCAGAACCGCTGTCAGCGAGGTCTGGAGAAGTGACGGTATTTTGATCACCCCCCTTTTCATTAGTCCTAATTGGGCGTGACTGCGGCACATAAACTAAGTTAGGGATGTGGTAGGAAAACGAAGAAGAACAAGATGAAGAGTTGAACGAATTTTCATTTAATCCGGACAAGGATAAGCTTCAAGTTGACGGAAAAGAGAACAGAGAAAAAAAGGAGAAAGTATTGAGAAAACCAAAAAGCTGCATCGTCTCATAATTGATCCTGACCTTGTTTTTTCCCTTTAACTATAGCTTTCTTCACTTTCACGTATGAATATTGGCCTCATCATTCGCAAACTTGGGCTGTAACAATCTGGGTAACACGCCTTCCCTTTTTAGATGATCACTCCACCCTTCTTGCCTTCCTAGATTTCTTTTTATCATTTTTCTAATATATGTCCTATTTCGATGCCCCCTCTATTCTAATACTCGGCGTCCTGATCGGCAAATCAGAACCTGCAAATATTTTACCGCCGCTTCGATGGCCCACCCTTTTTTTTGACGCTTGATGCTTTCTCACGTTACACCCGTACTCTTTTTTTCGATCCTGATTATTTACACTTCTGCTCCCTGCCTTGGATTCCTACTTGAGCCTGTCAAGAAGTTTATCTTTTACTTCGTTTTTCCTGCGTTATACTGTTACTGCTTGCAGGTGTTTTTGGTGGTTGGTTGGCTGCTTGGTTATTTGGCGTGGATTTTCTTCTTCTTTACTTTGTTCTGTGATTATATTTGGAGTGATTGGATGAGATCCGGGCACGGTACATATGATATTACCTAGCGGTTATACATGCTATGATCAATACAAACGAGTAATGATCTATGTTTGATCACCATTAGGTTTTTGCGACGTCGTGAATGTGGTGTGCATAGCAAGATGGTTTGCGACGCCTTGAGTCTACGGAACAGGACAAAACAAAAATACTTAATACGTGGTTCATAGCCCCCCAAACCTCAAACTAGGAGCATATCCAAGGATCTTTGTTTTTCTACACTTCGGTTCAATTTTTTGGATCGATTTATTGATACCAATCAATGTCTGTAAGTGCAATTGGTTCCAGCGTAGTTATGTACACTTATCATATCAACGTGTTAACGATCACGTTGATTGGGGCAAATTTTAATAAGCTGACCAACTATTACAATAAAACAAGCCCCACGCATCAACCCCAGATTGGAAAGGCACCAATCATACGTTAACCGGTGCGAGTGATAAGTTATGAGCTTGTTCCTGTTGCCAATAATGTTATTAGAAGTTCTCAAACATGGGGTTTTAAACAATCTCTTCAGCTCCCCCATACATTTTATAATTACTATGACTATCGCTATCATCGATTACTACTGCGCCTATTACAATTTGCCTATTGCGATATTTGTGGAGTCTTTAGTGGTTCCGCTAATTATCGTTCCTTGATGTATATACGTAGGTGATTTGCGTCTAAGTTCATGTCGAGTTTATAAAGTAATCGCTGAACGTCCTTGATGTTCTTCACCCATGCTGTATTATATCATCTGATATCTGTTTTGGATGCTTCTGGCTACATAGTTGCATATATGTAGCTGTCAATATCACATAAAAGTAGAAGACGTATTCTTAAACCTCTTACTCTATACTACTAGAATTTAATTATTCAGACGTACTAGAGGTCCTCCAGATTTCCCCACACGTACCATGGAGGGCCACGCGGGACATCACTCTGTTCGGTGCCGGTTGCTTTTGTGGTCCAGCAACAAAGGAGTCAGTACTACTGAGTTCATACTTCGACAGAAAATTGCGTCGAAACTAACGGTAATACTCGACACAACCCTCCTACTCCTCGTGCCAAGGTTGGCATTATACTGTCAGAAAAAATAGGAGGCAAAAAATTAGATAGTAAAAATAAAAAGTTAAAATAATCATCTTCTCGGGCGCTTTACATCTGTGATGTTCTGTACTAGCTACAGGCCCAGGCCCCTAAGGTTATCGAAGCAACCATAATCGAGTTAATTAATAAGAAGAAGATCTAGAGTAATGATCATGGAAGCTATATATAGTTGTTAGTAATTACATAGTGATAGATCATTGAGGAGTGTTTTAAGTGATTATATAGTGTGAAGTTTAGTGTCAAGAAACTATTTGATTCTGTATTTGTCGAAATATAAGGGGTTTACTAGTACTATATTCGTTTCATTGAATGGGAGGTTAGGCAGCACAATCATAGGTTCTCACTCGTAAGGCTTGGCGAGTGGCACAAGACCAAATAAAGACCAGATCACCAGCTTATAAAAATAATTGCTATTGAAAATCCACCCTTAAATCGGACTGCACCCGTAACTAACATACGCTTCTAAAGCCACTCCTGGTTCCCCCGCTGCGACACAAACTTCCCACTATACTCCGGCCCCACCCTCCCAATAGTCTCAAGCTGATCCCTCACAGACTCCTCCATCGTGATCTTCCCCTTAAAGTTTGGCACCAAGCACTTAATTGCAGCCTCAAGCTTCCTCACCCCCTCTTGCTCCTTCTCGTCGCCAGGACCAGACCCAGAATCAACATACCCAGGGCTCATCGCTAGGAACGTGAAACCTCGATCTTTGAACTCGATGGCGTACTTCCACCACAAAGTGTTTGCGGCAGTTTTGGAGACTATGTATGGAACGTGTGTGGCAATTCCAGCGGCTTCGTTCAATTGCTGGGAGGCGATGCCGGATGATATCAGGATGGCTTTACGAGTGGCGCCGGCGGAGAGGAGAGAGAGGAAGCTATTGGCGGCATGAAGGGCACCGAGGGCATTAGTTTGGAACTGGAACGGATTGTTAGCAGGGAAGAAGAGATTTTGTGAGAGGTGTGCACTTGGGGGCAGACAGTCTTGGTAAAGTGCTCAACCTGGGAATCATCCGTGCTTGATAGTACGTCAGTAAGACAAACTTTTACAAAAGAGGAGAGAGTTTCTTACTATTCCGAAAGAACGAATAGTGCGCCTTCGGGATCGATATCGGCTGCGTTGTGGATCAAGACGTCTAGTGTCCCTCCTGTAATGTCCGAAACCTCCTTTGCAGCAGCCTATGATGTTCCGCTCCCGTTTTAGCTTTTTGACCGGGTAGAGGTATAGTTCGCAGCGCTAAAGTACTGCGTACCTTGACAGCGGCATAGTTGGTGACGTCCGCTTCGATAAGATAGATATTAGGTCTTGCTAGTGCCTCTACTTTTTGCGAGGTGGCCTTGTTGCGGACCAGGGCAAAAACAGTGTTGTTTGCGTTTGCGCTCTAATATTATATATAATTAGTATTATATTTTTGTGGGGGGGGGGGGGGGAGACGAGTAGCGAGACTCACGAGCTGCTTGGCGAATTCATGCTGTGGGGTGGGGAAGATGGCCGGTTAGTTTGCGTATGAAATGGTAGTGGGGGGTTATAGATAGCTTACCCCGATTCCGCGAGCTGCTCCGGTAACGACGTAAGAAGGCATTTTGACTTTTGAAGGCGGTTATGAGGGCGTTGAAGATGTAGTTCTGAATGTTGGTTGATGCGGATTGATATCTGAAGAATTGAAGCAGAAGCAATAGGTATTTATACAACAGCGAGCCCCACATCGACTGCACACACACACACCAAACCCTAGCAATTCACGATTACTTTGCTGGTTTCAAATATATTCGAACTAGTCCGATACTACTCTGTCCTTTCTTTCTAGGGACTTCTTTTTACACTTTTTGTAATTTAATACATGTATGTACCTATGGGAGAGATAGTTTGGAATTTATCATCGAGGATTCGATATCTACTAATCAAGCCGTGATCTAGTATCTACTAATCAAGCCGTGATCTAGTATCTACTAATCAGGCCGTGCCTGGGCTGGGGTATTACCCGGATGCGGTAATATGGACTTGGTTACTTGGTTACTTGCGCGCGCTTATGTACTAACCACTGGGCTGCAAGGATTATCGAGGAATTAATCGCTTGCTCGCTTAACTACCGTTATTTAGAAACAAGCGTCAGCCCCATCATCACATATCACTCTCACCTCTAGAAGAAGATCCCTGCCCTACTCATCACCTCATGCACCCCACACCATGTCGTTCGCAATGTGAAAATGTCTCCACCCAGAGGCATTATCCAATTCATAGTCGGTCAAGTGATAACATCTGCCTAGTTTCTTTGCTAATACAGAATTTGGCATGTATTTCGATCGGGCTATATTACCCCGATAAATTATTACAATGTAACTAAATAACTACGTACGATATTTGATTAATCCAGTCACCGTACTCCCCTTCTCTAACTAGCTCAAATCTTCCAGTTGAATTCATCCAGCTGCAGCTGGTGCGCCGGGAGGTGGTGCACCGGGAATGACAGGCACGGGCCTCAGAATGTTGAAAAGACGCACATTTAATGATATGATAGTAGGCACGGCGAGCTTTAGGAACCGGCGCTCCAATAAGAAACACAGATATACGGAGATAGCGACCGTAACACTTGAAAGCTCTTGTACGGTGATGTTGGGGATGTAGGAAGGAACATTGGTAGAGATAGAGACTATGCCGAACTTGTAGTTGTAAAAGTAAGAAGAACACGCTAATATAAAGAATGTGATATTGCTTAAGGATAGATATCTGTTTGCAAGAGTCGGATATCCGTTCGCAATCGATGGGGGAGGCGGTGGCGGTATACGCTCTGAAGGGGCGATACATCCATATTCGTTGGGCTGCCCTCTCCTTTTGTGCTCAGTCTCTCGCCTCTCTTTGCAAATGTATTGAATAGCCCTGCGGTATGTCCCATTCTCCCCAATATTTCCAGCTATGTGCAATTCATCTGCATCGTATTTATCAATATGATCACGAGTACTCAGGCAATCTTCAAGTTCCAATCTTGGGGCTATTTGCAATTGACCATCTTCCGGTGGCGCTGTTTGTAAGGCAGCTTCCCTCCTCAAAAAAGTTGCTAATTCGAGTACTTCAGCTGGGTTTCTGTGAGTCCAAGTATGACTTTGGGCTTGAAGAAGTCTACCAGCCCCATAAGCCGTGAATTGGACTTGGTTTTCGACATTTTGCCCGGGCGAAGAACCGTAGAAGAGGACCGAAAGATATCTCTCAGGGCCCTCCATTGTGCCCAGTGGTGGTGGCAGATCAAGCTCATAACCAAATACCATCCACTCGATCATAGTTCCCATCTCACCACGATAGCGAGGGAATTGCCGCCATCGATAGTCTGGATGGTCATAAAACTCCTGGTGCGGGTGTATAAAGAAGCGCATTTTCCGTGGTGTGAGATAGACACTTCCAGGCCAAATTTCTGCCCGGCCATATCGTATGGTGATATTACGCTGCCTAACGTTCCGGAGTGACCGTGCCACAACTTCCGGGCCGGGGGGTTCGGGCCGATACCACATCTATTTTTTATGGTTTCAATTAAACACATATGTTTTGAGAAAGATAATGCGGGACACAGCCTACCTTTGCATATAACCAATGTGCAAGTTCGTGAACAAGGGTTTGGAACGTTAATAGAAGTAGGTGGCCTACTTCCATATCCTGTCGATGAATTTCGATGGCATCTATTAGTTTAGCGTTGATATTTATATGCTCAAGACCGCGCCCTCGAGGTTGACTGCCGTAAACATTTGGTGGTAAATCTCGAGTTATATGGACTGGGGGAAATAAGCTCGAGAACCAAAATATCACCAGTTCAACTATTTATGATGTATGAGTTAGCACAAGAAATAATTACTCCCTTATGTGTATGGCAAATAGAAAACAAAGGAACTTGGAACCGACTTTCGTCGTTGGTTGGCGGAAGCTCATTGACCAACTCCTCATTACTATAAGGGCCGTATCTATCGGGGGGTGCCCGAAACACAATCGCGAACCTCCTTGCAACCCTTGGTTGTGTCACCAGTTCACGAACCCGAGAAAATAAGATATAAAGATAGTGATATCTTCCAACCCGTGACAGTGGGTCATTGTCAGGCGCGACCCTTTCGTCAATGATTTCTAAATCTGGCCAAATGTCCATGTTTTGTAGTTCAGGATTTGTTTCGTCTATCTCAGGCCCCGTCAAGAATCGACAGCCTTCAGGCATAGGAAGATATGTATCATGCAGTGGTGAGTCATACAAATACATTTCAGGATTTGGCCGACCTAGAACTTCTGAAAGTTCTCCAAAGCTCATCAAGGTATTCAGCCCAGCTTCTGCTGTTATAAACATATTATCTACCCGAGACTCTAGATTGGCAGTCCATATTTCATTACCAGGTGGGATAAATGGGGCATCTGGTATAAAGTGTCGAGGCTTTAATGCTGGCGGAGGACATCGAAGACCTTCAATACTCGATGCTATCTGCCCTGACCCTCCGGCAGTAAATGGGATGGCCTGGAAAACTGCACCACTGCTCCATAAATTTTCTATCTCTGCAGGTGATGGATCGGATCTAAACTGTCTCTCAGTACCGGGTACTATGTATTGCGGTGGTACGGCTGGGGTCGGTGTAAGCCTTCTCCATTGATACCCTTTAATCCGGTTATCAATTTCATCAAGAATACTCCTGGCATCGTGTCGGCGACTATGGTCAGGATGATTTTTTATCTGGATCAAAAAGTCGTGTAGCGTTATGCAGTTTGTCGTCTCATTATAGGCGTTTGCACGTTCCTGGCCATCTAAGTTTAAAAGTGTCTGGAATGTGACTAGGAGGGGCACAAGTGTGGCACAGAAGTTCTCGGGATCTTCAAAGCTGACATTCCACTGTTTGAAGCACCTATTTAACTGTGATTGGTTTCGGACAAAAGCTTCGGGGTAGTTATCTGTGGAGGAAGGTATATTAACTACTATACTATCTAGAAGGCCAAACCGCAAAAGAACACGGAAAATACGGGAGTTCCAACCTTCGACCTGAATATCGCTATCACTATCACCATCATTACCAAGGGTATCATTACGACTGTGGGGACCATAAGAGATGGGTTTATCGCGATGTAGTCCACGGTGACTCGCATATGTTCGCGATCGTCTGGGATCAGGCAGACCAGTCCGATCCACTCTTCTTCTTTGGTCATAAGCACGCCCAAAGGGATCTACTGCTGCCATATTCTCTCCCCCACTGAATGATTTGAACGTTTATGTGTGACGGATTTATTTTCTCCGGCCTGTCGAGATCGATAATTGTTGCGTGTCTTTTGGTGTTTATCGCGGTTCAGATCTCCTGGGCATGATGTCCACCAGAAAATGACCTGTCCTCCCATCTAGTATCTTATGAACCCAACATTTGTATAAAACTGCCAAGGATAACAAAGCATGTCTTTGTCTTAGAGTCCTGTTAGGTGGTCGAGAGAGAGGACTCTTTGTTGTGGACGGCTACTTTGTTCTCTTTGTACTCTAAAACTGGGCGATGCTATTATATTCATTACCACACTTTAGCCATATCTTGGAGCGGTATATGATCAATTTCGCGACCCAGACGCTCTAGTTATTAGGTATAGGATTCCAACACAATAGGCAGCTCAAGCCGTCCCATTCGAAGCACCACTTTGGAGCGAACAAAGATTAGCTTGAATTACGTCTGGATAGGTATCGATCACGAGTTTGAATTACATGTAATCAACCCACAATTAATCAGGCGTGAGTACAATGTAATTTCTAACCTATATTATGTATTTATTCAGTCTAGCAACATGCAGCGGTAGGCAATTTATGGCGTAGGCATGCAGCTTCTGATGAATGGGGAAAATACCCACCTATAGCCAGAACACATTAGGAGCTCGTGTCTTCCATCGTAGCACCCTGAGCGTATATCTACCTAGGACGAGATTTAATAGTATAACCCTAACCCTATTGACATCTAGATCTTATCTAATCTAATCTGTGCTAAGGGTGCGCGCGTAAATGACCGTCCACAGCAGTTGATCTCACTCAAGCACCAGGCTTACCTGCTGCGTACTTCTCCGTTCGTTTAAAACGGCCTTTATCGTATGGAACACCTTGTGAATATCTTAGTATGGAGGACCTGATCGCCATATTGGAGGTATATAGATGGAGCAAGTACCAAAGCCTTGCATATGACGTCGTTGTTGCTGTCTTGGCCTGAGATGAATGTATATCAGTAGGTACAAGTTTACCTCAGCTTAGTACATGTACATAGCAGCCCAAGGCCGGCCTCGGAGCAAGAGAAACAGGCAAACAGCTAGCAATGAAGAAGAAGCGCACGACTCCCGCGAAGAACATTGTTGATACCGGCGAAGAGGGCCCTTGCACACCCGCAAAGCTTAAGGATGAGCTCCGGCGAAGCGCACGGAAGAGGAGGCGGGAAGAAAGGGCCCAAAGGAGGGAATACTCTGGAAAAAAGAAGAAGAGGTCGAAAACTTCAAGCCCACACTTCGATATCAGGCCCGAGGATGCTGTGGTGCTAAGCCAGAAAGGCAAGGGTTTAGCTGAAGGAGAGGGAGATACCCAGCTGAAAGAGGGTGGAAAGGCGGGCGGCAGTGATGAAAGTACACCTGCGGAAATTCCGACAGTCCGGATTCAGGATAAGCCCGAGGAGCCATTAATAACTGGGTATACTTCACCGCCACGCAAAAAGAAGGGAAAGCCTATAGGTATCAAAAGGACCAAGAAATCAAAAACGACGAGCCCGCACTTCGAAGCCGAGCCTAAAGCTCTTCATCAACCTAAAATAGGAACGAGGAAAGTGAGGGTCCAAAAATCAAACTCAGCACAAACAGTGACAAACACTACCGACCAAACTACACTAATATCCAAGCCACGGAGAGCAAAACCCAGACCTAAAAAAAGCGAAACATCAGGAATCAAGAAGGTCAAAAAGCCAAAAGCCAAAAGCCCCTGTTTCGACGCCCAGACCAAAGCCCTGCTCGAAATAATAACAGAAAACATGCCCCAAGAAACACGGGCTAAGAAGGTCAAGAAATCGAAATCGACAAGCCCTCATTTCGAAGCCAAGACCGAACATCCGTCTGCGACGGGGAAAACAAGGTCTAAAAAGTCGAAGTCGGCCAGTCCACATTTTGATATCAAGTCCGGGGATGCGCCGGGGGGGGTAGTGATGAGCCAGATTGATGACCCGTCTAAGGCGATTATAGATAGTGCCGAGCAGGAGCAGGCTTCGATATCGAAGCCAAGGAGGACCCACTTAAGGGCAAAGGTTGTATCATATATAGAGCAGAGCGAAGAAGAGCCCGAAGGAAAGGAGAAAAAGAAGCGAAGAATGTGGAAGACTAGAGAGGAAATAGCGTTAGTAGAAAAACAAGAGCGAAAAGAAAGGAAGAAGACTGTTCGACGAGTTCAAGCCGGTATATCAACGGCAATCTGGCCGCCGCTGAGCTCAGACAGATTCGGTCTGATCCAGGAAGAGCTCAAAGGAGACGCTGTAAGTATATCCAAACTAGAACGGACATTTTGCAAAAGAAAGTCTTCTTACCTCGCCGTAGTTCCATCTAATCGTAGGAACAACCTTTCTAAACCGAACCCGGGGTTGTTAGTATACACATTTTCTGAGACCTTTGAATTTAATAAATCATGAACTAACCCTCCTAACCTATAGCCGTCGCTATTCCCCTCCTTCGTCAATTCCTCCGCGACTACCCCACTCCACATGCCCTCTCCCTCGCCCCCCTCACCAAAACCAGTACGTTCTTGCAGCCCCTCGGCCTCTACAATGTCCGCGCCACACGCCTTCACAACCTCGCCACAACCTGGCTTACCGCCCCACCCATCTTCGGCCAGGCCACCAAAAAGTATAACTATCCCCCACGCGACACCAAGCCCTTCCCCTCCTCACTGCTCCCCAATAACGGTGTGGAGCAGGGTCGTTGCTGGGAGATCGCTCATTTACCAGGCGTGGGCGCATATGCGCTGGATAGCTGGCGTATCTTTTGCAGAGATGAGTTTCGGAGGGCGGCGGGCGAGAGAGTGGAGGTTGGGCAGGAAGAGTGGAGGAGTGTGGTTCCGATGGATAAGGAGTTGAGGGTCTATGTGAGGTGGATGTGGGCGAAGGAGGGCGTGAGGTGGAAAGAGCCCGGCGATATACAGCAGACGGCGCTGAGTTCGCCGTTTTTCGAAAGGGTGGAGGATGGTAAGGTGGTGGAGATAGTGGAAGATGGTGGGAGTTATGGTGGGATTTAGATGCATATTATATAGTTATCTAATAGAGATATATTTCACGGGGCACGCCGGGGGTAGAGAACGGGGTGCCCCCTTGCAAAGCTTTACTCGCAATTCTCAACCTTAATTTAAAGTAGGGTTATCTCTCGCTTCAGCTGTTTGAACACGGGGAAAACGAACCACAAGGTTGAGTCCAAATAAGTAGTAAGTTTGGTCATTTCCATTTAATCATGAGATTTTAGGAAGACTTGGCCAACAAATCGTTTATTGAGAAAGGGAGGAAGCCCTAGACGCATAAGAATATGTATCGATACATTCAAAGTTAAAGTACTCGTAGGTGATCTTATTCTCAAGTATTTCAATCCACTAAATCGAGTGAGCGGCTATGTGCCAAGCTACACACGCACTAACTAAGGCATGCGCAGGCACATCATTTGTGGGGGATATTAGAGTAGTCTCGTAGATCCTTAACCCGTGAATCACACCACCAAAATTACCAATTTCACAAGCCTGGTACATGGGTTTCACAATCACGCAAAACGGTTTTCACTTTAGAATTCGATTCGCATCAAGCGGGAATAGGTGATTAAACGCTGGTAATTTATTGTTTCCCTCCTAGACTACCAATGCGATTGATTACTTTTGAAGAGATATTTAAAGCACCCGCTCAATGTTATTCTCCTTCACCGCCGAGGTTTTTCCCGTATTGTCGTTTTGGATCTAATTTGCCATGAGTTAATTATCCCGAGAAAGGAAGCTGAGAAGACGGAGTAATAAATACCTCGTAACGGGGATCTGATTCGGATGCCTTCACGGTGTTTCCAGTAGAGCCAGCGGCATCGGGGTGAGTGAGGACTCGTACGATCTTTCCGGTACTGGTAGAAGTTCCATGGGGCCCTACAAGCAAATTTGTTATCACCAGCACAAGTAATACACTCAATTGAGGAGAACTACTCACCACCGATAGGATGGTATTCAACCTTCTGGCCTTCCTTGTATTTCTGTTCCATTGCGATAGCTGAGAGACGGAAAGTTCTTGTTGTTTGCGGTGAAACTTTTGAAAGTCGGGTGAATGATCGAAGAGTGCGTTGGTTGAATAGTGCAGACATGTTGGATGGGATGATGCGTCGAAGCTCTTTATCCTTCAGAGATGTCTATGTGGCAGCGAATCTTATATCCGCTTTCTAGAGGTAAACATAACGTCATAGCGTGCTATGGATTACGTGGGACGGCTGAGGGCGACGGGGCAACCTCCATCGTTTGCTTCCAGAGTAGGAAACTCTTGCTAGAAACACGGGATGTTTTGAGTGACGTGAATTGAGCGTAGATTGATCGAGGCCTCATGGTGTTGATGTAATTGATGTGGGGTTGAGAGAGGGGCAGCGTGTGGGTATCGGAGTTTTTCTGTCTGTTAGAATGAACCGTTAAGGCTGGTATCTTCAGATGTTCGTGCGTTCAAGCCGTTCTTAGATGTGAGTACATGTATCTAAATGTTTAGACAAGCGTTCTTCTCTCATCATAGAATTGCTAAATTCAATGAATACTGTACAAGATTCCTACTAGTTCGTTTTACATCTGATAGACAAATTTTTGATCAATTGATATAGACACAAGCTGCAAGCTGATACGAGTTGCATGTTGTATCAACTTCTCCTTAGGGCGAATGAGTATTGGTGACATCATGCATGGTATGATTAAGTAAATACTCTTTCGTCGGGGAGTGGAGTCGCGGGCGGGCCAGGTCCTACCTAGGACTGAACTTTTGAGTACTCTAAAGTGTGGATACCTCACTGCAAGTGGATCGAGTGCTCAAAAGTTCAGTCCTGGGTAGGACTTTGCCCTCCCGCATCTCCAGCGCGACTCCTAGTGCCTTGAACTCAAATCGGAAACGACTATTTGCCACCTGATTGCATCTTACTGGTTTGCTACATCTACGGTACCGTATTAGCGTTTCGGGGTCGAGTGTCGCGCCCGACTAACCTCCATTTATCCATGGCTTATCGAGTGATAATACATGTTTCCTTCCTGTTAAGGTGAAAACCATATTTCTACCGAATAAAAGTAGTCATCGCAAGTTTGCGCGCCAATTAACTTAATGGTTCTCAATTCGCTACACATGTCTGGTTGGGTTTAGGTATCTAGGCCCCGCGCCAGATTAGCACACGGATCTAATCAGATCTAATCTAACCACACACACACACAAAAAAAGTCGCGACAACCTAGCCAACGACTTTTGTCTCGCGTTGCTTAACCCCACCACACATTCGGGAAGATCACCCAACGACACATCCATCTCTGAGGTCAATTCCCCTTTATCTTGCAATCTGTTGACGCGCAATCTATTCTCACTTGCTTCACCCCCCGCTCCCTCTCGAATCCGCAAGGATGCGTCTGCAAGTGCACATCATCCCAGCGAACGCCGCTCCGAGCGCAACGCCGGTATCTACATTCCTTGAAGTCGCGCCGCCATCACTCTCACTTGAGGATTTGACAAGCTCAATTACGAATCGCTATAGAAGGCTCTATCCGCACCGCCCGTAGGTTCTTCTCGCCTTTATTCTCCACCTATTTATGATCTATAAACTTGGATCGTCGGGCTCTTTTTAACAGAAAAATTCTTCCTTCTTTCTCCCCAGGCCCTTGAGAATCGACAGACTGCAGGATTCCGCCCAAAATGACTTGGACTTGTCGTATACGGTTGAGGATGTGTTTTCAGATAAAGCCTCTGATACTTTGAGCTCAATTGTGAGGGTCGTGCAGGCATCGTCGGTCCGCGAGTCTTCGATTCCACCGGAATCTGGGCTAAGGATAGGTCAGTTTGCCAGAAGGAAGAGGCTCAGACCAACGGGGATGATGGAAGATGTGAGGGAAGCGAGTAACGAGAGAGGCCTATCGCATTCGCAGCCACTTTCCCATTCTCAATCAGTATCGCTCCAGCCTTCACGAGAGAGTGGACGGCAGAGGTCAGGTAAGAGACAGAGGCTGAATGATTTTCTGGTGGGAGATAGTATGGACGAAAGGGAAGAAAATCTTGCTGTCAGAAACTGGAATAATGAAGTAGTATCTGACCCCCTAGTGGACTTGGGAGCTGGGGCCGGGTTTGAAGATCACAACTATGATGGAGTACCCGGTGATGAGGATAATGACTCTTTCAGGTCCTATCATTCCTCTTCCCCAGGTCCTGGGCATGATGACAAGTCTATCCCTACCCCAGAGCCTAACCAAATAGGCCCAAACTCCAATACCCCGATCGGGAATCATGGTCCCCAATCTGATCCCGAGACCCCCGAGCCTATCCAACAGAGGATTTCGCAAGTATCCGCGAGCCCGGAACTACATACCGTGGGGCACACCAAGGGTTTCCCTGAAGGGCATGCATCATCCAGCAATATCAAAGACCAAGAGACTTCTCGGCCTTTACAGCCGTCGAGGAGCAGCGGACCACTCCATTACACCCCTACCGCTACCGAAAAACTTGGCGTGAGGAGGGGGGCACTTGCGGCAAGAGCAGGTCGCCAAACTGTTGCTGAAAAACTCGCGGCAATGGTAGATCGTCATGCCGGAGCAAACCATTTTGCCGCTCCTGTATCATCTACTGTAAAGCCTAGCATCTATTCAGTCCCTGCCTCGGATGAGGAAGATGACGTTCTGCCCATGCCCAAAACCCAAACCCCCAATTCTGCTTCTAAGAGGCCTCGCAAAGCTAGCATCGTCAGCGAAACCGCGTCCGAGGAGGCAGATGACGAATCTAGTCAACAAATACTGGAGCGTGTAATGGAGGGAGAAAAGGAGGAGCCCGAGAAAGAAAGTGAAAGCGAGAGACAAGCAATAAGGGAAGAGAGAGAAAGCAGGGAGCGTGAGGCTAAGGAGAAAAAGGACAAAGAAGCTAGGGAGGCGGCGGCGAAGGCTGCAGAACAAAGACAAAAGGCGGCAAAGGCGGCAAAGGAGCGAGCAGAGAAATCGAGGATTGAGAAGGAAAGGCTCGAGAAGGAGAGGCTCGAGAAGGAGAGGCTCGAGAAGGAGAGGCTCGAGAAGGAGAGGCTCGAAAAAGAGAGGCTAAAGAAAGAGAAGGCTGAAAAGGAGAGGCTTGAGAAAGAGAAGCTCGAGAAGCAGAAACTCGAGAAAAAGAGAGTTGCACAGGAAAAATTAGCGGCACAGAAAGCTGAGCGAGAGAGGATTTCTCAGGAGAAAGCTGCTCAAGAACAGGCCACACAGGTCAGGGCTGCTGAGGAGGCGGTTACCCTTGAAAATGACAAGGCTGATGAGGGGATCGCTGATCTGAGAGCTGCCGAAGCGGCACTTTCTGTTACTGTTCTGAGGAAATCCCGTAGTGGGCCGGCCCTTGGGGCTTCCCAGGAAAAGACTGTAGGCGAAAACCCAACCCCAAGAGGACAACGAGAGCCGCCGTAAACAAGGGAGCACTGGAACGGGAAACAGCAGAGGAGATGAATCTTCAAGAAGAGAAGGCTGATCGTGAAGGAAAAAAGAAGGAAACCGCTAAACATAAAAGGGAACAGGAGGCTTTAGAGAAAAAGAATAAAGAAAAGGCTGAAGAGGAAGCCAAGAAAGAACCAGCCAAAGAAAAGAAAGAAAGGGAAGCTCTGGAGAAGAAGAAACGCCTCAACGAACAAAAGGCTGAAGCGGAAGTTAAGAAAGAAGCAGCCAAAGAAAAGAAGGAACGGGAAGCTCTGGAGAAGAAGAAACGTCTTGAGGAACAAAAAGCCGAGCGTGAGGCTAAAAAGAAGGAAGCTGCCGAGGAAAGGGTTCGAAAAGCCAAAGAAAAGGCCGAGAAAGCCAAACTTGAGCGGGAAAAGAGAAATCGGCAAACATCCGAGGAACTTGCGCAAACGAAGGAAGGGGAGGTCCCAAGCCAGAATTCCTTGGGCGAAAGCGAACCAGCTATTCCTCCTACTCCTAGTCAAGGAATGAAGAGTAACCTTAAAGGCTCGGCGGTGAAGAAGCATCCAACTAGAGTTTCATTTGCCACAACTGCTGACACAAGTATACCTCCGGCCAGTCAAATACCGATAAAACAGACGCCAATTCTACCACCAGGATATGAACGCAATAACCAAGAAGCACCGAATTGGGTAAATACCAGGAAGACGCCGTCGTCGTCGTCGGGGGTAAAGACATCTCAAGTTACGAGCGATACTACGAATGAGGCATCTAAGCCCGTAACGAATGGGACGACATCTAGGCCTAAGACTAAATCGACCGAGTCGATAAAGGCAGCAAAGGTGGTAGCAGGAGGGGCAACCTCCCCAAACACAAAGCTGAATGGGAAAACACGGGCGTCAGCTATAAAACAGTCAATGAAAAAGCTAGTTGAGCCCGAACCGGAGTCGGAAACAGGTTCCGAAACAAGTTCAGAGACGGGGTCCGAGACTGATTCCGAATCCAACGATTCGGAAGCCGAAGCGACAAAGGCCACTGCGACCGCCCTTCTCAAGAGCGCTAAAACTATTTCACCAACGGAAGATGTGGAAATGCCTGATGCCCCATCATCACCTACTCCAAAACAGCCGTTTGCGGTCGCAGTCTACAATAAACGAAGCACGTCTGATAAGCAAGTAGAAGAAGCTGGGTCCGACTCCGAAAAGGCGCCTCCATCTGGCCAGAAAGCTATAGAAGAAACAGAATCTGAGTCCGACTCCGATTCCAAAGCGTCAGCATCAGGCACAGATTCTGGGTCCGACTCTGAAAGTGATTCGGGTGCTACCGGAAAGAATAAGCCCACATTGGCAAAGACACTGTTCAAAGGCCGCACTTACGGTAAACGCCAGTCTTTGAGTGCGAGCCAGAGCATCAATGGAAGCCAGAGGTATAAGAGCTTGACTGCGATGGAGATGGCTCCAATTCCGGACGTTAGAGAAGTACATCAATCCTCCCAATCCGGTCGTAATACTTCTACTCCCAGGGCCAACAGCCCCACAAAACCCCAGAGATCCAAGAAACCAGCTGCGCCGCAAGATGACGATTCCGAGGATTCGGACTCGTCTGTTGACAGTAGTGGTAGTAGTGAGGAGGAGGAAGTCGCAAAGCCGCAGAACAATGCTCTGAACGGGAGAATGGCAAGTGCAAGCGCCAAGAGAAAGAGTGGCTTTGGAGGGTTTGGATTCAAGGTCTAAAGTGCGAGGTCATGCTCAAGGTTGTCTTGGCGAGTTATTCGTTGTGACGGTCTAGCGTAACCTAAGGGAAAAAGGGCGCTATAGGTTTTTGTTTGTTCTTTACCATTATACCATTCTATCATCCGTCTCCCCTTTTGTCCATTACGGGGTTTGTATGATTGTCCTTTGAGTACGTTCAGTATATCATATTCATTAGCATTACCGCATAGTAGCGATGCGATTGATAATCATTAGCCAGTGTTTCTTAAATTATCTTTTGGTGTTCAATGTATGTAATCAAAAAAAAGCTGGGGTTGATTTATTTTCGTTTTGCTAAACCGTAGTTAGCTGCTATCTGCCTGGATGTATGGATGTCACATTTAAGTTTGACTTCATTAATCTACCGGATTTTTTTTTTTTTTTTTTTGTTTAATTCATTGATCGCATGACAATGGTGATTTTTAAAAGTGTTTCGGAACCAGCGCCGAATGCTCTAAAGTTATAGTATTAAACTGCAGCTAAAATACAGTATTTCATTTACTTCCTATGCAACCTTTAGGAGAAATCCCTTTACGAACACCACAGCCATGTATTTTATTTACATGTACCTACCCATAAAATCAATGGGCCGTATAATCCATGCGATCCTTCCACTTTGAGTACCCATGTCTTTCCACCGTCCTTCCTCTCCCTTTAACTGCTACAGCTACACTGGATTTGCCTCTCCGACATAGGAACATCTCCTACCCATCTTTTACCATCCTCATCATCTTCCCAGTCGTCGTAGGGCCTCTCAACCATTTCCATAACCTTATTCAATACATCACGCTCACCCTTCTTTTCCACCCTCTGTATGATTTCGTCGAGAACCCAATTCCTTGGCACAAAGGCCGGATTAACAGCCTTCATACGTTCTATTCGAGCATCGTCCTCGCTTCCTTCATTTTCTAGTCTTTTTGCATAGGTTTGTAGCCAAGTAGTAATCTGGGATCGAGCCTGTGGGGGGGTATAACCGCCATGGGAGCCGTCTTCTTGGAGGAATACATCGAGTCCAGTATACTCTGGGGAGAGTTCTGATACGATCTTTCGGACAGGGAGTTTTGAGAGGCGACGGTAGAAGTGATGATAGTCAAGTTCGAGCTTCTCCATAAGCTCCAATAATGGCGTAAAGAGTTCATCCATGTCTTTCTCTTGAGATTCTTTAAGGCCGAGTCTTATTGTCATAAGGCGAATGTATTCATCTAAAAAGGTCTTTTTATATGATTCTGAAACGTCTTCAATAATCTTTTCAGCCCGCTTAACGAGAAGATCGCCTTCGGGTTGACTTTGAACACCAGATTTGATAAAGACTGGGTCATCGACATCTAGCGCGCCGAAGAGCTCCGCAGTGGATTCGGCAAAACGAACAAGATTCCACCAAATTATTGTAGGTTGATTTTTATAAGAGTAGCGTAGTAGATGGTCGTCATGGTTGGGGGTGTACCTCGGGTCGAAGTTCTGGGGCGTTCTTAGTAGGTATTATAAATAGACAAAAATAAGAGAAAGCTTACATCCATGAAACCAAATGGCCCAAAGTCGAGAGATAGTCCAAGAATAGAGGTATTGTCAGTATTGAGTACACCGTTCATAAAGCCATACACCTGCCAGTATGCAACGGTTTTCGCATTCCTCTTAACAACCTCTCGATACATAACTTCGTATCTGTTCGGCTTTCCCACTTCTGATACATGTGGTGGAAGCTTCAGAACCTCATCTCTAACATAATCACATAATTGCCTCAACATTTCTCGCTCGCCTCGCGCTCGGGGCAGATCAAAGGTACCAATTCGAATCCAGCTCTGTGCAAACCTCGATACGACTGCGCATGGTTCCATCCTCTCCCTTGCGACTTCGACTCCAGGAAGTAGAGTAAGACTGAGAGCACGCGTGGTTGGTATTCCAATGCTGTGGAGATACTCGCTCACGATGAACTCGCGGATACTAGACCGTAGCACCGCACGCCCGTCGGCAAATCTAGAGTATGGAGTTTTGCCCGCTCCTTTGAGTTGCAACTCGTATCTCTCCTTTGTTTCTGGATTTGTGACCTCGAATAAGGAAATTGCCCTGCCATCGCCAAGCTGACCGGCCCACTGTCCAAATTGCCAACCACCGTAGCACTGTGCCCACGGATATATTTTATCCTCAAAGCCGCCATTGCCTGCCATCAAATGAACAAATTCGGGCCTGGAAGCCTCGGCAGGATTGATACCAAGTGTTTTGAATGCGGCTTTTGATATAGAGAGTAGTTCCGGTGGCTGCTCACATGGTTCGGGACGGACATAGGTGTAAAATGCACCTTTGACCATACGAGGACCAAGAGCTCTCCTTGGAGCTTCGGCCGAGCTCTCGGGGGTTGGGAATTTTGGGTCCGCTACGTGACAAGTTAGAAAAACGGACAGTTATTCAGTGAGAATATTGTTGGGATTACGTGGGAGCTTAGAGGTGAATATATTTGATTTCGGAATATCTTCCAGTGATACTCCAGTGAATACTTTCCCACACATCATATTATCTTGCAGCGGACTGCTTGTCACTGATGACGGGACGTTTGGAGTGGTGATCGAGTCGGTGGATGCCATGATGATAGTTGTAGAGAAATGGCGATGGAATTTCGAAGCGAGTTTTGCGATTCTCGCACAATTTAAGAGCATGGGTTAAACCCTTTATAAAAGAAGTAGAGAACAAATATCTACTTATCAAGTTTTGTAGGTGTGGAGTTCATGGAGTGGATGTGTGGTCATTGCGTAATTAAGGTTCGGTTATCGGTTGAACATAACGATGACATGATTGTGCTACATCAGATTTGCTTGTACCGCCAATCCTAGGAGACACAGCTAGTGTGGAGTACATCCCACCCACACATACACATACTAAATGCTAGGGGTGTGCCACTCGCGACCGCGAGCTGTTGGATTCTGAGTATGGTGGGCGCCACGATATCGGGGCCGGTAAAAGTACATGAACGTCAAATCTATCTTTTCAACCACAACACAATATATTTTTGATTAGAGGCTGTAGAATGACAGAGAATCAAGAGGATAATCATTCTACAGCCTTTAATTTAATTATCTTGTGTTGTGGTTGAGGAGATAGACTTTGAAGTTGGGTGAGTTTGGTAGGGAGACATGTCAACCCCTACCCATGCAAATTGTTAAGGCCAGATCAAAATCCACTAAAAATACCCCTGTCCATCACCATAAAGCACTCGGTTTATTACCAAAAGGGCGTTGATCTGCCATCTGTGAGCTCAAAAACACTTAAATAGGTGATGATTTACCTGATGGAGATTTTTACATGTGCCAAGACCGACCCCGATATCGTGGCGCCCACCATATTGAAAATATTGGAGCGGACTCTTTCCACCCCCTCGGTCCAGCTCCTCCAGCTCCTCCTCCACCCCCTCCACCTACCTCTAATTCCACCTCCCCTCCCCCCTACCTCTTCCACCTTCCACCTCCTCCACCTAGTGCTCCCAGTCATATCATATCATATCATTAATTATATTACAATTATACATAGACCTTTTTTAAATAAATATAATTATACAGAGACCTTTTTAAATGAATATTAGGGCGTGAACCGTAGAGCTTCCGTTGCTCAGCAATGTCATAGGTTTTGGTGGGGTGAACCGGTTGCCATGCAGGAGTCAGTCAGGGTTAGGGGTCACAGCTCTCGACCAATCAGATGCCAGAGAGTTTAGAAAAAATAGATCGAGAAGGCTAGGTGCGAGAGAAATGAGCGGCGACTCTTCCACTCTTCTTCTAACCGGTGGGTTCCATGGTTTGTTAAGCCACCGAGTCCCTTTAATAGCTAAATACGTGTACGCGTACAGATACACCATGTGAAGTACTAATGCAGGGCCCCTGTGGGGGATTTCGCGAGAGGGACAAATAGCAGCAGAGGCTAGAAGTGATACATAAGGATAAAATCAGATTTGATTATGAATTACCAATAATTATATAGTTGGTTGATGGTCCGGATGGACACGAGAATACCACACCACAAGTAAGGAACAGTGGCATTGCAATTATTCCTGAAATACAACATCCACTGCCTAACTATAAGAAAGCTAATAATCTTATTTCTTGGCCACTTCAAAGTATTTACAATCGGATGGCAGCTTATTAGAGTAGGTCTGAATCACTTATTGATACCATAACCTCCCTCCTGTCACAATCATATGAAGTCCTCCCGAAATCCCAGTAGGTTATTTTTCCGTCCCCTAACAGTCCGCAATAGGCATTATTTGGAACACTACTTGCTTGCAATATCCCGCGATTTTCTGATCGTAAAGATTGGAAACTACCCAAGGGTGTCAGATTTCTCGCAATAAACCATAGGGACAAAAGCGAATGGAATGTTACTCACAGGTACCACTTGCGCAAGCAAAAAAGAACTTCTGTGGTCCTAGTGCCAAAGTTCCATCATCACAAACAGACCATCCTCCGGTGTAAACAGAGCCTGACTGGGCTGGGGGCCCATCAAACTGGATTTGTCTATTGGCAACGACGGCACCAATTCGTCCTATCTGATCGGTCATGATTCCGTTGGTAACTCTGATTTGTAGCTGTCCAGGGGTAGCACAGATACGATGGAATCCAGGATATCCAACTGGGCCATATATACTCCTAAAGTTGAATTTTTCGCCATATGTGGACTGACACCCGGGTGGAATGCCTCCTGGAGGAACAATAGTCTCAAAGACGCCCTGAGGGAGAGCAGACGAGTTGACGCGAGAGAATATCGAAAGGGAAAGGAAGACGAAGAACAGAAATGTGAAATACATTTTGAGAACCGTGTGTAGAGTTTGATAAAGTCGATAAATCCGTTGGCCTTTGATCGATAATGGCTAATTTCTGGATTTCGGTAGATACTCTGAAAAGCCTGGGAGGTGATGGCGACGATGAGTGCTTAAATAAGTCCTTTCTTCTCTAAGTTGACAGATATTCTCATGTCACATATGTACAAGTAATGGATGATTCTAAGGATTACATATGCAGAGATTGTGCTGGAAGATACCCATACGTCACTCGAATATAAAAAGACCAAATGTTAATCGCGACGGGATAACCCTCGGAAGGCGTTAACGTGACCGTGGCCAGTTACAAAATTTCTGGCCAACTGTTGCACAATGTGTCCCGCCTGCAATCGGTAGGGTTTGTTTGAGACAATTGATATTTTCTCAATACGTACTTCAGCATGGGGATGAACAAGTATACACGCATGATGCTGATTCTTTTTTTTTTTTTTTTTTTGATAGGCGCAATAAGCTGGTAACTAGGACCGTTCTCCATTGGGTCATGAATTATCACTTGCTGCGCAAAAAAAGAAGAAAAATGAGGTCACTGGTGCAAATCCAAACAGAAATAAATTAGGTCATCTATACTATAATATATAGTGCTTGCGACCATCCTCGACATAAAATACCGTAAAAGCCTATTTTTTTGTTATGGTACACACCTTCCTATTTTATTTGGATATTCAATGCACCAAGTATCAAAAAAGAAAAAAAAATAAGAAAAAAACTAAACCCAGCAATGAACTTCCAATGGAAAGGCGTCCAATCCCTTTAGTTCCGCACTTGAACATTTTTATTCGTGGTTTTTGCCTTCTTCTTGGCCGGCGCCTCTGTCTCGCTCGGTGCATCTTCCATCTCCTCGTCATCGTCGTCCCCAACAGCGGCGGCTTCTGGGCCGCCTTCCTCATCATCCGACCCGCTACTTTCGTGGGCGGAATCATATTCTTCAGCAACATCAGACTCAGACTCGGCTTGGAAATCTTCGTCGACAGACTCTTCATCCTCATCAGCGGAGCCTCGGTCAGCACGGGCGACGGTAACATCCTCGTCCATGTCGTCGTCATCGTCTTGGAGAGCAGCAGCGAGGAGAGCGCTTGAATCATCAACGAGATCGTTTTTGATACGGAGGTTCTTGGTTTTAAAGAAATCTTCAAGAGATGATTGCTCTTCACGATTGATGTTGTTGAACTGGTACTCTCCACCACCGTCGCTTTGCTTGAGGGTGACCGTAACATCGAATGTCCGAGATGCCGACACAGATCCCCCGACACTATTAGCTGAGTTAGCACATCATCCATAGCAATTACTGTTATTAGACAAAACATACCGAGACATAGTGACATAAGCAACTCTGTCAAATGAAACGAAAACTGCAGGCTTGGGCACGAATAAGAATGCCTTGTCCAGACAGAACAAATGCCCCTCGTTGGCTTTGAGGGAACATTTTGCGCCAGACTGTTGATGATGACTGACGAAATCCCTTGATGGGCTGATGACCTTCTTTCCGGTCAAACCGCTGAAGATTTGCGACACGACGTTGTGCGCAGAGTTCTCGTAGTGCATCTGGAGCTTTCCGTCGTATTTTTCCTTTAAAACCTCCTCTGTTATGTTCAAATCGAACTCCATATCCTCCTCCCGTTTGAACTGCATCACCAAGAAAGGGTATTTTGTTTGACCTTGTCGTAGAGGGGGGTCCAACCCAATGACAATCATCTGATGAACATCATCAGGTTTAGGTAGTTGGAAGAATTGCTTGACATTGTCGTATTGAATCTTGTAATCGTATGTTCGGCCACGAAGACGGAAAGAGTTCTCGTACATGTCGATATCGTAACGACCTCTGATAAACTAGTTAGCATAACCAACAAACGAAGTAATGGCAGGGACGGATTATACCTGGGTGTAAGGAACAAAATATCCAGGAAGGTGGCGTAAGTATCTCCCGCAACCTCTCCGATATCTGCCTTCTCCTTCAGGGTATCGTAGAACAAGTTTGCAGCGCTCATCTCCTCGCCGGCCTCTCCATCCACATCGCTTCCCTCATCGCCTTCTCCCTTCTTGACTGTTCCTGGAACATAGAACCTCATCTCGACTAGCTGATCTAGGCCCTGTGAGCTCTTCTTCTTCTTCTTATTACCTTCCCCGTTTGTCGCTGCGGTGCCTCCATCGGCGGTAGCGAACTCCACAGCAACCTCGTTTTTACCGGCCAAATTCGAGTTTGACACCTCCGAGAATGGAATCTCGAATGCTGGCTTGTTGGCGACATTGAAGTAAAGCTCCTGCTTTGAGAATTCGGCCTTTCCCCAGTTCCATCCCTTGAGAGCATGTTCCCTGTGCTCGAGATTTACCTTGTAGTAGGTCTTCAACGTATCTTTAACTCTGTCAAGATCCTGCGGGAAAGACAGGCAAAGTTAGCAACAATCCCCCACCTAGCAGGAGCGGAAGCGATGCTGGCAGCATAATGGTAAGGTTAGATCTCGGGGGTGCCTTACATCCGACTCAAATCCATCAAGCTGCACAATCCCCATCGTTCTCGTAAAAATCTTCACTTCGTAGCCTCGGGCGGCTCTGGACCACTGTGCACTGCTGATCTCTGTGTTCTGGAGGGTCCAGGTATCGCCGCTCGAAGGCTTCCAGCCCATCCCGCTCGGGGCGAACCGACATCTCCCCGGCTGTCCAAGATTAAGGTAGATGTTTTCGAATGTCTCGTAATCGCCAGACATCTTTTTCGTCGTTATCTATTCGTGAGGTACGTAAAATTGGTGTGAAGAGAAATGGATGGCTGATGAAGTACTTTGTGCAGCAGGCGAGTTTGTTGTCGCGAGAATTGTGGCAGGCAGGCAGGGGGGGGGGGGGGCAAGCCATACAGCCAACGCGTCTCTGACTGCCAATGTTAAGCAGGGTAATTGAGATACGTGACCTTGAAATTTAAGCATTGGCAACCTCGAAACGCTCGGTCCCAGAACCAACATGAATATCAGCTACTTGGCAAGAAATCGCAGTAGAGGGTCACTGTTTTATCGTACGTTATTCCTGGTTAGTCCAAGAAGCTGAAGTAGCTCTGTTCACTGCTAAGTGACTCTATTTCCAAAGGCCTCTCTCTTTCCCGGCCATATTCCGAACAAAATGAACCTCATTGGCCGACAATCAGAAGGATTAGTCCTTCATCGAACCAGCCCCAAGGATTCCATGAGGCCGAAGAAGTAGACGCAGAATGGAATGACGGATCTGCGTTCGACCCTACAGACCTCCTGAAGAAAAGAGGATTGAGGTCACAAGTGTGGGACGACCCCAAGACAGGCACTGAAGCACCTGGCGGCCCTAATCCTTCCCTCTGGGCACAACCGGTGTGGCGTCCAGTTAAGTTAGCAAAACCGGTCCCCAGTGAGGGTAAGGAGGGAGACGAATCTACACCAATATATTTGAGGGAAAGCACAAGGCCTGTGGTTCCCGAAGAAAACGGAAACAAGCTCCTCCACCGGGCAGTTGATCCGTGGAACGAGGAGGAGGTCAAGAAAGTACTGGAGAAAGGCAATGCCGATATCAATTGTCGAAACTATTCTGGAATGACGCCACTGCACCGGGCTGCTCAGCAAAACTTGTCGGAGGCAGTAAAGACTTTACTAAAATTTGGAGCCGACGTAACGATAAGGGATAAAAAGGGATACACGCCTCTTCATCTTGCTGTAGCGCACAAGGCAAAATTGTCTATTCCAGCGCTTCTAGGTGCAGGTTCCGACCCGAATACCCAAAGCGATGATGGAGAAACACCACTTAACATTGCGATCAGAAAGAATTCCGATGTCATTGTGAGATTGCTACTTGATGCGCGTGCCAGGGTAAACCCCCCAGAGGGCACAAAGACCCCTCCAGTCCACCTCGCAGCAAGGCTCAAGCGGAAGGCCATCTTATCACTGCTTATGAAGGCGAATCCTAACTTGTATCTCCGGGATGCGCTTGGGAGGACACCCCTTCACCACGCGGCCGAAAAGGATGAATACAAGGGAGTTTTCATGCTCTTGACGAGACGCGACGGAATAATAGACATCCAGGATGATGAAGGGAATACAGCGCTACATTTAGCTCTGAAGAATGATTGCCAAACAACAACAGCAATGTTAGTACAAATGGGTGCTGATTACAATATACCAAGTCCCCAGGGCGGCGTGATGGATGAAATGTTAGTTGAGGTCGCCCTTGACAAACTCGGTAGGTCAATCTTTATCATTGAGAAGAGGATCGCACAGAGCTGATTTCTGTCACCATCAAGTCCGTTTTCGCGGAATACCTGGGATGAAGAACAAGTACTATGGCCCATTTCCGACACCGAGACCGGTTAAGCGGCTCAAAACAGGTTTGTTGACCTCCATTGTCGCCCCGAAATGAGTATATCATATTCTAAATGCTCTGTGTATAGCTGTAATGGGCGTGGGAGATGATTGGGCCGATAGAATGGCTGAAGAAAAAGAAGCGGCAAGACTCAGAAAGAAGGAGCTCAGGGAGCTTCGGCTGGGTACGTACAGAGTTGCAGCTCTCCTCCTTGTGCGCAATAAACTAACCCAAATCCTCAACCTCCAGAAAAGCACAAGGGGATCAAGGACAAGTGGAAATCACCATTTGTATTTAAGCAAGAGGACCGGCCCGGTGAATAAACGGAGAAGAGTTCTTTTAAAACCTAACGTCATTAATAATAATAATAAAAGGCCTGAACGAGCAAATGCACAACTCCCGGGGGTAGCAATCACGCTAGAGAATGCGGTCGTAGGTTCTTTCAATATGTTAACGGTAGTTTTTTCTAGGGGTAGTCCTGCTGTAAGAGGTATTCCCTCTCCCATCAATGCTTCTCGACTGCGTCACAGCCAATCACTCGCCGCAGATCTCACGTGACCCACACGATCAATGATTGATTGACCCGTGCGCCCAGCCAGGAGGCAATGAAACGACACGCCCGATCAATCTCACCCACCTCTTCCACCTCTCCCACACCCCCTCCCCCTCCCTTTTGAAGCCCGCGTGAAACCGGTATCAGCTAAACCTATTACTTCCGCCATTACCTTCGGCATTACAGGGCCAGTACGGTGGATATGGGGTCCACTCTACAACTACACAATACTCGGCTTAATAAATTGCAGCTGTACTTGCCAACCCCCAAACCCAAGCCCAAACACCCACCGAACCCTACAATCCACGCACCATATCCTAGATACAAGCGTGCGTCGGTGTAGGACGGGTAGGGGTGGCGAGTGTGGTGAGTGTATGTATAGGTCGTGGAAGGTGATTGGTACGTGCAGTGGTGGGATTGGTGGTTGTGGGGGTTTGTAATGTGTAATGGAGAGCGGTTGATAGTAACATATCAGTAGTGATATCCTATGATACGTCCACGAACATACAGCGGTATCTGATGTTGCCCGCCAGCTTACAGAGCTCAAAGCGGTGGTATGATAAGATTCCGCTGACGGGTACGAGACTATAAGTTACATGTAGTTCCCAGGACTTCACTCGAGCCTAAGTACTGTACCATCCGACCGGACCGATAAAGAGTTTCAATCAATTAGCAATATCTACTTGTATACACTACCTACTGTTTTAAAGACAAGCAGAGAGAGAGAGAGAGAAAGAGAGAGAGAGAGAGAAAGAGAGTATTAGAGATATCAATAAAGTGTAATTTAATTCTTCATCCTACGAGCCAACTATTTCCCACCACGACAAAAGACAAAAAAACCGCATTTCAGTTAACTAGTATACAGCCCACCACCCCCCTCGCCCATCATTACGAGGCCGCGGTAAAAAAAAAAGTGTAAAAAAAAGCCCAACCCCCCAACCTCGCCCCCTGCCCTGACTCAAACACCCTACTCTCTAAACCCCCTCCTCGCCCTGCCCCTCCCCCCTCCACCCTCTCCCCCTCCTCCACTCCCCCACCGGCACCCCCTCCCGCGCCCCCTACCCACACCACCAAACCCCCACCACCCACCCCCTCACACCCACCCCCCATGCCCCTCCGGATACACCGCGACATCGATCCAATCGCCCACCACAAACGCCACCTCACTCAGCGTCTTCCGCCCAACATTATCCAGCGCCGCGTCGCCGCCCGGCACAACCGCGCCAAGGTCCTTGCTGGTGTAGCGCGCAGACCCGTACCGCGTGTCGGCGTAGATGAGGCGGAAGCCGACGCGCGAGCGCGGCGGACACAGCGCGGGCAGCGTGGAGCTGAGCAGCATGGAGAGCTCGCTGAGCGTGCAGTCGCGCCAGGTGTAGATGGTGACGTAGGAGTTTGGTTGCGAGCGGGCGCGGAAGTCGTCGAGGCTGTTTGTGTGGTGGGGGGTGTTAGTAGTGCTGGTGTTGGGGGAGAGAGGTGGGGAAGGAGGAGGGAGGGGAGAGACAAACCGGTGGAAGCCGCCCTGGCGGTAGAAGAGCTTTAGGAGGAAGGGGGTTGTGGTCTTGCGGTCGACCTTGATGGGGGCGGAGACGACGTCGCCGGTGATTGACATTGCTTTTTGTGGTGTGTATAGATGGATAGATAGTCTTTGGGGGTGTTCTTCGTGACTTTGTAATGATGGTGTTGTTGATGATGATGATGAGGTCTGTCTGTCTGTCTTGGAGGTGAGTGAGGGAATGATGTTGAGGCTGGGAAGTCGCGTTGGTTGCAGACTACAATCTTATCTAATCTGATCTATCGAGCGCTCAAGGGTCTGGATCATGACAGCTATCAACAGCTCAAGCCACAGGTGCGAACTAGTGGAAACCATCTTGGTGCAGCTTTTCCATCACGGATTGGGGTGCGGCATAACAGGGCCCGTACCAGAGCAGCACTTCAAGTAAACAATATAGAGAAACCGTAGATTCATCCAGACACCCTAGTCCATTGACGATATTTATTACAGTATTAACCCCGACTGCTCCTACAACTCCCAAGCCACCCACCAACCCCCTACACCCTCAACAACCCGAAAAACAGCGTCCACGTCAAAATAAACCCCGCCATACTACTTCCACTCACCACCTCCGTCGTCCAGATCTCGCTCTTTCCCCTAAAGTACCTCTCTGGCCTGCCGCCGGTGTTCAGCGCGACCATGAACGCACTGACCACGCACGAGCCGACAAGGTAGAAGATGAAGCCCCAGTAGGACTCGAGCCCGAGGATGCCGGCGGCGACGCCAAAGAGCGAGCCTGTGAGCGAGCGGATGTCGGTTACTGTCTGCGGGGATGTTAGTGGGTGGATTAATGGGTGCGGCTAGGGGACTGGATGGATGGGTACCTTTGTGTTGTGGAGGACGTTCTCGGGGACGACGGGGTTGAGGAGGAGCTCGCGTTCTTCGGCGGCGGTGGTCATGGCGGCGGTTTGGATTATTGTATAGCGATTGTCTTAGGTTCTCGGTGAGTGCGTGTTGGGGGGATTTTCGTTGAGTATTTGAGGTGCGGTGATGTCGATGTGAAGCTGTGTGTCTTTCCTCTCGTTTGCAGATCCCACAGTCGCAGCTGCAATGTGTCCGCCAAGAGAATTCTAACCACACGCAGCTGAGCCTCTCCCCCACCACGACAACTCTCACGATCACCATCTCTCACCATCACCTCGACACCACCACCGCTCTCCATCGACATCTACCCACAGCTATCACAAACCCCAATTGAACCACCACAATGTCGCGCCACGCCCAGATCGAAGAAGTCTCCGACTCCGACCCCGAAGACATGGACATCTCCCTCTTCGACCCCCGCAACAAGCCCACCCTCCCCACCACCGCCCCGCCCTACACCCCCACCCCCTCCACCTCCGGCCAACCCCCCTCCTTCAACCCCGCCTTCCTCCCCACCTCCTCCGACCCCTCCACGCACTACGTCTCCGCCGGCTCCGCCACGCTCTACAAATCCTACCACTGCCTCTACCCCGTCTACTTCGACAGCACCCGCAGCCGATCGAGCGGGCGCCGCGCCCCGCGCGCCCTCTCAATCCCCAACCCGCTCGCCCGCGCCCTCGTCGACGCGTGCGCCTCTCTGCGCCTCAAGACCGTGTTCGAGCCCGGCAAGACACACCCCAAGGACTGGGCCAACCCGGGGCGTGTGCGCGTGCTGCTGCCGCGCGAGGGGAACGGCGCGACGGGCGACGTGAGCAGTAAGTTTGTGCTGTACCAGAAGGTGGGGGAGTGGCTGGTGGCGCATCCGACGGCGCCCGAGGACGTGCTGAAGGTGCGTATTCCGGGGATGCCGTTTGATGGGAAGGTGCCGAGTGCGCCGGAGGCGCCGAGGGGGTGGAAGATGGGGAGTGTGTTGCCGCTGCATAGTGCGGCGTTGAGTGGGGGTGGGGTCAGCGATGATGTGTTTGGGGAGATGATGAGGGATATGGGCTTGCCGGGGGTGGCGGGGCCGGGGGCCGAGGGGGGTGAGGTGGTGAAGAAGGAGAAGAAGGAGAAGAAGAAGAAGAGGTAGAGGTCCGGGAAGGGTTGTGGTCGTGGTGGTGGTAAATAGTCGTAATCATGGCAATTGAGTTTATTGTTGCTTCTAGCTGGGTCTCTTCCTTAGTTCCTGGTTGTGCAATTGTGACAATGTTGAGGTTTATACTAGCCTCCCCGTAATTAACTATTCTCATCAAACACGTTATTACCATCGCTATAATCAACATGTGGTACTGGTAGTAGGGTTTTAATAATAATAATATATAGCAACACCCGCCGAACCCGCCTTCAAAAACGATTGTAAAACGGAACACGTACACCCAAAGAACACACAAAGATAACCCCGGCCATCGTGAGCTAAATTCACTCCTACCAGCCCGTATTGTAGCTACATACTCAGTGGCTCCCAGAGCCTAGCTATTGCAATTGGAAAATAAGAACGGCGTTAGCACTCGATAACGGCCCATGAACCTACGTCCGTAACTCAACACCGGCACACGCTGTGGTTGATTAATTTATATATAATTACACTCACATCAACATCTTATTGTACGTGGGCCCGCTGATCAAAGAAAGGTTAGCCATGCCAACACTATGATCACAGTAGAGTATGTAGTAAAGTTAGCCAACTACAATTGGCCCCCCGTTGTTGCTGATGAGGGACTTAATATCAACACCTTATTATCAGTAGTGGTATTAGCAATCGCATATATGTCCAGCCCGCAAGATCATATATATATAACAATTAATAGAGGCCCGCGATCCGGCATGCCCAAGAATAACAGTTTTGAACTGAGGGTTAGTGACCTCCACCGCGCGCTAGTTCCTCGTGTTTGAAGGGCATGCATTGAACATACTAAGTTCTAGGGTAGGCGTGCGGTTGCCGGGAGCAGACGGCGTCGGGCCACGAGCAGAAGTGTTTCACGAAATGGTTAATTGAAATAAATTAGAATAATCAAGTACATGTAGCTCACTCAGCATCCAGCTCAAGTAACTTGCTGGTAATGTCAAGGATAGATCCATCTAACCTAGAGATTTCGTTCCCAAATTCAGTGGTCCCCTCAGGCTCCTTGAACTCCTCCTCTGTATTGGACTGTTCCCATCTTGCAGCTTCCATTTTAAAGGATAATATCACTTTTTTTTTTCCTCAATATGACCTTGCATCTCCTTCAAGAAATCTCTTTTTGAGATTTTTTCTTTGCAGTCTTTTTTGACATGGGGGATGACAGACTTTTCTGTTTGGGGGGGGGGGGGGGGGGGTGAGACATTTCTGTAGTGGGGTGAATTTTTTTTGATATTTGCTTGTAGTTTGGGGAGGTCTGCGTCCTCAGAATCGGAGATGGGGGCTAATTACTCAAAATCGCTTTCTTGGATTTTTGGAATGGCTTCAGCCATAACATAAACAGTTGTTGCAGGCCGAAATAATTCTGCCAATCGCATTTAACTTTTTGAATACACTGGCATCAGCAAAAAAAAAAAGAAAAAAGACGGCGTACCGTCTTGGGGCACCTGGGCGCCCAAGATGCCCCAGATGCCCCAAGACTTTTGCTTACCTGTAGACCGACGCCTGGGCGCCACGCGACGGTTCAAGAGGCAAGTCATGACTTTCCACTACAAGACGTCGTCTCATGACGGGTTTGTTTCCTGATAACTGAAGTTGTAAATTGTTGTTGGCGTGGTCGGGTTTGACTGTCCGCCACTGTAGCTAGCTGGCAATGCACACGAGTGATACCCTGTGACGCCCCAAGCGAGTGACAGATAATGACGCGGCGGTGTTTTTTTCTTCGTTTAGTTCATTAGTTGCATGCAACCAGCTTACAGTGATGGCAACGACCCCTGAACTGCCCCTTCTCATCCACCGCCTCTCGCGAAAACTGGACATATGAAAGTGAACATGTATGAAAGTCTTGGCCTATTCCCCGTCTCTAGCGTCCTTCAGCGTTTCCCACCCGTATCCCATCCCTCTCCTTTCTTCTTCCGCGCCCTCGTTCTTAAAGAGCTGGACGCACTGCGACGCGGCGGGTATGTGTTGGGCTTTACTTTATCTCTCGGCACGGTGGGGGGGGGGCAGGTGGTGAGGTAGTAGGGTGGTAGGGTGAATTGAGTTGACCTGGTTGTGTGGGCACGAATCCCCTCCCCCCCCCCCCCTCTCCCCCCGGGGGGCATTCTTCCAGTCTCAATTCCAACCCCCAGCCTGCAGCACGATACGATACAGGTTCATGGAAAGACACAGCAGGTGGTGTAGGGCTAGTAGCCAGCGGTAGTCAGCGGCGGCAGGAATGCCTCGGTTCGATCGTACGTACGGAAAGTTACCATCTAGGTTTGAAAGATACAGTATGTATATGTATGTATGTAGGCTGCATGCACACGACATGTAGAACGCATAAGGAACGGAAAAGCACAAGAAAAGGAAACGGAAGAGTAAATGGAAAAAGGTTACATGCATGCGCCCAGCGTCTACGTTCGTACGTGCTAGCCAGCCAGCTACTCGCTCGTGTCTATCGGTTTTTTTTGTACTACCTACCCGCCTACCACCACCCGCTCCCCAACCACTCCCGACCTCGCCTTACCACCACCGTTGTCCAAAAAGCACAAAGCAAAGAAAAGAAAAGAAAAAAAGGAACCACGAAGGAAAACAAAGAAAGAAGGAAAAAAAAAAAAAAAAAGGAAAAACCCAGCTAAAACTTATCCCAATTATCGTCATCCCACTCATCCTTCTTCTTCGCGCCCACCCCCCCACCACCACCCGTCCCACCGCCGTGGCCATGTCCGCCGCTCCCCCCAAGCCCCCCGCCCATCCCCCTCTTCACCGCCCCCGTCCCCAACGCACTATGACTATGCCCCCTCCCCCCCTCCCTCCCCCCCTCCTCCCCAAACGAATCCCAAAACGCCCTCCTCTCCTCCGGAATCCCCGCCCCACCACCACCCCTCCCCCCGCCATCAACAAGCCTCCCCAAGCTCCCCACCCCATCCTGCACCTTCCTCGCCAGCTCCGCCTCCGCAATCTTTGCCGCCGTCGGCTGGATCACAGCCTCATTCACAGTCTTTGCGCTGCGCGCCACCTGCGTCGTGAAGAACCCGAACCCCTTTGTCAGCGCGCCCACGGGGTCGCGGCTGAACTCGTCGAGCGTTGGCGCCTCCGCCGTGGTGGCGGTAGGGGTGGGGGAGGGGGAGGAGCCGAAGCCGGAGTATTTTCCGCCTTGGGAGGGGGGGAGGGTGGACGGGCGGGTGGCGTTGGCGGAGCCGAGGCGCGCGAAGAAGGATTCGTTGCGGTCTTTGGTTGGTGGTGGGGGGGAGGAGAGGGCGGCGGCGGTGGAGAGCGGGGTGGTGGTGGTGGTGGTGGTGGTTGTGCCGGCGGGGCGGACGGGGCGTGTCCAGGGGGTGTTTGTGACGTCGGCGCTGAGCTGTGGGGGGTTGTTAGTTTTGGTTGTGGGGAGAGGGAAGGGGAAAGGTGCCTTTTCTTTATAATCCTCCCCAAAGACACTACCATACAACTCTGCAATACTCATGTCCCCGCGGAAGCCGTCGGAGGCCTCAAAGAACTCCTTGCACTTTGCGTTTCCGCCGCTCTGCATGCGCAGGATCTCGTCGGGCTTGAACGAGTCCATGGTGATGCTGCGCACGAAGGAGATGTGCACGCCGAGGCCGCGGTGCACGCCGGCGCAGCTGAGGCAGATGAAGATCTAGGGGGTTGGTTAGGGGCGCGCGCTGGGGGAGGTGGTGGAGGGGGAGGGACGTACGCCGAACTTGGGGCTGGCCCATTGCGGGGCGGGGGCGTTGCAGTCGCAGCAGACGTTATTGCCAGGCTTCTTTTGCAGCTCGAGGAGCTGTGTGTGGGGGGGGGGGGGGGTGTTAGTTGAGCTTGAGAGGAGGGGGGAGAGCAGAGCTAGCCACCTTGCGCCGGGTCTCGGGGTCGATTTCCCACATTTTGGACATTGTGGGACGAGTGAGGGGCTGTGAGTGAGTGAGTGAGTGAGTGAGTGAGTGTGTGAGTGAGTGTGCGTGTGTGTGTGTGTGTGCAGGAGGTGTTGTGGAGCGGGCGGGCAGAGGTCTGTGGTTGTGCTGTTCTGTGCGAGGGAGGGACGTGTGTTGCTCGAGGGCGGGTGAGATGAGATGAGATTAGATCAGATGTGTGTGTTTCTCCCCTTGCATGAGAATGAAAGGAACAGAGCTGTGTGTGTGTGCGTGCAGTTACCCGGCCCCTAACAGGCCCATCCATAGCTTCATAGCTCAGATCTGCATTCTCGTCAACTGCCCATACACAACCCCCGCAAACAGCCCCCCATACACAACCCCCATACACAACCCCCAGCAAACAACCACCCCAACAACAACAACAACACACAATGGACTTCGCCTCCATCCTCGCCCGCGAAATCTCAAAAAAACGCAAAACCCCCCCCACCACCACCACCACCGACTCCCCCTCATCCCCCGCCCCCCCCCCCCCACAAAAAAAATACCTAAAACGCTCCGAAGTCGAATCGCAGCGCCGCGCCGCCTACGAAGCGCAGCAATCCGCCCTCGAAACCCACCGCGCCGCCAAAGCCGCGCAAAAGCGCGCCGCCGAAGAAGCCGAGTTCCAGCGCCGCGAAGCCACAAAGGCAAAAGCCAAAGCGCTCGCCGACGCCCGCCGCGCCAAAGCCGACGAGGAGAAGGCCAAGAACGCCCCCGCGGTCGAGGAGCCGCCGGAGGAGGCACAGGAAATGACGGACGAGGACGCGGTGGCCGCACTTCGGGAGCTTGGGGAGCCGGCGAGGGTGTTTGGCGAGAGTGCTGCCGGGCGGGTGCGGCGGCTGAAGCGGTGTCTTGCGGCTGCGGAGGCGCGGAGGGTTGCCTCTGCGCCTGCGCTCACGGCGGAGGAGATGGTGCTGGATATGAAGGATGTGGGGGTGGATGATGCAAAGGTGTACCGGCAGCTGAGCGGGTGGTTTGCGCTTGTGCTGCGGGAGTGGGAGCTGGCTTTGGAAGCGCGGCCCGAGGCGGTCAAGGAGAGTTTCCAGGGTAAGGCCGCGGCAAGGAGTATGCAGCAGGCGAAGCTGTATATGGGCCCGCTGTTTGTGCATTTTGGGAATCGGGATCTGAAGAAGGAGTTGTATACGAAGATTTGTGAGATTGTGGTGGAGGCGCAGGCGAGGAGGTATGTCAAGGCGAATGATCTGTACTTGAGGCTGAGTATTGGAAATGCGTGAGTTTCTCTATTGTCTATCTTGGCTTTCGTGCGTGTTTGTGCTGACGGGGTGGATGTGTAGTGCCTGGCCGATCGGTGTCACCATGGTGGGTATCCACGAGCGTTCGGCGCGCGAGAAGCTGCATGAGAAGGGCATGGCCGCGCATATCATGAGCGACGAGGTCACGCGGAAGTTCCTGCAGAGCATCAAGCGGTGCCTGTCCTTCTGCCAGACGCGGTGGATCCCCGAGGATCCGCTGCAGATGATGGGGTAGTCGATATAGCATGCATATTTGGGGGGGGGGGGGGGGGCTCGGAGTGTAATGGATTTTATTTTTATTTTTATGGCTTTTCCCTTTTGTGTCTATTTTTTTTTTCCCTTTTCTTTTCTTGTGAGCTTAGATTGGTAGCTAGCTGCAGGGGGGACGATCCCTTTATCCAGTGGCTGGTCTGGACACGAAAGGTTTGCATCGTTGCGGTCAATGATTATATGTAGTCATAATTATGAGCTAGGATTCAGGTTTAGGGTGTGTGCATACATTAATCTGATATTGCCTGCACTTCTATCATTTCCACTGGCGCAATTAAGCCCCCGGACGGTCCCGTTCCCATTGTGCGTCGGCCAGGTGCCCGTACCTACACCCATACCACTCTTGGTACCTGTATTGAAGAACTACATATATTCCTCCTTCCCCCCGAACCCCACCCCCCCTGCCCTCGGTAGCTGTGGATTACCTGCGTATATCGGCCCTACCTACAAGTGCTTTAATTGCCATATTTGATTTTTTTTATTACAATTAACCCGCAGCAACTTAGGAGGTTTCTAAGCAGCTAGGCCTCGATCGAACCGGCCCCATCTCCTCTGAAGTAGTGGCAACGTCCTACTAACTGCTATATACCCGCGCGCGATCGGGCGCGTTATTGAACTACATGTATATATGCTACCACGGCCGGACCTGTTGCTTGTGGGTACAGTGAGTGGCTGCTAGTATAGTATAGTGGAGCGGGTGGTAAATAGCTCGGATCGGCTGCAGATAACATCTGCGTATACATAGCGAGAGATATGTATATAAGGAGATCTATGAGCCAGGGTAACTCTGTCCTGCGGCCGGCGTCTGCTTTAAATTGGGGCGCCGTTGGGCTGCATTTTAAATTTCGTGGCCACTAGCCCGCGGCCGCTCCATCCCCACGTACAGCCCGTCGAGCACAGGTACCCGCGCGGCCCTAAATACACTACATAATGTCCGCAAGCAGACCTCCGAGACTACATGTACCTCATCTATCCTTTTTTACTATCCCCCTCAGAAACCTCCCCGGTACAGGTTCTTTTATAGCTACATGTATATATGATAGTAGCTAGATGCATTGATATGGTGGCCAGAAATTAAAGGAGTCTTCAGTCTACGATTGTGGCGCTGGAAAGATCAAGGGTCTGTGTTGTGGACGGGCAGGGCACGGTAGAGCCGTCGTGAGAGGGGGGGCCGTCTAGGAATGGATTGGAACCTTTGCTTGGCGTTAAGCTCTGGGCTTTGTGACAACGAGTGATATTCTGTGTAGCGGTGTACGTCTCCAGTACACTCCATTCTATGGAGTCGCAGATACGTGTGCCGATGGCAAAAGGCCATGTTTCGGGTTTCAGAGACGGTGGGATAGTGGACACGTGGGCGGCTGGGTGTTGGTATAAATATCGGCTGTTCCGCCTCCTCTTCTGCTTTTTATCATCGGATTCATAGACTCCCTCTGTGGTCAGACCATAGCCTTGAGGGGCAACCTGACAGCGCATTTGCCTCGGTGGTTCCGCACGTATTTTCTCCGCCGCACAGATAGGAGAGATGAAGGTGCTGATATTCCTCTAGGACATTCCTGACATGTTTAATTACATGTTTGCGTGTGGTGAGGGCCGTTTCTGGCCGGAAAGGAATGCTAATTACGAATATATGTGATCGTTTGGGTGCGGATGCTTTCCCCCCACCCTCGCTCTCTCTCGAGTTTCATTTGTGGACTTTACGCCTGTATCCGGTGTTATCGCAGGAAAGTGGCTTCAGGAAAGCCGCAGTGGCAGGGGTAGAGGCTTGGGACGGACTATTGTTTTCCTAGTGAGTTTGTGATTCAGCCAAAGGGTATGTATAAATCCGTCCTCGGTGTGAGACTTGGATGCTCATAAAACTTCAAATTTAGTGTGGTGGTTCTTCATCTGGGGGAAAAGCTTCAAGCTATGTCCCACCAAGCGAAGAATACTGTGGTATCTGGCGTTCGGGGTGAAACACGCTGGTATTGAACCTCGTAGTTAGTAGTAATCACCGATAAATCTCGAATGTATTGCTGATGGTGTTAGATTCTCTTTTGTTTGAACGCTTCGAAGCAAATACCAGTGCGTCTGGTCTGGATTTTCGCACATCGTGTCGTGCAGGGAAATCCCTTAGACAATCAAAGTTTGTGCTATATATTCATTAAACAGTCCATAAATCCATCTAACATACGTTCAGATCTAGATACGTTCAGATCTAGAAATCAAACACCTGATACCTGTCCTCGATGCATTCAATATTCAACAAACAACAGCAGATACCATAGTACCTCTCCCAAGACTGACATAGCGCATAGCAGAGAAGTCGTAAGGAAGGAGGTAGAGGACGCAATTACAGTAGCGCAAAAGCAAATGACACGATACCATAATAAGGGGCATGCTGAACCCGATTACTCCTCCGGATACGCATACACCTCACATCACTGGAACCGGCACCTAGGCCTAAAGACGACCCTCACGAGAGTGTGGCGCACGATTACCAAGAGAGAATTTCGCGACCACTGATTGCTATCCTTACAACGAGAGTATCACTATATGCAGTATCAATAACGAGAGTCGACTCTCTCATAGGGTTTTGGTGATTGATTATCATATGCAATAAGTTATTAATATGAGTATTTTTAATCATATTCTTGCTGAATTAGTAGCAAATAAAAATTCAATACAGTAGTAAATCCGCACGATTTTATAGTACTAAACCTTAGGCCATAGGGCATCACCCCGACGAACGAAAAGTGGATTTACCAAACAGATATTGTCCAGCTAGTATGAGGGGCACTTTGTAACATGAGGGCATTCGAGATTGAACGTATTCACTTGAGGGGCATTCTGCAACCTTTCCGTAGAGATAAATGCTTGAGCACTTACCCAAGCTCTCACAACTATGCCTAAGGTGGGCTTCCAAGTTACGCTTAATATCGACTTCTTATATGGATAAATAAGCAATAGAGGGTAGATTCTAACCTCAACGACTCAGATACCTTTCTCAATTCATTCATAATGCTTCCACGAGCTCCAGTGTAGGATTGAACTGGTTGGGACTCGACGGTAACAGAACTGGACCTGTTAGGGCCTAAAGATCGAGCTAATGTTTAGAAGCAACAGCTACGTAGTATTTTTGTGGTACATAGCGGTGATACTAGTACATCTAACTACTTAGAACATGTACTACTAATAGTGGTGGTAAACGTACATGTTTATTGTAATAAGATGTGGATATAATTAGTATATTTACATGTACAGGATGTCGTGGTCGAAGACCATGGCGATTTTATGATCTCTTGATTTTTGAGGCAGAGAGCTACGATGTCATTATTGTACGACTTCCATAAATAATAGAGCGTGTTCTATTGCAATAGCGGGTGGTTCTTAGATAGACCGGGTTCCCATAAGCAAGTGAGATTTCCTATCCGCTGGACCTTTCTATTCATTTACTAAGGCAGATAGGGTGAACTTTTCCTATGTAGTCCGTTCCTTGTTCTAACTGAAGGGCACAACAGTATCTACTTGAAGCAACGTTTAAGTATGACCGGAATTAAATATAGTAATAGTAGGAATAGGTGCTAGGGATTAAGTCTCTAATTTATTCGACTTTATACTTGGTATTGATCCTTTAGACTTAGTAGCAGCTCTAGGGTTAAGAATAGCTTTTGTGTACCATTAATGGCAATACGGGGCAGTCATTGCAGTACTGTCTTGTACATATAGTCCGTGGTCCTAATTCTTCATGACCAGTGCTGTGCTAATTGGCTCGACCTATTAGGCTTATCTAAAGTCAGGTGTCTGTGTCATCACGAAAGGTTTCGATTGGACGGTTAGTTGCCTCGGATTTCTGCGGTCTGGCCACTTACAGCTGCCAATAGACAAATAGTAGGGTGCGTTAAGGGAGACGACATGTATTAGCAAACTTCAAGTGCTACTGTCGTGATATATAATAGCCCCAAGATCAATATTTCTTCTCTTCCAAAACTACAACCTCACGCTGGCGAGGAATCGATGTTTTATTTCACATCATTACACCGAACTTTATGTTTATCCGAGTCATTGAACAGGGCTGTAGGTTTTCTGGATCCTTAAGTTATCGGCGGTTCCTCGAACTGATGATTAGATATGCGGCTGGAGGCCGCCCCTCACTAGTAGTACCGCCAAAACTCGAAAAATTGGCTATCTCCGGCCAGGGATTATCACTCGAGTGATTGGTTGAATGGCATCGATCTGCATCAGAAGTTTCCCATACAAGTAATTTCGATCTCTGGAAGCTAGCCAATTTTTCGAGTTATGGCGGTACTACTAGTGCTACCGTAGCTAACAATAGTAACCGTGGTACGCCAGGTGTTTGATATGAGTATAGCTAAACTTATCCCATGGACCGTAATGTGACGATTTTGCACCAAATTTCGTGCAAAAATTATGTCATGACAACGCTGTGGTCAACCAAACATTATCTACCCCTCTTCACCCCTAGTCTGTAATAATTATGATGACATTTAGATTACAAGCAATGACATCACTTTTTTATTCGAATTTTTTTGAATTTTTTTGACTATAAAAACCTTGAGTATAGTTGTGTGATTCCTGGACTTTTATCAGACAGCGATAAACAGATACTACTAGAGTGATTTTAGTAATACTCAACCAATTCCTACCCAATCCCCACGAGTAAGGGCTTATTTTGATCCCTACTACCACCTCCTTCTATCTGCGCCCTCGAAACTTGCCCTATAAGCCTTAACAATTCACAATCTCAATTCTTCCAAGCCCCTCATATATACCTACTACCTCTGACAAACCTACATATATCTTGAGATCAATGGGTGATAGAGTATTGCGGCCTAGGCCAAAACCACTATCATATATGGTAGATTCAGATCAGGAAGCCTCAGGCCCATCAGAAGTCCATAAGGCTGTCAATAAACCCCAAAAGCCAACAATCCGCTCGATCACGAAATATCACTCGGCATCGAGACTGGAGGAGAATCCTTCTCCATTGCAGGACAGACTACCTGATGTCCCAGAATTCACCCCGATGAAAGAATACTATCCTGTCCACGCTGCTTACAATCAATTACCCCCTGCTCTCAATGGGTTGGCAGCTACCCCCATTTTAATATTCAAATTGTTCTTCCCAGATGCGCTATTTGATACTCTGGCTACGAATACCAATTCATATGCGAGATCCAAGAGGGAGGACCCACTAGCTACTGGAAGGAGCTGGGTAGACATATCTGTCAAAGAGCTACGAGTATGGATTGGTATTTGTATATATATGGGAATATTTAAGTCACCTGCTTTGGAGGATTATTGGAAGCATGATGGGCTTCATCCACTCCACCCTATTACCAAATACATGAGCCTGACTAGGTTTGAGCAAGTCAAGCGCTATCTGCATGTATCCCCAGTCAATATTCCAACCCATACAACAGATGGCTGCCGCCTCTGGCATGGAAAAATTGACATTTTGCTTGATCAACTGTGCAAATCTTCTCAGGCCTACCGGGTACCTAGTACAAATATCAGCATTGATGAAGCTATAATCAGATGTACAGGTCGCTCATTGGATACCTATAAGATGCCCAGCAAGCCAATAGAACATGGGTTTAAGTTTCATTGTCTCGCAGATCATGGGTATATATGGGATTTCCATCGCACCTCTAATCAGGTTGGGCCTGATCCCGTACCTACAATTGAGGGATTGACACCAACGGGAGAAGTGGTATATTTTCTTGCAAGCAAGCTACCAAAAAGGAAAACATGGCACATATACTTTGACAATTATTATACAAGTCTCCCATTGTTGGAGATATTGAGGGGGCGGTTGGATGTGGGTGCATGTGGGACAGCTAGGCCTAGTTCAAAGGATTTCCCTCAAATTCTTGCAATACCGAAGAAAGATGTAGGGAAGGTTCCTTACCACTTCAGGGCAGGGATGGTAATTAGAGGGGTAGGGGTTTTACTATGGTTTGATAATGCCCCGGTAACAATGATGACTACAATACATCATCTGAAGGGGGAACAAGCCGCTGTGATGAAAATGAGGAAACGACCCGGAAGGAAAAGTACTAATAATAAACAAGCACTAGCCGAATTTGGAGACAACCAAGAGAAAGAGCTAGAGATTCCCGCATCTTTCAATGACTACAACCACCATATGGGTGGGGTGGATATTGCTGATCAATATAGAACGTACTATGATACCCAGTTGACGACATTCCGGACATGGTTCCCAATTTTCTTTTGGATTCTAGACACAATGCTCATCAACGGATTCCATATACTGTCAACCATTGTACCTATTGAGCACAAGCAGTTCCGCCTACAAGTAGCTTGGGATCTCATTCTGGAGGGGTCAAGAGTGGGGGAGGTTGAAGGAGGGAGTATTGGGAAGTGCAAGTCAACAACCACAACTCTTGCTGAAACAAGCTCCAAAAAACACAAGTATGTGACAAATTTAACTATGCTACCACCTTCTAGAGGCGATGGAGAGCATCTACCCGAGCCCTTTCAAGGCCGTGATGAGTGTTGGTTGTGTAGATATAAATTGAAGGAGGCAGCGAAGACTGGGACTAGCCCAGGGGGGAGGGGACATAAAACTCAATGGCATTGCCCAACATGTGAAGTACCACTCTGTATGGTAGCTAGCCGCAATTGTTTCACTGAATTTCATAAAATGTAATTATTCTATTCCTCGAATATTATCTATCAAGGGCTGGAGGGGTAATAGGGGATTCGATTTTTTGCACTAAATTTGGTGCAAAATCCGCTACGGTCCATGGGATAGCTACCAACCACACCACCGCATCATCCCACCACATAGCGCCGCCGCACAACCAACATCGGGACCCGCAGCGACCGGCGTAGATATAGCGACACCATACCTCACGGCCTGTAGTTAAGGTTCTATCCGGGAGAACACCGAACAAGCAATCTCAGACGTCTATTGAAGCAGAACCGGGAATGGAGCTGAAACGTCCAACACGTATGGTCAATACGGAGGTGTAGCCAACTCCAACATTTTGAATAGAACCTAAATAGGCATCCTGCGTATTATATATCGCTCCGAATCATATTTGGGATTGACCATACTGCCGTGATGACCATACCCCACTAGTGAAGGAGTCTATCCTCCATAGTGCTGGGATATCGCCGGCGCTCGTCCGGCCACAGCCGGTCAGCGCATTTTCAGGTACAACCGCCCTTGATGCTTCTAGTTGCATATTCTATTGCAACAGCTGGTGCTGCAGAAAACGTATAAACTCGAGACCTAACTCCTTTACGCCATGCCCTTTTAGGTAGCATATCCCTGCTCAGATACGTCGAGTGATAGTACATGACCAAGCTAAACGAATGATGGGTGGCAGCAAACGATAGCAAAAGCCATTCCTCTAGCTTCTTGAGTGCTCGATTATTCTTAGTGTATTCCCAAACTCGGAAAATGCGGCCTGATAATCCTGTTTCCATTTCAAATGTCATCCGACACCTGGCATTATCGTAAAGAGAGTAGCCCTACGGAATATATCCTCGCACGTACAGCCGCATTCGAAAAGTACTGGCACCCTACTATATTGAGTCGTTCATGAATTATGGCCCACCAAAAACCATGGCACTCGCGCATACTCAACTTATTGATAGGTATGACCGCAATAGAGACATTGCAGCTCTCTCTGGCAATTGTCTCGAATATGAGAATTGAAAAGCAGAAAGGACTGCCTCGTGAGTTTGGCTCGGAGGTGCCAATACTTTTCAAATGCGGCTGTACGTTACCTTTGTATAAATGGACCAGGGGAGCCTCCAAAATCCCAAAAAAACCCGTACCAGTTTTTGAAGAAGCTCCGGATATCCTCCTAGATAGATGCCAGAATGATTGAGAGATCATCTTTTAAGGAGATGAACACTTCGCGTCCATCTCTGATATTTATTTTCACAGACTTAAGCTCTATGGATCCAGATTTAGAGGCGTGATTCGCCCAGTTTTAAAGGCGCGTCAACATGTAGGCTAATCTTGAATCCAGGTAAGTTGCGAATCAATAGAACTTAAGGACTTATCTGTAGCCGCCAAGTTAAGGATTAAACTGCGTTCGCGCCAGAAGGCTTTGATTCGGTCGAGCCGCATCTCATAGGTGCCCATAGGAGGCGCTCTATTCGGTAATTCAGCCTTTGGCGCGCACGCGCTATTTGTTGTCCCGCACAAACAAGCACACTGCGGGGTGTCAGTTCTTCGTAGGCCAGAGCTAGAGCCTCACTTTTATTTCACCCCACGACGTCGGCCAGGCGCCAACTCTCTGTGCCCATCCCCAACATTCTGTTCTTCAATTCAACCGCTATCACGAGCTTGAAATGTTCAAGATCTTTTCGCAAAAGAAGGTATTTCTTGCCAAGTTGGTTTGTCTTCTCAGCTCTGCTTGCCAACTCAGATAATAACTCGTGCTTGATCATATTCAGAAGTCACGATCAAACGAAGCTGTCGAGCGCGAGGCATTCGGCCTAAAGGAGTTTTCTGCTGGGATAAACCCGATTATAGAGTACGTTTCCCTCCCAACAAAAACATAACTAGCATGTAGTCGTGTTAATCCGTATATAAATCGCTTCAGCATTGTTGCAATTCATGGCCTCAACGGCCACCGCGAGAGGTCCTGGACCGCCGATAACGGCGTGAATTGGCTCAAGGATTTGCTGCCGGAGAAGAGCCCGAATGCGCGTATCTTTAGCTACGGGTACGATTCGAGGACGCATGGTCCGGTGTCGGAGCAGCATCTGCATGATCACGGTGTGGCGTTGGTGTCGGATCTGAGCTTGGTTAGGAGGTCGACGCAGGTAAGCTTGGTGTTTGGATAGTTTGAACTAGCTTGGCCTATCGGTTGGTGGGCTAGTGGTTGGGCCCCAAGATAAAAAAAATCTGACATGGCGTGGTACATGTGTAGACGGAAGGACGACCAATAATCTTTATTGCACATAGTTTAGGCGGCATCATCTGTAAAAGTGTAGGTTTACCCTTTCCTCTGCTTCGATGGATGTGGCTGGTGGCATGATGAGTTAAGCTAAGTCCTCAAGGCCTTAATACACGCTAGCCTGGCAAATAAGGACCACCTCGTCGCTCATAAAGACATTCATCTCTCCACGTACGGCATCATGTTTTTTTGGGACCCCCACCAGGGTGGAAACGACGTCCCGCTGGCCAAATCCCTGATTAACATCGCATCGGTATTCATCGATACCAACACAAAACTGCTAAAGCACCTAGAGATGCACTCGGAGATGCTGGAACATCAGAGCAGTTCAACTCAATCAGCGGCCAGTTTGAAACAAAGTTTCTGTACGAAACTTATATGACGCCGACCCCTGCGGGGAAAAAGTTGGTAGGTTCTTTCTTCTTTAGTCCCCACCCCCGCCGCCATAACCTTGCTCAGTGTTTTCTCATGGACTGCATGTAGATTGTACCGAAGTTCTCCGCGGTGATACCAGGCGCAATCAACGCCGAGGAAATTGGGATTAATAGAAATCACCGCGAGATGGTAAAGTACCGATCGGAAGAGGACGAAGCGTTCCGCAAGATATATCTTACGATAAATCTTATGATAGCTAGTGCGTTCCCGCACACTATCGAGAGACAGAGACAGCTACAGGAGGCCGAGCAAGAAGAAACCGACTTAAGGTAGAGAATACTACCGGGTGTAATATCGGGTATAGGGTGTCAACGCTAAGGAACTGCACTCTAGCTGGGCTGTCGCATATGCATGAGCCGTCGGCTGGAATATTGAGCTTATTTCTGGAGATTGGAATATGGTGAACAGGGAAGACTTTTTTTTTTTTTTTTTTTTTTGGTTTATTCGTTACTAGTTTCACCGTTTTTCTTTAACTGCTCCAAACATTTCTTAATAGCTTTCAGATAGAGAGAGTGATCGAAAAACCCTTTCTAAACTATAACGTACGACGTGGCATCTAAATTCGGTGCAAATCGTTGGGTTCAGTTTGGGCCCGTGGGTAGGACATCATATATTTGCCCAAGTTCAAACGGTCTGGAGCTACTATTATAAAACCTGTCGAGCTTTAAACAAGGATTTATTCGCTCGAGACACCACCCCAGAGAAGAAGAAAAATCGTTGGGTTAATAACAGAAAGATTTCGTAACCGAGTGATATATGATGATCGAGTCCCCGATTAGGTTACAGCAGAAAAGCACCTGGAACTCCGTTAAACGCGCGTTAGCAATCGATTTATGATAAGATATATCGTGTACAGGTCAAAGATGGATATAAAATTATATTAGGGTTTGTGCTATGTGAGTTGGACACCGAATATCCTTTCAGTGATTCCACACCTCTAGTTATAGAGATTCACCATTTTACAAATAGTCTCGATCATATAGGCCTTTAATAAATCTTTCTTAATAACTATGCGTGTAGGACTACAATAGAAGAGACACCTCCAGGTGCAGGGTTGGTTTCTATGTATAATCTTGTAATAATTTGCTAACATTGAAATTTCCTACTAAATCCCGCGCGCTTAACCTTAATTGGTAGGTGTATCGAGTGCGATATCATGATTAACATCAAACGGTGATTGCAGCTAGTATTGCAATAATCACACTCCTAAAATACACATTCTAGGCCAGTAACCTAAACGCTCCCCGCCTTCTTCTCAAATCCCGGTAGCGTGATAGGCTCTGACTTTCCACTCTCTCCCCAGGTCAAAGCGCCGACATGCGGCTGCACATTCCAGTGGAATGTCAGCGTTACATTAGTCCTCTCCGCCATCTTCCCAGTGATATCGTTAAGCTTGTATTTCGGCTTCTGGTTCTTGAGGTTGATTTTTGCCTTTGCGGGGGTGCTGATGATTCGGTCCCAGATCACGACTTCGTTCTCAGTCTGTAAAAATTAGCGATCTGAAGCTATGCGATTAAGAGCGCGCGGGGAGTGAAGCGGTGGCGGGATATACAAATTTCTGGCCTGGGTAAGAGACGGAGACATAGGCAAAGACCTGCTTGGTGTTCCAGTTGAAGAGGGGTTCCAGATCTAAAATTGTTAGTCCCCAAATCAAAGCGCAGGGAACTCGAGTGAAGGGGAAGTATCTTACCGGCTTCAAGGTCGAAGTTAATCGCTGCGAGCTCATGAGGTTTCGAGGAATGGTATTGTCGGACTCTGCCTTTCGTTCTATAGCACACCATCAATATCCGCCAGCTTTAGTCAGGTCGCGCTTCACGTACACTTTGAAGTTGGTAATATCTACAGCTGTGCCAGCTGTTGGTTCTGTTGGAAACAACACGCTTGACAGAGCTACCAGCGATGCGACACAGAAAGCAACCGTTGTGAAGAACCCAAAGACATTCTGAACGCGCACGAGTGAGGAATGCATATTTTGTTCGTACGGGGTGATGGTATGTGGGTTAGTGGTTGGTGGGACACGGGGTGGTGGAGTTGTTGAGAGAGGTTTGGCTTGTGGACACCGTCGTCAATTGTGGATTGAGGCTCAAGTTCGTCCGGGCGCTAGTCCTCCTTCGGTGCTTGAGTGTCAGGGTTTGTCAAAACGCCCGATATCTAAGATCCTCCAAATCACACGAGAGAAAGAAGACCTACTTTAGGTAAGCCATTGAAATAAAATCATGTCTAATGCAGTAAGAATACGGCATTACTACGGTATTCTTTTTGAAATGCCATACTATTCACTAAATCCCGCAGTCATACAGTACTGATTTCACCCCGTTTTTTGATCGTATTGTACTCGGGCGTTCATTAAATGGTCGGATATCATTGCAACTAAGAATTCCGACCATCTAATGAACGCATGGGTACATATGTGGATTATATTTATGGTCACCCCATATAAATAATCCCTGTATCATTACTTGCGTTTTCTGGTTCTTAGCCCGAGGAATGATGTGGTGTGTGCAGTGTAATATTTCTTGAATCCTTGGCGTCTGCCTTAAACTCACTCTCCCCTCTTTAACACGGTGGTACTCCTGTTACAGTATTTTCATTTGACTACTCGGCGATACATTTCTACATCAGAGAAACTGCTATCGTCGTCATCGACACTGTTGCAAAGGTCTTATATATGCTTTAATTTACGCCCGAGATCTGTATAATTGTTTGCTAATACATATTTATTACCTAGAACACGATGGCCGATATACCTCCAGGTTATGCAGTACTCTCCCGAGTTGATTACAAAAATACAGTTTTCAACCAATTTGTATGTCCTATCGAGGAAATAGCAACATACAAAGTGAGTCAACCGTCGATACCGATACTCTATTATAATTTATGGCTTTCTGAGAAAAATAGGGTTTGAAGGCTGCGGTTCTTTTTTTTCTGGCCGAAGGGCACGATAGGCTTCTTGGACCCCGAAGATTTCCAAATCATGACACCAGGAGGGTATATAGTGCACGCTAAGTACTGGGACGACTTTTATGAACAGCAAAAAAAAAGATATTTCATATTTGTTTTTGCTAGCCCAATACCACCCCGGGTCCCGGCCTACTGAGATCGATAGGAAGTCCCGCAATCTGTAGCTATGGGAGGGCTGTGCTATATGGATATGGTGATTGTTATATGAGGATAATGCGATATCAGATTCCTTAAGTTGGTTTGAGTGGGGTTGGGGGTTGCCCGTTTGGTCGGTGTAAATAATCCATGTTAAGGGCTCAATGATACTACCGGAAGATCATGTATATGGTACATACTCTAGATAGACCCTGGTCTCGTTCATTTAGGCAACGATGCCAAGAATACTTCAGTCACACGCAGATAAATGTATGTACTGTTTAGGGGAATGAACTATATTTCTAAAGCATTTAATTAAAAGAAGGCGATATACAACATTAAAAGTTTTCTTCACGTTACTAAAGGGTCATAACTAATCGGAGTATGGTTGAGCAGAAACAAAGATTATAAAGAGAAAGAGTTGGGACTATTGAAGAGTCACCCTCTAGCATAACTATATTCGAATCATAATGTTTATAGCATTAGATAGAGCGGCCTTGGGACGCCCTGGGATAGCTTCGAGGTAGCGCTCTCCTTGAAGCCAATGTAGGCCAGACGTTGGTTTCCGGTCGTGACACTCCAGCTCTTGAGGTCATAATATGAGGCGATGGCATGGACCAACCAGCGTCTAAAAAATTCAGTATCCACTAGCCAGTATGTGATATTGGGGGGGAGCTTACCCAAAGGAGGCACTAGGGTCTGACAGCAAGCTCTCAAAGAGAACCTTCTCCGTCACCCTCACATCTGCAATAGACAATACGGACGAACTCATATCCTGTTGTCTTTGCTGGTATCTCATCTTCTTGCTAATGAAGACAATCTCCTCGTCCGACTCATCCTCCACGTCCTCGATATTGACATGAACCGGACTCTCTGGACGTTCATGCTCCATCTCGCGAGCGGTTTCTTTTTGTTCACCGAGGATGAACTTCCTTACTTCCTCCTCCAAAACATGAAGTAGATCTACAGCAGCATGGGAACGCTTCAAGCGAGCCTTCAGCTCCCTTGGAACCTTATCAACAACCTCCTGCTTGGACTTTGCATTGCGTTGATGTCGCTTTTGAAAGGCAGGAGTATCCCACAGGGAGGCGAATTCGTATGGAACATGCTTCTGGGAATGCAGAGGCCTAGGCTCCCAATCTGCGGCTGAAGGAGGCACAGCATGGGGGTTTGAAAGCAAGCGATCTACACAGCATTAGAACATGAACTACCAAGAGCGCCAGTGTAAAGATATGCCAAGTACCATTCTCCCAGCGTTGGCGACGCCGACTACCCTCCTTTCCGCGCAGCAATGCTTCGCGACGTTTCAAACTATCTCGGCGTTCGGTGGAGGCTGCTGCGGCACGACGAGCCTTTGCGGTGGAAGGCTGTGGTTCGGGGTTGACGTCGAGAGGGATAGTTAGGGTAATGCCAGATGTGGCAAAACTTTGAGTATTAGGAGGAGTAGGGTCGACGGGAGCGGGGGACAAGGGATGGATAGCCATGATGGGTGGTGATGTTCTTCAATATGGTTGGGAAATGGAGGTTGAATACCTGATATAGAGGGGGAATGTCGACAATTGAAATGACAGAATAGGATCACCTATAGGCTAGAAAGGAGAGAGAAGGGGGATGGAAGGGAAGTTAATTGGGGGGGTGGGTGGTAAAGATAGATGGACGAATAAAATGGATGGGGGTCAGAACGGGGGGGCCGATATCGTGGATGGCTGAATAGATAAGCAGAGATGAGACCCAGGGACATCCGGCTATCAGACAGATGCGGTTAACGGGGGATAGGAGAGCCGAGATAACCCTAACCCATGACCACACAGACCTTATCGTGCTAGCACGTGAAGCCAACGATGAATCACAGCACAGATCGTGGGGACGGGAGGTGAGGCCGTTATCTAGCGTAAGTTGTAACTTGTAAGGTCATGGGCGGCCCAACAAGCCAGGCAAAAATGCTTACTCCGCCGCCAGAGCTGCCGCCTGCATTCGAGGCTCCAGCTTTTGTTACATAATCATAATCTGTGGTACATGCCGTAGAGTACCCAATCATACTGTGCTACACTGTACTCCACTTCACACCATGATCCATACTTATCCCATGAAACACATCACCTCCCTCCCTTCCTCCTCTCTTTCTCATCTTCTTTTGTTTGCCTGAACGCTTTACTTTTCCTTTAATCTTTGATCTTCCCGTACTCTTTTTTTATTTTTTTGCCCATTTACTACATGTCTATTTCCCTTCTCAGCCTCTCGTACCCCACAACTGACACCTGATAATCAATTTTCATCGTTTGTAGCTTCGTTGCCACCCTTGCCGCTATTGGAACTCAACTATCAAACAACACCAACTAGATTCGGCGAGTTTACTTCGCTAAAGCCTCTGTATATGAGCAGTATAGGATTTGATCTCTCCCCGGTGATTGATCTTCTAGATACACTCTCCGCGGGACCCAAAAACCCATTTGAACTTGATCCCGGGGCTGTGGCATCTGATGCGTCTGGTGACGTGAGGTCACTGGGCGACTTTTCAGCTCTTTGGAGTTTTCTGAATGATTGTCACAATGACTCTACACCGCTTCCGTCTCTAGACAGCATCCTTACTCCACCTCCCTCCCCTCCTCCGCCGCCGCCGGTTGATTCCCCTGAAAAGGGGACATCACGAAGGAGAAAGAGGAGAAGGAGTCCCAACGTCACGGTCACACTTAATGGAACATCTATCGCCCCCGAACAGTCCCCGGCTACCGATAGCACCGAAAACCATACTGATACTACTGAAGAGATACCTCGCAAACCTCCTCGAACCCGAATTCGTGTTACTTCGACTTTCGCGAATTCCGCGAATTCCGCGAATCCCGCGGAAAAGACATCCCGATCCACGCCCCGCATCCGCCTTACCCCTGCCAGCATTTTGCCCCGCGACGACGGTTTAGCACCCGTCGTCCAGAGCAATTCCCTACAGCGTCCGGTAATTCGGACCTCGGGGCTGCCTGTTAGCGAGCGTAAAGCCCAGCTAATCCAGATGATAATACGCCTCTTCCCCTCAGACCGTGTTACCCTCCTTACGCTTGATATTCCCCGTCCCCTTGCGCCCCAACCCACTGACATACATGTCTTTATCGACAATTCAAACGTGAGCGCACCAATTCTATCTACATAGTGTTGTCCTTGCTAACTCTGACTAGATTTTGATCAGCTTCTATGAACTGATTAAGCAGATTCGTGGTCAACCCAAAACCGCGCGGGTTCGCGCTCCTAAGTTCTCGTTTCACAATTTTTCGCTCATCCTTGAGCGCGGACGACCAACCGTCAAAAAGGCCCTTGTCGGTAGCTCTCCCATCACACCTGTTATGCTTGAGGCCGAGGCTCTCGGATATGAAAATAGCATTCTCGAGAGAGTCGTTAAAGAGCGAACTGTTAAGTACAGTTCTTCTTCGGGCTCTGATACAAACAGCCCGCTGAAGACGCGTATGGCGAAGGTGGAACAGGCGGTTGATGAGATTCTTCATCTGAAAATGATGGAGTCGATCGTCGATTATGAGCCGAGCACACTAGTTCTGGCATCAGGTGATGCGGCGGCTGGGGAATACAGTCCGGGATTTTTTAAAGTGGTGGAGAGGGCATTGACGAAGGGTTGGAACGTCGAGCTGGTGGCTTTCAAAAAGAGCTTAGGATTCAGCTATAAGGCTGCTGAGTTTAAGACAAAGTGGAAGGGTAAATTTCGGTACATCCAACTCGACCAGTTTGCAGAGATGTTACTGGACGAGTGAGGTTACCTAATTTTACCAAAACAACTATATCTTTCCGCCTTTTCCCCTCTATTTTTTCTTTCTTTCTTGTTTTATTCTCATTGTTTTTCAATGCGTTTGCGCTTGGACCTTATTTGTGTGCGGTCTTCAAATTTCTAGGGACTTTTTTTTTTGTCCCACTATGTGTTTTGCTTGTCATTTTTTTTCTCGACGCTTCAAGCAGAAAGTTACTGGATAATGACTGGAATCGTAAAGGTTCACTAACCACATGTTTAGTCTATTTTTTCCAGTTTATTGATTGCTTTAATGTTTCCTAGTGCTTTTTTTCCTTTTGTTTCTTTTCTTTTTGTATGAGGGGATGAGGTGCACCGTATTTTTTGTGTGCGTGTGACTGAGCTTTTGGGCTGGTCCAGTGTTGTTGTTTGATATCTCTTTGTTTCTGAGGTTTGATTGATCTCTGCTATACTTGCTCAATGTTAGTAAGTGATAGGTGGTTGGAAAGGAGGGGAATTTGGGTGCCCCGAGAGGGATGTACTCCTGAGTGGATCTTGGTTTTGAACCAGAGCATTGGATAGTAAAAGCGATGGGGAACATATTTGATGCCAGCTCAGGTTGATCTTGGCTGGCGATCGTCGGCCGAAGGGTTGTCTGATCTACCTATATACTAGCTAACTTGCTAGTTACATTGTTATACCAATATCAATGTTCTATTCGGGGCGATTGACGTTTTATTTGAGACGATCGATCTGTTCTCTAAATCACTTGTTCTCAAGAATTTGTTTCAGTTCATAATCCTCGTGCTGGTGGGTGAGAGGGGCAAAATGCGTGGCTTTTGCTCTAAAATGCCGATCACTTCAACTTACTTGCCAGGCCGTCTTGTTCAGCATTTCCTGGATGGACTGGATTATACCAACGACCCACAACATAAGAGCGCGCGCGAGACGCAGTTTGCCTCTTGGTAATGGGGAAGACCGGCCTCCAAACTACCGCTCATTCCAGCACATCCACAAACACCTGCCAGCCGCTAATGGCGCACGTATAAGGGTTCTACAACGCACTATAACTCACAGCTTGCAACCCTAAGACAGCCGTCACTAACAACAGCAACATAGGGAGTTTGGGCTGGCGTCGGACTAATCGGAGGGCAAGAGCATCTGGAGGGATTATGGGCGCGTGGAGTAAGGATTGTGATGGTGGTTTGGGGGGGGGGGGGGGGGTTCATTAAAGGGCGGGCCCCGGTATCTACCGGAACGAGTGCTTGGGAGGGGACAATGATATCGGTCACGGGTTGATCGATGATAGGTTCTTCTAGTTGAGCCCATCGGCCGGTGGAATATTATGGTCGTGAGCGCTGACTATGAGAATTTCCTGAGGTTCCAGCTCTGGGAGGAGGAGGAGGTGGTGGTGGTGGTGGTGGTGGTGGAGGTGGTGGTGATGAAGTAGATATTAGAAGTTGCAGTTACCGGGTTTCTCCAACGTCTTAACAAACGAATGGCATCTCAGGACGGAGATATCGGCGGCGCGCTATATATCCAGTCTGTGCCATAATGGTTCAAGAGATGGTATGAAGTTAGTGCCCGCATGATGCTTCATGTGTAGTTTTAGTACTTAATTAGTTTTCAAATAACGAGAGATTATCAACTACTAACACTTTTAACCGCCCTCAATAATGACTTTATCACATCAACATGTCATCCGTCCATAATAGAGGTCCACCTAGGTTTAAGCGCGGTTTATATCTAGCATTAAAAACGCTGCCATAGGGTCCTAGAGTCCAGTTGAAATCTTACAGCCCTAGGCACATTTTTTTTCCGGCACCGTGTTTCCATCCCCACGTCATTAGTCCCGGCTCGTTGATGCATATACGGCACGTGCAGCACTGTAAGTACAGACTCGGCACTGAAGTTATAGCTATGCGCCCCAAACTAGTAAACCACGATAATGATCTGTATTTCTGTAGCTCCAGCACGGAGACACACAGCGAAGCTTCGATATCCATAGTTAATCATAACAAATCACTCGGCTGCTAGTTGAGTTTTCGGTTCACGTGCTCTGCAATAACACATGGTGTAAAATGACACGGTTTGTTATGGCCGGTCCGAATAGAATGCCTACTCGACCTCACGCCGAGAGCACTGACAAAAACATCTGGCAGAGCCAGTACGAAGGATAGATTTCCAGCCCTACCACTCATCCCTTTCTCATTAGAGAAATCAAAAATGGAAATAGCTTCCTAATTTATTTAATTAGAAAAAAATAAACAAAAAAGAACAAAAAGTACTGCAACCGGCGACCAAATCCAGTTACTACTCCCACCCCTGGCTCGAACCCAGGACCTTCCGTCGTCCTGAGCACAAACACTCGGTGTCTAACCCGACGAGCAGTCTAACCACTAGACCACTCGCCCATGTTGGTGCTGTTCTGGAAGTGATATTTGAGCTTGGCAGTGTGCCAAAAGGAAGCAGAACCCCTAACCCTTCAATAACAGTCCTCAGCCATCCATAATGCTTTAGTACTCATTCTAGATCATAGCGGACTACAAGTGTTTGTGTCATGTGCTATTATAGAGCACTTCTACCGAAAACTGTGTCATTTTAGATCTTTTCCGTAAATTCTGTGAAAGAGACTGATGACGTGTAAAGGCTGTCGATATCCACTGCTAGAGATCGGCGGTGTAAGTTCTCTGTAGCTAGTTTACCCATTCAGCTGTGTTGGCTACCCTGCCACTCTCTCGACCGGCAGTTGTGGGG